TGGACGAGAACGAAGAGGTGCAGAGAGAGAAGGAAGAAGAGCACAACGCAGCAGCATTGGCCAATGCGCCAAAGAAGGAGAGCGAGGTTGGCGGCCCCGCTGAGACCGTATAAAGGGGTTATGAAGAGATTTTGCCTTTTCTTTTCGTCTTCTTTCCACGTCTGCAACTTGACTTTCTATATATGGGTTGATGATACCATTCCATTTTATATAAATGGACGAGCGGGAGTGTGAGCATGGCGTTTTTGTTTTTCTATTCAAAAAAAGAAGCTTGGTTTGGAAAGCGATATAATATTTTACTAGTACGAATAATGTCTTACTATGAGAGAGGCGAGCGATATAGTATTAGATGGGGATGCTAGAACACGGCCATCGGCCTTGTGTGGATATCAAACAGCGGTTGCATCAGCCAGCCGGGGTCAATCTTACAATATAGAACTCAATGACGGATCTACGTGCTCCCTTGCTTGTGACGGATGATTAGAGTGCTTATGGGTAACTTAAGCATAGCAGTCAAGGAAATAATCAGCACACGTTTCTTATTTTCACACACTATATAATAACCCTAGCAGCCACCACTTTAGTTATAGCATGGGCTACTATTGCTGCTATTGCTATACTGCTGCTGTATTAACATATATCTGTACTTCACGTTTCAGCCTCGGCTGGGGACATGGAACTTGGATTGGAAAAGCTAGATAGCAGCTAGCAGCTACAAGCGTCAGGCGTCTCGTGCAAGAATCGGCGGTGCCAAGTCACAGTGCAAATTCCGCACTGTCCTATCCCGCTTAATCGCATATCAGAGCTCTGTCCACCACACCACCTTCATGTCATGAGATTGGAGCTCCCAAGAGCTTTTGACATCATAAACCATGCTTCGAAAAAACCCGTCATGATTCCCTCATTATGCCGCTTGCGCTGCCCCCAGTGGCAGCTACGAGCCCGCATCTGCTCTGCGCGGACCTTTTCAGACGTCAAGCGCCCTTCGTCTGCGCCAAAGCCCATCATTGACATCAAGCACATTCGGCAGAACCCGGAGCTCTATGAGAAGACGTGCCTGGAGCGCAACTACAAGCGTCAGGCTTCTTACCCTGCGAGAATCGGCCAATTGCATGCTGAGTGGCAGCAGCTTCAGAAGGATGGCCGCGCGCTGAGGGAGAGGTCGAATTTGCTGAGGAAAGAGCTGGCGAATTCGGCGACGAGCAGCGATGATGAGGACCTCAAGGATGTGAAGAACATGAGCCGCGAGAAGGTCCAGGAGGAAGCGAGAGCACTAAAGAGCGAGCTAGTGGTGATTGAGAAGAAGGAGGCCGATGCGGTTACGCAGATGGAGGCGCTGGCGCTGGAGATTCCAAACCTCACCAGCGCGGATACGCCAAGGGGAGAGGAATTTGAAGTTTTAAGCTATATCAACGAACCGCCGAGCTTTGAGCAGGGACCTGAGAGGATCTGGAGATCTCATGTCCACATCGGCGCTGAGTTGGGCATTCTCGACTTTGCTGGTGCTGCCACGGCCTCTGGCTGGGGGTGGTACTATCTGCTCGGCGAAGCAGCACAGCTGGAGCAAGCCCTGATCCAATATGCCCTCGCAGTGGTTACAAAACACGGATGGACGCAAGTGTCGCCCCCTACTATGGTGTACAGTCATATTGGCGCTGCCTGTGGTTTCCAACCTCGCGACCAGAACGGCGAGCAGCAAGTCTATGCCATCGCCCAATCCCGAGCAGACGCTGAGCGGGGCGTACCCGAGATGAGCCTGGCGGGAACCTCCGAGATTCCTCTCGCTGGCATGAAGGCCATGTCTACTATCGACGCTGTTGATCTACCTCTGAAGAGAGTCGCCGTATCAAGATGCTACCGTGCGGAAGCTGGTGCCCGCGGCGCCGAAACAAAGGGCCTCTATCGCGTGCATGAGTTTTCCAAAGTCGAAATGTTTGCGTGGACGGGCCCCGACGAGTTTGAAGCCCGGGAAGCCTTTGACGAGATGCTGGACATTCAGACAGAGATCCTCCTCTCCCTAGGACTGTACTGTCGCGTCCTGTCCATGCCGTCGACGGATCTCGGTGCGTCTGCGACACGTAAAATCGACATGGAAGCTTGGTTCCCCAGCAGAGAGCATCACAGCGGCGGATGGGGTGAAGTTACGTCCGCGAGCCTCTGTACGGACTATCAGACGAGGCGACTAGCGACACGCCTTAAGACGACTAGCGGCAAGCTTGTCTTTCCTTGGACGGCCAATGGGACGGCGCTGGCGGTGCCGAGGGTGCTGGCTGCCATTTTAGAGAACGGGTGGGACGAGGAGGAGGGAACGGTGACTATTCCGGAGTGTTTGTGGCCGTGGATGGGGAGGGACAAGATTGGGCCTTCGGCGAGGAGGAGGAAGGACGGGAATGTGGGGGAGATGATGGCGTAAAAAAAGAATAAGAATAAGGGAATAGGGGTGAAAATGTTTGATTTGATTACGAGATATTATGTTTTGGGAGGCACTTTTTGCTCTGGGACTGGCTGTCTTTTCCCTCTTTGTTTTTTGGTTACTTTCTTCGAAGCATGTCAAGTGCGGGTGTATCACGGAATTGGTCGGCTACGTTTGCCGCATGATTGTACGATATAGTGTATGTAACGGGCATGTGCAAAGGGAGAAAAAAGTTGATATCATCTACTTGTCTGGCACCTCTTTCCCCCTTTTGCCTCAATCTTGATTCTCTTCCTTTGTTGATATCAATCTGTGTCATTGTGTCCGTTTCTGATGGCTCTCTTAGAGGCTCCGTAGCTGCTGGGAGTGATACATATCTAGGAGCGATATGTTGCCTCTGGAGATATCGTAGCTAAAAGTGCTGCCGTAGGTATCAAGTTTTGATATAGCGCATGCGGCGATCCAGTCTCCGAAGGAGATCCTCCCAAGAGTGTTCATCAGCGAGATACAGCGTGTCCCCCTCCTGAGCAATATATCTCGCTGTATCGAGGTTCTGCTCAATTGTACGCATTGCTTCCAAATCAAGTCAGAGGATGTGGATTCAGTAGTGAGCTCTCCTATGTATTCCACCCATCGCTCATAGGCCAGTTGATTGATATAGTCTTGGATAGAGATGTTAGGACAAGCATGAGGCAGCTTTTCGCGCAGTTCGTCCTCGAGAGTTGGATCGGATTGCACTTCCGTCTGTTGGCAATTCGTAATAGATTGTTGTACGAGCAGTACAGGAATGCCTTGTTGCTTTGCCACCCATAGTGAAACATTAAGCATTACTACGGGTCTTTGACAGTCGGTTATATACTCAAAGTCTTCAGTCGTACACTTGCCACAGCAACGGACAAATTGAGGCATCGCCCAAAAATACGCTGCTGTGACGTCTTGTGGCCTGCTACCCCTCCAGCTGTATTCTGTGTCTTTCAAATGTGCTTTCAGAAACTGGCGTGGCACTCCGTGAGATGTGAGTACTTGGATAGTTGCCTCATCTAATTGTCCCGGCAGAACTATAGTTCTCGAAGTTGACAACAGCTGGAGATGCAACTCTCCTACGGTGGGCAAGGGAGTGACTCTGTATCGGCCATCTGCCGATTTCAAGACGAATCCTCGCTCATTAGAATCTTCGCCGTTTGTAGCCGTCGATAATACTTTCATCCTTGACGTTATTCAACTAAAGTTTATCTATTATTGATTAGATTTAATATTAATAGTGTCGCAAATAGGATATAATGTTCGCTTACTCAGTTCTGCCTTGGCAAATCGATGAAGATGGATGTGACTGCAGTGGATCAGGGGAGTTGAAGACTTCAAGGGCGCAAGACTCTTTATTCTATAGATGAAAGAGAGGAAAGAAGAGGGAGAGAGAGAGAGAAAAAAAAAAAACAGTTTTAGGCAAACGTCTGTTGTAGCTCACGTGCATGTGGCGAGACCAGTGTATTCACTTGACCGCTCAGCGCTGAACAATAACTCACTTTGCCTTCACTGTTTATAGGATATGCGTATTGCGGGCTGATTCATTGATTAAACGCATATCATTTGGCCGAATATCATCTCTATGCATAGCATAGAAAAATATATAATTGGGAGCGTTTTCATTTTTGTATAATACCGCTGTATGAGAAGAAGACAACAATATGAAAGCCTTCATTAACTTGGAGCCGCTCTTCGCTCTCCTGTTCCAAGGCTTACCGCGGCATGAAGGCCATGTCTACTATTGACGTTATTGACCTACCCCTTAAGAGAGTCGCCGTATCAAGATACTACCGTGCCGAAGCTGGAGCCCGCGGCGCCGAGAGTTCGAATTTCCACGGCAGCACACTCTGGGATATAATTCGATAATGGGCACACTATCGAATGTGCATCGTGTTTATTACGCAAGGAGCCAACAATCCTCGCTAACAAGACGGATTTTGCGAAGAATTTACCCTAAAAGTACTGCCATCTATTTTCGCAAGGTTCTTCCAGAGGCGTCCCAAAAGTACTGGAGAAAGCAATATGTTGCGGGTAAGATCAAAGCCTGCAGGCAGTAGAATCCTTGAAGCTCCATATATAAATTGGAAGTATTGACTGAGAGCATATAACCAAGCGGAAAAGAGAGAAGAATGAGGAATGAAATTGCTTCACTCTTCAAGCTATGAATAGGAATTTTGGAGTACAAGTAAGTTTACTAGCATAGACGTCGAGGAAGAATAAAATACAACAACAAATGCAGCCACTTCCTCCTGTAGAGATAATTTTAGCATAATTCGATTCTGAGTTAGCAAAACATCGAAACGGCCACAAAGTATAATGCATTTGTACCTACAGCCAACGCTTTATCAATTTTCACATGAAGTTGCTGTAGCGACTATTGTGTAAAGATATTCTCAAGTGTGCTAATATTCTCAATATAAAAAGGGAAAGCCTTGCTTATCCTAATGCATTGCTTGATCATTTGAACACTAGAAAGTTCAACGCAGCCGAAGATATCGATAGATTTCACATAGACACTATTATTTATCAGAAACATACAGAAAACTCCATATTACGGAAGAAGATGGCTCTATATCTTGCTCTACGTCTCACTCTGCGCCTTATGCAAGCGATTTTGCTGCATATGTAAACGTATATTTATATAGTTCGGTATGCACAAGTCAATTTTGACCAATATTATTTGTTACGTTAGAGTTACGATTTCTTCCTTAGTGGAGTACTGCTGTTATACTTCACGGCTATCTTTTTCGAGCACCTCGCAAAAACACTCGAGCAGCCCAGTGGCCTCCGATAGCGATATTTTTGGACCCAATTTTGGGCAGGATTTGTCTTGCCATCCTTGCGCAGGTCAGCAAGCATCTTTGCTCAGCTGAGCTTCGGCCGGTCTCGCCTGGTCAAGGAGCACTTTGAGTAGTTTTGGTGCGGCGAAACATGCTCGATAACTATGGACTGACGACCGGGCCGTTTGGGCAAACTGCGTACTTTTACTAGGTAGGTAGGCAAAGGCAGATCAGAGTATTCTGGGCGTGCCTGAACAAGATTCATCTACATGTTTATTACTACTACCTTTTAGCCCAGCAAGTATCGGCTCGCAATGGAAATCGACACCTCAGATCAAAAATACTCGTACACAGCGTGCCAAGTGCAAGTAGGTACTGCAAATACTCTGGGCTGTCCAGCTGGGCGACAATTTGGCAAGAGCAAGTCGAGCGGCAAGAAGGCTTCGTTCACCGCCGGCTGGGTGATAGTTTGGCCAAAGAAGCACGGCAGGAACGATTTACCACCAAAGGCTGGCGGTCAGTTGGCGGTCAGTTGGCGGTCAGTTCGTGAACGAGCAAGTTTAAACGGCAGGAACGAAGTTGCCCGTTCCAAATGGAAAGAACTTCCCACATTTTGTTCCGTCTCCTTTTTGCCTATGCCTTCTCTTCTTTTCTTCTCTCCTTTCTTCCTCTTTTCCTTTTTCTTTCATCACACGCGACAGATTCTTTCGTATTGACTGACTGCTCGCGTTCTTCGATCGATACTGATCATGTCGTCGACCATCTCTTCGTGGACTTCCGTGGGCTGGACGGCCATCGGAGTCGTTTTTACTGGAGCAATATTTTTGCTCGCCCTTCTTCAGGCCTGCAAGCCTACTTTGTTTCCTGTTGGCAAATTTTCCAAGGAGGTCAAAGATCTCCTTAACGACGCCAGCTTTGGAAAAATCCGAGACGATCTGGAGGCAATGAAGAGGAACGTCGAGGCGTCGATGACGGCAGTGCCTGCTGGGGAGGCACCTGCTGAGACGCTTCGGGACATCGTCACCTCAACCAGAGACGAAACCCGTGCAATGAGGGAGGCATTGACGGGTCTAGCCTCTGCGTTGACGGCTGCATACGCAGACCTAGCTCCTGCGCTGACGGCTTTCACTGACGAAGTTCGTGCGATGAGCCGGGCATCCACGGACCTAGTCGGTGAAATGACGGCAGTCAGAGGCGAAGTTTGCGCGATGCGAGAGGATGTCAAGAGGTCGAAGGCAGATGTGGCGACTTCGGTCAACGCTCCGCCCGAGGTCTCTTCTGAACTCCGACGGCTGAGGACAGACGACTCGAAGATCCAGAGAGCTGGCAACTCTCCCCTGCGATCCCATTTGGGTTAACAGGGCTCTCGCCAAATTGCCGGCGCGAGAAGGGATCCGGCGACACTTCCAGACCATGCCAGCGATGGTTTGATGACACCGCCCGCCGTCCAGGGCGGTGGGGGCCAATGTCGAAAGGCATTGCGCCCTCCCCAGCGTTGGCTCGCACCTCACCGTGGTGCTGGGGTCTAGTAGCCTTGCCAAAGGTGAAGCCAAGACGAGCCTGTAGTAAATGCCAGTGAATACTTCGTAGATTGATCTACCTGCCTCTACTGATCGGATCTTCATGCTATCTAGTAGACGGGAGATAGGCCCATTCTCCTGTAGGTTCCAGGAGAACCTTATCTGCTTTGCTCCACAAGTGCCTCGCCATGCCTGGCCGATGTCCCAAAAGATGCCTGGATTGCGGCTCTTCCGACCTTTCCTTCGGTTTAACCATACTACTCCACTTCCAGTCAAATGGTGATCTGACTGATCCAAGCTGATTGTAGACGTTGATCTTGATCACCCAACGCTTCTCCTGCAGAGTGATGCTGATACAGTAGTCCGTTAGACATTCAGGACAAGACTTGATGGATTCATGACATGAAATAAAACAATCTGTAGGACACCGAGCAGCTAGCTCAGGGAGTTGTTTTTGAGGATAAGAATATTGGCTGGTTGTAAGATGTGGGCATAGCGGATGCGGGGCGCAATCGATGGGCTTCCTGGGATTTTCTTGATTCTTGTCAGGATATACCGTAATATCTGATGATAGCATCAGTTCATCGCCAATAATACGGGCTCTCCAAAATGTATGATGTCTTCCATCCCAATAACCGTAATCAGTGATTGATGTTGATAATACTTTGGCCCGGGGACCATGTGCTGCCCCATAAAAATGTCGATTCATGATCACCCGTGCAAGAGGATACAACAAAGTTGGCATCCCATGGTGCTTGATTTGATACTTTTCTCTGCAGGTATCCTGGTGTTTCATGTAATAGTGTGGAATTTCTGAATCAAAATGCCGAAACCAAGGCATGCGCCATCGATGGAGTTTGAGGCAAAAGTGGCAGAAATAGTGATGAGGCACGTCCCTTTCTAGGAGAGCCAGAAAGTCTTGTTTCTCAGTGGACGATAGCTGAAGAGGTTGAGAGAAGTAGTAAAGGAAAAATGTCCTGCAAGTTAGAGCAAGCGAGAGGAGCGAGGGTCGATCGAGATATGCTATAATTGCTAATAGTATTTCTGGGGGAATGGTGAGGCAGCCAAGCCGGGGACGAGGCCTTAGGTAGATGACGGTGCGTGAACTGAAACTGATTCTGGATAACGTGAGGGCCATGATTTGTTCGAAGGCCATGTTGATAGGCTGATGATTGATGACTGACGAGAGAGAAATCGAGGCTAGGTTGGGAATATTGAATGTCTGGTTACCTACATGTAGTTGGCAAGGCTAGAACTGAAATTGTTCAACAATTTATGATGTCATGTGCAACTTCGCCTTTTCATGTCTGTCTGGCGGGATTAACTCTGCTCTAAGTTGGGCCTATACGCGTGATCGGGACCATCCGAAGGTGGAGCTGAGATCCATTTGTGGGCCGGCGGACCGAATTACACCTGTTCAGTAATAAGTCACCTTGACCCTTGACAGAATCGCACAGAGTTCAAGGCGTATTCGTGATGCCAAAGCCAATCGACCTATTTGTTGCGTTATTGTCTTTTTGGCGAGCTGAACATGGATATCATCAGCAAGCGTCACTTTGGTATTTGTGGGCTATATCCCTTTGCTCTGCAAAATTGACTAGAAACTGGCGATGGGGCGATTCAAAGTAAGGTGGGAGGGCTCATCATTATATCATAACTATATAGTGGGTTTGACGAGTAGGATGCGACGTGCGGATGAAGGAGCCTATGCCATCAACGTATTTGGCTTATGTCATGTAAGGCTGCCGGCGATTGGCACCCAGCCCCGCGTGTAAGGCTGCTGTGTCGTCCTTCATCCCACTGCGATATTTAACCATCTTCTCTCATTGCCATCCTCTCGGCCCACAGCCGTTGCAGCATCATTCGGGGTTTGATGACGAATCAGCATGGATTGCGGCAGCCAAGCGTTCATCTCTGACAGTGTATTTGGCGACAACGCGCGGATCCACCAAGGCAATGTCGATATCGCCAGTCACCAAGGCGACATCAGCATTACTGGCTCTCCGGAAAATGTGCGAATATCCGGTTCGTACTGTCGTTATTCTTTGAAGTTGCGGTATTTGTTCTAATGACTTTAATTAGCCCATTATGCCAGCCCTCCTCAAGATCTAAAGCTTGATTACTTGCCCGCTAGCTTCGACGCCGTGAATAAGCAGCATGTTTCTGGCTGCCTTCAACATACGCGCGAGCAGCTGCTCGCTGATATTCGGACGTGGATTGACCATGATAGCGAAAAGCGCATTTACTGGCTCAATGGAATGGCCGGCACCGGGAAGACTACCATTTCCCTCACGATTGCTCGCGAATATTATAAAAAGAAGCAGCTAGGAGCAAGCTTCTTCTTTTCCAGAGGTAGTGGTGACCTTGCCTCGACTAGAAAGTTTGCGACTACCATGGCCGTTCAGCTTGCTGAATATTCTCCGGTATTGCGACAGCATATTATAGCTGCTGCTACGTCGAATCCTAGAATCAGCCAACTCGCTCTGTATATCCAGTGGGAGAAGCTCATCATAGAGCCTTTGAGTTTATTAGAACCTCAAACCGCTCAATCTCCGCTCCTCATAATTGTCGATGCTCTTGACGAATGCGATAGCGAACGGGATATGGCACTATTGATAGAGAGCTTCGTGAGCACAGTTGCGACTGTTAAAAATATACCACTTCGGATGTTTGTTACAAGTAGGCCGGACCGACCAATTAATCTTGGGTTTGGCATTGTATCCATCAATTTACGTCACTATTTTGCCCTTCATAGTATTGAACAATCTATCGTGGATAGCGACTTGATGATTTACTATCGTCATCAGCTAGCACAACTGTCTCAGCGACACAGCTGGGATGAAGGCCTAACATCTGACGATATCATTCAGTCTCTCGTGCACAAATCTCACGGATTATTCATCCACGCCGCAACTGTTTGTCGATTTATTGATCAAGGAGGCATTCTTGCAGAACAACGGCTTTCGAATCTTTATGCCCTTGGATCTTCCAGCTCTAGAGCGGAACAGGAACTTGATCACATATACACTACAGTTCTGGAAAACTCGTTTAACGGGCATTTAGATGCTGAAGAAACTATCATGTTACAACGACGGTTTCAAAAAGTTGTCGGGTCAATTGTGGTTTTGTTCGACGCGTTCAATCTAAGTCATCTCGCTGCTATTATTGACGAATCAAAGTCAAGGATAATGTCAGTACTCAATACCCTTGGGTCTGTTTTGGACATCTCAGAAGACGACGAAAATAAGATTGATACCCTGCATCCCTCTTTCAGAGATTTTCTCCTGGATTCAAAAAGATGCTGCGACGAAAAATTCCAAATTCCCACCAGACAGCTGCATTATGAACTGTTTGAACGCTGTTTGGTGATTATGCGCAGCTCTCTGCACAAAGACATGTGCAAACTCAAAAAGCCAGGAACAAAGGCGCGGGATGTATCAAGAACCCGAGTGAATAAATGTATTCCTCCTTCAGTTCAGTATGCCTGCAGCTACTGGATGAAGCATCTCCAGAAGAGTGAACGGGGTTGGTTCAATCATGGAGGCGTGGTAGAATTCTTTCGAGCCGATTTTCTTGGCTGGCTCGAAGTACTTGCTCTTTTGGGTCGGCTGACTGAAGGAATGACTATGTTGGCAAGCCTTCAGTCTTTGGTATCAGCTACACCCGTGGCAAACGATTCCCTGAACTGGATAAAGTTGCGCCAACCAAAGGAAAGTTCTGGTCTCATCAATGACCAGACAAGCAGTAGTGAAAAGGTGCTTGGTGATCTTATACGTGATGCCAAGCGATTTGCCTTTCAGCATAGTAGTATTATTGCAGAGGCACCGTTGCAAGTGTATTGCTCAGCGCTTATATTCAGTCCTGAGCAAAGCATTATCCGCCAAATCTACAACAACCGAATTCCGAATTGGATCACCCCTTCTTTTCAGAGGCGCGGTACATGGGCCTCTTACACGCAGCTTCTGTGGCATCCACACAATCCCTGCACCTTTGCTTTCTCACCCAATGGAAAATATTTGGCTTCTGGGTGTGAAGACGGAACTGTTTGGCTGTGGGATGTCGTGACGGGTGCAAATCAACGCATTCTTGAGGGTCATTCCGCTCTGGTTTCATCAGTTGAATACTCTCCCCAAAGCCAACTTCTAGCCTCTGGATCACGGGATGGCACAATACGACTGTGGAATTCTACGACTGGTGCAGCTCAAGGCATTCTGACACATGGCAAAATAGCCAGTCAGGTTGCATTTTCACCAGATGGCAACTCACTCGCCTCGATTTCTATTGGTATTCCCACCGAAAATTGTAGAATACGACTGTGGAACATGGCAAGCCTTGATGAGAAATGGAGCGAAGAATTTCATCGTAAAGCTAGCGGTGCCATCTTATTCTTGCCTGATGGCAAGCACGTTGTTTATAGCATCTCTCAGGTAACTGGACTCTTGGACGCCAATACAGGACATTCCGCTGGTATTCTGGCTCACTATGGAGGAAAAATCTGTTCATCCAATCTATTATCCAGCATCCAAATGATAGGCCTGGGAAAAGACACTCGCGTTGAGCTCTATGATGTTCAAACTCGGACAAGGCGGTGGCTTAGTAAAACTACAAAGGACCTCTCAGATATGGCCTTTTCGCCCAATGACCGAGTCCTCGCTGTAGCTATAGGTTCCGGTTCTATTGAGCTGCTAGATGCTACATCTGGCCATTTAACGCATACTATACAATGCAATACTGAGGACTCGCTTCACCGGACAAAAATCAAATTCTCGCCAGATGGAACATTTCTTGCTTCGCAATTCGACCTCAATACTATCCGATTCTGGGACATGCCTGTGAACAAACAGCAGTCTGCTACTTATTCCGATTCCCCTAGGTTGCCTGACACCTCAACTTCTGACTGTGGTAACTTTGTCGCTATTATATCACATTGCAATCAAAGAAGAACAGACGCTGAAAGAGAGCAATTGTATATATGGGGAATCCAAAACTTGGAAATGATGTATACATTTAGCCTTACCGTCGCTCAGTCTTGGCCTCTGGATATGGTGCTCTCGCCCAATACTCAGTTTATCGCGATCGAAAGTGGGAACCGGTATGACCTATTCGATTGTAGGTCAGGAAAATCCGTGATTCACTCAAACGACTTGTGTTTTGATACAAATCTCGAGCTTGGTCAGAAAAAGCACATCTTTTCTCCCAATAGCAAGCTTATTGCACTATATACCTCTGATTACTCTATCCAAATATGGGATACATCGAATCTGAAGAAGATTCACGAGATCAAAACTATGGACGCGTATAACCGACTTATGGCATTTTCGCCTGATGCTAAGCTTATCGCAGCTCTAGCGATGAATGAGAATTTATCTGTATTCGCCCTCGATACAGGCACTCATTTAGACCAGATCAAAGAAAATATTTATAGAGCAAACCACGTTTATTTCTTAAATAATGATCGACTTCTCGTCTATGGCTTCTGGGAGCGGATCGATATATCTCAAATCCAGCTTTTAGATGCCCGTACGGGAACGGTTTCGCGCGTTTTCAATGTTGGTCACCGGAGGACTTATTATCACAAGGTAAAATTATTATCGCCTGTCGGATGCATAGCAATTTTTGATCATAATGACCATCAGAAGATATGTGAGATATGGGACTTTGAAACTGGCACATTAAGAAGGAGCTTTGAGGTACCTGATGAAGTAAAGCACTTTCATCTGCTCCCCTGCAACGCGCACTTGCGCATAAACGAGGCCATAGTGCCACTTTCATTAACAGATCCGTCCAACTGTTGTTCCGATTTATTATCATTTGAGGGATTTTGGATTAAGCGTGGCGATGAACGGCTGGTGTTTATACCCCAGGACTACGCATCAAATCTCATTGCTATAAGAAGCAATAGAGCTGTCTTTCATCCATTTATCGGGTATGATTGGGAAAGATTTGCCACTTCACAGTTTTTTGATACCTTGGAGTTTGACTTTTCGACGAACGGACCTGTTGTCTAGTATAGAAGGCGCTTTAATGGCGAATGCCAAATGGGCGCAGCATTGTTGGGCTTGTGTGTTCAATTCGTTTTTAGCGCTGCATTATCGTATCCTTGTCTTTTGAAGATGACTGAAGTGGAAACATGTATTTGATAGCCAAGAATCTGGTTCGAGTATTACTCTCACTATGTATGGGAATAATCTACATTGGTTCAACCAAATCTATGGCTGTGCTCACCATGCTTATTTATATACCTACATACAAGTATCTGATCACTCTATATGGATAATTGGGTTGATTATTCCTGACCAATCTTACGGAGAAAAGGAAAACACTATTGCTACAGGGATTTAGTGCAATTACCCAGGACAGAGGTCAGCAACACACTGTACAGTTGGGAAATCTTCCAATTGTTGCTGTAATTCACTTCATATGTATAATGGAGCTAGTTGCTGATTATAGGCATGCCTGGAATTTCACGTAAACTGCGTAGACGTTAGTGCGAAGTGTCTTTTGGGTTCGAACTCTGGACTTAAAAATAGCATGGATCTTGTGTATGATCAAATTGCTTTCTTGATTTTTGACGAGACTGTATTGTACTATGTATAGTAGATTTAGCTGTCTCATTTCTCGAACGCGATCCAAGACACGGAAGGCCATGTCCCAGGTGGGACTGCAGACGACGCCAAAGTAAGACTCAAAAGCAGTCGAAAATGATGCAGCAATCCGCGGCTTTACGTCTCCATGGACAGCTCTTGGCTACTAGACATGACTCTGTTTCAGATATCTATACGACGCTTGGGTGTGGTTGGATAGTCAGTTTTGACTTTAAGCATCGTCCCATCTTGGAGGACTCTTTCCAGATTCTGGCCGAGGCACGGAGCATCCTGATCCAGCTGCTTTCTCCCTTCTAAAACCGGCCTCTGCAGAAAGCGAGTGAATAAATCTTATGATAGGTAAGACATGGACAAACTGCTGTTGCATCCTGGTCTCGAGTAAGGGCATGTGCCAGAGCATCTGTGACAGCCAAGGCCGCCTTTATCTATGGGTCCCGCCGATCCATGTCTTGATTCAATACGATGACACCAAGGAGGTGAGGGATCATATGAATCTACGGACCATTTTATCGACGGATCCGGCTGTGGGGTAATGAGACAGCCGACAATATGTCTTATGCTTGTCTCATTTTCAGATGTGAAGCTTCAAAGACTACAACGAATATCAGATGTTGTCGTTTGTGTAGCATTATATCAGTGGAAGAATAGAAGATTTGTGACCAGGATATATAAACCCACTCTAGCTCCTCTCATATTATTTCTGTATACAGAGATCAATAAAGCTCAATATCACCTCGCTCTTATTACATACATTCTCTGGAGTATATTTCTTTCTAGTCTTCTCTTATCTATCTGTCCAAGATTCAGCACTAGAATGCCTTCTTCACCTTCCGCGAATATTGCTCACAATGGCAGTGGTTGGTAAGTAAGATTAGATTCGCAAAGTATTTAAAATTGGCATCTTCTACCCTTGCTATTCTTACACAGTCTATGTCTTTAATATGCCCCCGTACCTCATCTGAGTGTTGTATTCACCTAGTACCTAGTTGGGATTCTTGTTGGTATGTTATATGAGAGTTGACTGCACGCCAAGTAATGTGGTAATCCGGAAGTGGTGTTAATAAGACTTCATACAGCTCTGGCAAACCGCCCACGACTACCAGCAATGATGATTCTCAGTGCGCTAGGCTCTATCACAACGATAACATCAACCGATTCCTAGCCGATGAAACTCAACGATGTCCAGTTGGCCTTGGCCCTGAGCAAACACAAAGCGAAGCCGAAACTGTAGGAAAAGCTCGCGTGTTCGAAAATCTGCAAGCTTTTGATGTACAGTTTGACTGCGACAAATTTCCGAGAGCAAAGTACGAGCAAAAATGAGACTTTATATGATCAATGACAATCACTGTATTGTATGAGGATGTACTAGGGTACAATATGTATTCACTGAGAGGGGGCGGAAAGTTCGCGCTGACAATACGTGTATGGTACAAAATTTGAGAAGTTATCTCGCAAGATCTATAAATGGTCACTTAAAGCTAGCTAAACTGAAAATAATTCTAAGTTTTACGTTACTTAATTGACATTAATATAGGGGAGTCTTGAAGGTAGGTATCAAACGAGTGCATGTAAGTGTCAGCAGAAGACTGATCATAAACACGACTGAAGGAGGTGCCATTGTCCGATCACAATGGGCAAGTGAGTTAGCGACAGAAGCTATCGATATCGCCAGTGCTATTCAGAGTATCGGGAGTCATTGCGTTCTCTAGCATTTCGATGACGATCTACAGAGGGGTATCCAGCCAGTCACCATTGGCTTGATAGCCATGGGCGGAGCATTTTACAGCGCCCAGAACTAGGATCAACCGATAGATCTCCGCAATGCTGGCATTGTAAATTACGTTGAGACACATGATACTGTAGGCAGATTTGTACTCGAGTAACAGATTCAGATAGTGGGCCACCACTTGCCGCCCAGACAGGAGCTATCCAGCTCCCAAGTGTTAGTGGTGTTGTTTGACTGAGTCTGAGAGTCAACGAGCCCAGCACCAATCTGATGACTGTCGTATAGGCGCTGACCGGCTAAATCGTAGAGGCCATTGAGGTAGGCGCTGAGTTGCAAGTCATTCTGCGTCGATTTGACGGTAAACCGTTAAATGGCGTGCCTGGTGCCGAGTTGTCGTAGCCCGAACATTTGTGTCAAGTGAAGACGCACGACCAGTATTTTGGCGTGGTATCACCGTAATTGATCTTGCAGACTTCAAGTCTCGTGCGTAGACACCAGTTCGGTACTGCGGAGGAAGAACAAACATGTTTGCATGTCCGTGCATGCGAATAGATCGAAACTGTTGCGTTGATCAACAGGCTTTCTATAAGCAAGAGGCAGCATAAGTTCTGAGGTAGCTGTGACTTACACGATAACAGAATTAGCGGCTACTGGAAGGAGAAAAAGAAGAAAGGCTTCTCCATTAGCCTAGAACAGCAAGGATAAGTCAAGTCTCTCATACTTCTGATACCTGTAGTTCATCCCTATATTCATTTCCATCTGGCTGGCTACGAGAAAAACACAAAACGATTCATCTCAAGCAGGAGAATCTAGAAAACAAGCTAAAAGCCCTTTTTCTCTACAGTCAAGGAAAACAACCAACCCTTTATCTCCGAAAGCCAGACCTTTACTTGCACCTCCAGTTCCAACCTAGCATAACTTGTCTTTTGTCGAGTGTTGTCCGTTAAACTATAATTTAGCCAAATTTGCTTTCAAATCTACTTTTGGTGGACAAATATTCCTTGATGAGCCTTTTATAAAGTCAAGCAACACTTGCACATCGACAGAGTTTGACAACTGTTTCAAGTAGCTCTCCAAACCTTTATCTCCCTTATTCAGAAAGGTCACAAACGCGGTTCTCAGGACTGAGATCCTCTCAGATGGCCATTCCCGCCGTCTCAACCCTTCATCATTCAAGCCTACTGTCATCGCTCTGTTTCCGATAACGGTAGAAAAAGGCAAAACATCCCTGGTGACCATACTTCCTCCGCCGACAAATGCCAGCTGACCAATCCGACAAAATTGATGAATGCCAGCTTGTCCAGAAACAATGGCACCTCTGCCAACAGAGACGTGACCAGCTAACCCAGCTCCGGTAGCGAGCACCACATCGTCATCAATCTGGCAGTCGTGGCCGATGTGGACGTTGGTCATTATATAACATCGGTTTCCGACACGCGTAATACCGTCTCCGTCAGCTGTGCCTATATGTATTGACACAAACTCCCTGATGATGGTTTTGTTCCCAATGACTAGAGCAGTGTTTTCACCAGAGTACTTCTTGTCTTGCGGCGGTCCACCCAAGACAGCATATGGATATACTTTGCAGTTCTTGCCTAGTGACGTTGACGATAGAATCGTTACGTTGGAGACAAGCTCTGTGCCATCTCCAATAGTCACATTAGATCCAACATGGCAAAAAGGGCCAATTTTGACGTTGTGTCCGAGGATACAGCTGCTGTCGAGTAGGCTCGTGGGATGGACAAAGGTATTTTGAGGTTGTATAAGTGTGTCCATGATGAAAAGCACAGCGAAGATCGATAATCGCGATCCCAATAGGGATCTATTGGATTCAAGTCGTGCAATTCGTATCCTTTCCGTTCATCTAAACTGGGAGCCTCCTATGTTATAGCAGGTACGCAGAAGGCGGAGTTCTTTAAAGAGCCAAGACGGGCCGCGATATGGCGGGATAGATCCCGCATCCTTGAATAAATAGTGCTTACACAACAATGTCAGCTGTTAAATAGTGCTACTTGGAGACGTCCTTGTCCTCTATTCTGCTTGGGCAAGTGATCTAAGTTACTCGCATGACAGACCATTCCCTGGAGTCTAGTTTACATCGCAAGCGGCTTGTAGAAAAACAGGGATCGAAAAGGTAGTTGATTAACACAAATTAGAATGATACGCACCCGAGGGTGGCAATGTATCCTCCATGACATTGTTCGTATGGCTTAATGTACGCGTATACTATTCAGTTCACAACCCCCATCTTTTTACCAACACTTGCATGGATGGCAGATATTTATCATCAGACGTATTTTTGGATCAATTTCAGCCTCACGTAACTGCGTCTGTAATCCCAGAGGCTAAGCATTGAGGAGAGCTAGCCAGCAACAGTAATCATCTTTTCCGAAGCCATGCATCTTCGGCCCCCAAATTCTCCAACAATATGTCGTGCGTCAGCGACCGAAGTCCGCATTCTATGGCGACAGCCGTTTAATACTTCGCCTGCTGTCGGCTCGCAGAACCATGGAGGCACGCCAGAATCGGTGGCTGTTTCCCGAAGCCCTCATTGATTTCAACGTTTGCATCCACTAGACCGGATATACAAGCCTCTTTTGATTAGCATCAAGTTCTCTGAATCGATACCGATCAGCAACAACCGAAGCGGAGCATCTGGCCTAAGCAGTAATGTAAAGTCTCTACACGAAACAACAACCTTAGCACTATGCTTCACAAATTAAGTGCTCACTTTTGATCAAGTGGCGATCCAGAAAATCCTAGTACAATAGCGGGTGTAGCCTATGCGACACAAACGATAAATGTGTTGATATCCATAAGCTGTTAGTCGTCGCTAAGATTATGTGTCTCGTTATATCTTAAGTATAGTGTTGTGATGTATACAAGTGGTCTGTTCAGTTAGAGTTAGGCTATCAATCTTCTGTCTAGCTTATTCCAAGCCTATGTACATGGCTCAGTCAGTGCTTAGCAGAAACTCGCAGGGTTGAGAAACATGGGCTCTGCGAGTACTATTGTTCTGTCCATAATAACTTTTGCACCGCTGCGGTGAGATGTCGCACAAGTGAAACACAAAATATAAAATCTCAGCAGTCTGTTTGCTCCAAAGTTTTATGAGAATAAAATTCGACCGGAAGCAAAATAACCTCTGTGAAACTACAAATTCCACTCTTCCGAAATTCTCTCAAATGCGACATTGCCAATTATATAGGCTACAATTTGGGTATCTAGGAATATCAGCTGTTAGCACTCATAACAAATTTCCGATAAGCTATAAATCGATCAACTTACGACCGCTAAGGCGTAATTAGTTATAGGAATTCACAATGGCAAGGGAAAGGATTAAACGTACCTAGGAAGCAAAGGAGTCACACTTATATCAGCAACTCTCAAATTTTGTAACCCGAATACTTTCAAATGGGAATCTACACAACTCATGGAATCGTCCGGCGTACCCATTTTGACTGTGCAGCTGGGATGAAAGAGACCCATGCCAGCAGCCTGGGTAAATGCCTTTGAGACAAGATGTGTTAGCAAATAGGTTGACAGATTTACGGTGGGATTATACTTGCCTCAATATCTTCATCATTGGATGAGGATGGAGCCAGGATTGGATGCTTTATATACTGCTTCAGATAAGGCGCATCTAAAATTCTCAAAGTCTCCTTAGTAGCTTCCATCAGGGCAGCACGATCGAATGGACTGGCGAGATAGTTTGGATCAATGACCGGTGGAATGTTAGGATCAGCACTAGCAATAGAGACTGATCCTTTGGATTGTGGGTTCATCAACGTAATGAACATGGTGAGATAGCCATCTTGTTTGTCTTCAAACACGTAAGTGGGCGGAATTAGAGGGCCCGGCTAGGATTTTGTCAGCTGCTTTCCAACAACGATACAAGAAGTCTCACCATTGCCAGTTCAAAATGAGGCGTAGTCTTATTTAGAAGTAGCTCTCGGGATTCGGAAGGGAGCTGGTTGAATCCTTCCAAGTCAACTATACCAGGCAACTGAAGAAAGGCTGTAACGGCTGAAGACATGTATTGTGTCAATGGTCCCGTCTTTGAACTCTTGAGTTCATGCTCGGCAGCAGATATTTTCACCTCATCAGAAGAAAATGACACTCTTTCCGAAAAACCATGACCCATATGATACACCACTGGTATGCAAGGGTGGTCGGAAAAGCCCTTGCCGACACCTGGGAGGTCTTGTACAACATCGATTCCGAGCGATTGCAGTTCATAAAAAGGACCAATCCCGGAGTGAAGTAAGACATGTGGGCTGCCAATTGATCCCGCAGTGAGTATGACCTCCTTACTTGCAAAGTCTATGACTGTCTTAGCAAATCAACTTGTCCTGTTGACTAGCACATGGTGGCTTACATTCTGAACCATTGCACTGCACGCCTATAGCTCTCTTTCTGTCGAAAATTATCTTGGTAACAAAAGAGTCTCGGTAGATTTGCAAATTTGGAAGACTCTTGTTGAGGAATGCCGAGTCGCTCGTTGTCCTGAACCCTTTCTTGTTGGAATTCAGGGATAGTCCAAAGCCAATAGGATTGCCGTCGTTTTGGTCCAAGTTTATTGGATACTAAGTCGGTGAGTTAGAAGCTTGCAGCCATTTGTGCCCCAAATGGTCCGATTTACATACCCCAAGTTCAGCCGCAGTCTCCAAAATGTGTTTTGCCTCTGGTTCTATCAATGGACCAATTGATACTTCTATTGGCCTAGAGCAATCGTCAATAAGAGACTTTAGTCGCTGCTTATAGAGTGTAATTACCCTGAAAAGCCGTGGCAGTCGGCACTTTGCTGGGAGAACTTTTCCCAGCCAGTTGGTATTTTTACAGTGGCATTTTCAATCTTTCAAACTTCAGCTTTAGCCTAGTCGTAAGGTCAACGGAAAGAAGTACCTTTTTAATACTGTTGAGTATAGACTCGAATCCCCATTCTTGAGCTTTAGTTCTCTCGGCCCAAGCATCAAACTCGCCCCTGGCTCCGAGAGACCAGACTTGGAAGTTGATCTGCGAGCTTCCACCGAGGCCTTTGCCTCGAATCATGTCGATTTGTCTACCGCCATAATGGGCCTGAGGAGTTGATTTTGACCCATAGTTGAGTTCAGGGTGAGTGACCGCCAGAGCAAACCGGTGATACGTCTGGCGCAGTGAATCGCTGTCCTGTTTATCCCCTGCCTCGAAAAGCGCAACGCTTGGCTTTGTTGCAGTCGATGCCAACTTTTCGGCAATGAGGCAGCCGGCAGTTCCGCCTGGATAACCAGTTAACTATTTTGATGTCTGGCGCTTATAGACAGAGGGTATTTCTCTTACCACCAACTACAATGAAGTCGAAGGTCTCAGCCATCTAGAAAGATGTTTTCGTTATGAGTAACAAGATTGGAAACTTCTTGCTAGTGGAATAGATATGAGATGACTACATTTTCCTTTAATACTAAAAAACAAAAACCTTATTACCTGAGGTTATATCATTTCGCACTCGCACTCGCATTGTATTTGTTGATTATTGATATCCATGCGCAAAAGAAGTAAATGTTAAGATAAGCACTATTTCGGCCCTCGGAATTGTGTTCTGTAAAGTATAAAGCTACTAATCAATTATTGAAAGAGAGTTACGTAGCAGCATATTCAGTGTCGCTGTACTATTTCTGTCTACATCTATGACTAATCACTTCTCAAGGTTCGTAATGAACTAATATGCGCCCTCACATATAATACTCTTCATATTCCTACCGAGTTCAAAGATTGGTGTGATATATATACAACTCAGCACTAGCAGTAGTGGTTACGTGTATTAAGACACTCAGCGCTAGTCTGCACATAAAGCTACTTGTTATTCTCTTCCTCCAGAGGTCCTTCTCAGATACAATTCCAGCTCAGCGTAACAATTGCTTCATCATATTCCCCTACCTCGTCATCATATTCCCCTACCTCGGTAAAATATTGCTTTGCCAAAAACTGGCGTTTTCATCCCCCAACCCACAAACGATTGCGAAACGGCTGTGTATGCTTCAAGTTGTCGTATGTAGGGCTCTGTAAGCAATCTCGATGGAAGTAAAGACTCGAGATAACATGTCGTAACGTAGATTTTATGGAATCTTCAACGGACTCATGAAGCAGCTCTCCCGCCCGGCTCCCCTAATTAGCGGTAGGAATTGCCACAATCCGCTCCTCATCTGTATACTTCACCTGACTATAAGTCAGCTCCAGAGTGTCCAAGTTGTATGTTGCATAAACATTACGGAGGAATGGCGCTCCAAAGTTCGTTGCGGTGTCTGCCTCTCCAGAGCCGCCAGCTCCATTCAGCGCATAAGTGACACATTTGCCCGAGTCAAGCGTGGTGACTAGGCGACCGACGGGTATTTTGATGATTCCGTTGCCTGGAAATCCGACTTCAAGGACTGTGTCAACAATATCACGGTGCTTGCAGTCTACCTCGTATGGATCTTGTGTCGACGTGACGTTTGCAGGGAGTCCCAGAACAGCAGCAACAGCGTTGAATACGGCTGTCGGCAGACCGAAATAGGCCGCGCCCGTGTCCCAAGTGACTGTGTTTCCGGGATCTATGGGCCATACCGTCTTCTCCCCAGCTTTGTCAAGCGTAAAGGACGAATACTCAACGTCCCATGGCGAATCTAGCTTCTGTGTAAAGACAGGCCCGTCTCGCTTGGCTTCGTCCACGCCGCCCAGGAGAAGATGGCCAGGCGCGTCCGGTTCGTCTGGGCCGAGGTAGATGCTAAACGCACGAGTCTTTAAAATGCCGCGATCTGAAAGTTGCTGAACCAAACTTGGGTAGACGTCGCACTTGGGTCCAGTGAAGCACATGGCACTCAATCCCATGATGCCTGCAAATGGATTGGACTGCGACAGCCGAACAGCGAGATTGAAGCTATCGGTCGAGCCAATGAGAAAGTCATCAGCGTCAACGCCTGCGAATCGAAGCGTGTCGTTGACAAAGATGCCTTGGCCATTGTCAAGCAGGCCATCGCTGTAATTGGGATAACTGCCTGGAAACGCCACTACTGCTGTCGATGAGGTGAGGTTGTCGTACGTTCCCAAGGGATCGCACGGAGCCTCTGGTCGCAGGCACATGTTGCTGCGCGGCGAAATGAAGCCGATCGTGGGGCTGCCGGTATCGATCTTAAGAAACGATCGCTGGGGAGGATTGCCGACTTTGAATTCCATGCCGTAGTATTCCAGATTCATGATACGCGTTAGGGGGACGTTGAATACATTTTCTGGCAGGTTGTTGACGGCAGCCTGGCTGGCAAGCAGCAAAGATGCTGAGATGTCTTTGAGAGAAGGCATGGTGGCAACGCAAGATTATGTATTCACGCTGCTATTGTCAAAATCGACGGTAAGTCCGCTGCCGCTGAAAAGTGCGTATCTTGAGGATCTCAAGCAACCTCAAAGGCTTGAGGAGAGACTACCACTTTGAACGTTGATTGATCGAATGGGCTGTTTAGTTATATATACGCCTGAACTTGAGCATCCCCTGTAGGTGATCGCTACTAGTTCTTCTTATAAGGGCATAGCCGTGAATTCCTTGTCTCAGCCGTATTCCATATCGAGAGCGAGCCCCAATTTCAGCAACCCGTACCAAACGCTTCGCTGACAACGGAGGACTGCAATCCCCTGTCTAATCGCCTCGTATTGCAGTTAGGGCCACCATCTGTATAGTAATCGAGCTCGCAACTGCGTATAGGTACGGTTTGTCAGACCCCTATAGTATTTAAGCATAAGTGAAGCTTGCCACTTTGTATACTCACAGATTTTACCGGTCCCATTGCCTCAGGATTGGAAGTTGGTATATTTTCTCTCTAGCTGCTCCATATACAAGATCAACATGATGAAGGTTAAGAAATCTATTGAGCCCATCCAGGTGCGCCATGTGCAAGCAATTCCATGTCCGTCCACTTCCACAATTCACCTGCCAATTTATCATCCTCTGTAAACTTTCCACGCATGTTTGGCTTTCCTATCGGCTCATAATATGCCCCATTCGTCACATCTTTGCTAACGGTACACCAAAGCTGTGTCTTTACGCCTTCCTCAGGGGCAACGCCGATCAAGCTCACCACAGGGCGGAGAAAAGTCCGCATCAGCAAACTTGCATCTTTCTTTCCTTTCCAGATCTCAGTCCTGACTATACCCGGGTGCATTGACAACGAAGTTATCGTTGGGTACCGTCTCGCAAGCTCTCGGGCGAAGAGTACCTTTGCCAGCGTAGCCTGCGCATACAAAACAACGCCACCTGTACCCTCCATACTTGTTTTGAGCTTGTCAAAGGAAAGTCCGTCGCTAGTACCTTCCAGTCGATGGTATGAGGATGACATAGAGATGATTCTGACATCGGCACCGGGGAGAGCCGCTGTCTTTAGCAATTTGGGCAGCAGCAATTGCGTCAACAGGGCATGGCCCATGTAGTTGGTTCCGAAATGCACTTCGTAGCCTTCTTTTGTGAGTGAGGCTGGAACTGATGCTACACCGGCATTCAAGTGAAGAATATCAAGGCGATCCACCTCGGCATTGACTCTGGCTGCTGCCGTCTTGACCGATTCCAGTGACGCAAGGTCTAATTCTAGGAATTCAATGTTGGCAGATCGAGCTGCCGTCGAGGTTGATCTGATACGCTCTAGAGCTTCCTCTGCCTTGTTCTGAGAGCGAGCTGCAAGATAGATCTTCTCAGGGCCGTGCTGGGCGAGCGCTGTGACGGCTGCTTCACCCAGCCCTGAGTTTGCTCCAGTGACAAGACAGACTTTTCCGTTTAGTGAAGGGATGTCTCGAGCTGGATTGAAACCGCCCATGATTCTGTCCTATAAAAGGAGTCTTCGAGAGAGTTTTCTCCGTATGGTAGTATCTGGTTAGGTAGATGACTGTTCTGATGAAAACGCTTGGATATAAGGAAGATATAGGAATTGAAAAATGGCCAAAAGGAAAGTAACTGATTATATTCATTGTAAGAAGAACAAACCGTTAGGGGATGTTCGTTATATAATAGTTGACGAGAGCTCCTGTAGCGGAGTTGAACTATCCTATTAGCTTACAGAAATTTCCCCTGAGTGGCAGCTTTTAGGTAGATCCATCTTTGCGTAATAGATAAGATGTTTTTGATTCCTATTCCACTTCAAATTTCCCATCAAACGATAGTTGGCAAATGTGTGGTGGAAGAATTTCCGATCGAGGTCAGCCGCCGGAGGAAAGTTCGTCCACCTTCTCTCCGCTCCGCAGGATAATCCAAATTCCGCAACTATCTCGAAGTTCTAAAGATAAGTCTGTAAAAGCTATTCGAAGTTGATTTTAGATGCATGTAAAGCTGCTGGCGGTGTCTATATACTACTGCCTGAGACCTGCGTTGATAATGGCGACTTTGCAAGGCTGACCAAGGTGGCGTCGAATAAAGAAGCCGTATACCTGTAAGATTTTGAAATCATCCTAAGTCTTGATAACTTTTGGCATAAAAAAGCAAGAAAAATAGTCTTATGGTATAGATCTATCGAGATGTTGATCCAATGCGTGGTTTCATGTCTGCAATGTTCGGACGAATATTAGGCCGAATGCGGACTATGAGCACTGCAGTTCCGCAAGTACATGATTTCAGACCCATGGCTCTAGGATCGTGTTGGTACAGATATAACAAAAATGCAATCTTTTGTCCTAATCTAAAGTCAATTCGTTGAATTTATAAGGGCGTTGATACTTGTAGGCGGAGAAGAATTGGCTTAGCGAGAAACGCTATATATGTAGAACTACAATGTAATATTTCTTTTCTCTTTTCCATCTCTTACAATCCCTTTTTCCTCTTTGCTTAGAGACACCTCTATGTTTTGGACTTGGCAATGCAGCAAAAGTACGATATCGTCCTCCTTGGAGCAACAAGCTTCACAGGAGGCCTCATGGTGGAATACATGACTGCAACTTTTCCAGGATCCTTGCGATGGGCGATTGCGGCACGTAACAAGGCAAAACTTGAAGAAGTGGCCAGAAAGTTCAATGTCGAGGCTTCAGGAGGTTAAGTTGGTCTTAAGACAATGGGTTTCACTCAATGCTCATTGTTTCTAGGATCCATTATCGTCTTGGATGTGAATTCTGAAGCAGAGATCCAAAAGGTTGTAAAGTCAACACGAGTCATCATCAACGTTATAGGGCCGTACCCGACGACTTGTGGATTGATAGTGTTCAAAGCGTGTGCTGAAAACGGCACTGATTATGTTGACTGGTAAGAGATGACGAGATGTCACTAATCGATATAGGCTAACATCCAATCAGCAACGCGGATATACCTTGGGTACAGGATATGATCAAAGAACACGACAACTCAGCTCGGGTTTCAGGTGCAAAAGTACGTCCTACCTTCGTTCAAGTATCGTCGAGTAGCCAGTGTTGCTTACAAAATCAGATGATTGTTACCTGTGGCTTGGATGCTGTACCGGCTGATCTAACAACATACCTCGCGGTGTCGCATATACGCAGAGTCTTCAACACACCGACACGCGAAGTCATCGTCTCGTTGCAAGAGATGAAAGGTATTATTAGCAGCGGTACTATCAACTCAATCGCCTCTGTTTATACCTTATACGGGCCGGGCCGCTACGAAGAAGCAACCGCGCCGTTTGCAATCTCGCCTCGCAAACCCGTAAGTGAAAAGGTAAACACCAGCCTTTTCCCTGCTGCTGACTTCTTCGGGATACACACTGTAGATGGCCTCGGCCGTGTAGTGGAGAGTCAGGAACAAGGAAACGAGAGAGCTATTGTGGGACGAAGCTGGGGCCTATACGCACCGGACGATCCCAACACCACAGATGGATATGGGTCCAACTTTCACTTCTCCGCGCGAGCACGATTACCTAGCACTCTGTACGACTTCATCCAAGTTTTGCCATTCCTTGGGCTCGGCCTATTTTTAAACTTCTCCGTCACGCGATACATTCTCACTAGGTTTATCTACCCAGAGGGTTACACCCCAACCTCCAAACAGCTCAAGGGCGGTCATCGATTTAGTCATCGAACACTGGCAGTGGCTGACACAGGCGACGAGTCAAAAGCAAAGAGGGTTATAGTGGTCTTCAAATTCCAGGGGGACCAGTATAAGTTTACTGGCATCGCAATGGTACAGGCTGCTGTGACACTTCTTGGGGGTGGGACAGAGGCGCATCGCATAGGCGGTGGTGTCATGACACCAGCGATGCTTGGGGATAATTATGCAAAGAATCTACAGCGTCCAGACTCGGGCGTGGTGATCTCGATCAGAGCAGAGGGCTGAATATATACAGAAGATGTGTTGGGGAATAGAATTTAGCATGTTTAGTGCGAGAGACAGAGAGACCAAACTATGAATAGCCTTGAATTGAATAAAAAGATGGTAATGGTGGTTGAATTATTCAGAGGAACTAGGCATATACATACATGTATACATTGAGCATTATCATGTGTATATTATGTAACCAGATGTGTTAACGTGTAAGCAGGTGCTAGAATTAACTATCAGCCTAGCTTGAACATGATGCTCCGTTCGTTTAGGCTCGTTGCGCAGGAAATCATGTCACTGATTCGCATCAATTATTCGCATCCTGCGCTCTGGATGTGAGTTGATGCTCAATTAGGCGTGTTGTTGGCTGCTTAGATGACCCTTTCAGGACAAGCCTGAATTCTGCCATGTCTCAACTTCTCAGGCGCGATTTAACCTGCACCGTACCTTGACGTATCAACCCAGCCATCAGTCTCCCAAGTCGCACATCATGGGGGCAAATTCATCTTCTGCACATGGCCCCGAGCCTTCCTTATCGGCTGAGGAGGAAGCTCAGCGGGAATCTGAGTGGAAATATGAGCGGATGGCTGCGCGGGAAGCTGAGTGGAAGCTGCGTGCAAGAGCTGAATGTCGACAGCGTCTGTTCCCGACCGAGAGCATAATGGAGGATGCTGATCTCTCGCCATCGGTTCCCCAGCGACATGGCAAGCAGACTTGTCCTTCCCATCTCGCCCTATTGCCCCCCGAAATCATCGAAAACGTGCTGAGCAGCTTGGATAATAGCTCAATCAAAAGTCTGCGCCTCACATGTCGGCGGTTCGGCGCCATTGCAGCGCTGCGCATCAACAGAGTCTTCCTCTCGGCAAATCCGCTCAACATTCAAGTCTTTCGTGCCATTGCAGACCATGATGTGCTTCGCCATAGGATTGTCGAGATTGTCTATGACGATGCGCGTCTATGGCGCAACGGCGCCGAAGCTCCTGAAGCGCGACACCCCGGTGCACCCAACTATTGCTGTTACTACCTAGAAGATGGACCCGACATGGAGTGGTTTGAGAGTGAGTGCGATTGGAACTTGTTTGATCTAAGCGAGCGCCAGAAAGACGATGATCCGAAGCGGCCCGAGTATGCGGCATTGGTCCGGCGCGTACATGCTGGATTATCTCCAGAGGAATCGTGGGAATACTACGACGGCTTACTACGCCAGCAAGAAGAGATCATGGCTAGCGGAGCTGATGCAGACGCGCTTCGATATGGGCTGCAAAGATTTCCTGCACTTCGAAAGGTCACCGTCACCCCTGCTACTCACGGGTGGCTGTTCACGCCTCTTTATGAAACCCCCATGATTCGGGCTTTTCCATACGGATTCAACTGCCCCATTCCACGTGCCTGGCCATATGCGGTCGACGATCATCGTCCTCTACAGGTTGCGCCATGGGAGGATGAAAAGACAAGATGGCGCGGCTTCAATCTGGTCACAAAGATTCTGGCTGAGGGGCGGCATAACGTCGTGGAATATGAAATCGATGGCCACCACCTGGGGACCGGGCTCAACTGCCGGATATTTGATGATCGATGCAACGAGTATGACGCCTTCGTATTAGTCCTTTGTCTACCCGGCTTCAAGAAGCTGCAATTATCGCTTTTTGTTGACGGGCAACAACGTTTGGGGTGGCCAGCTCTTCGCAATGGTCTGCTGCGAAACGCCCTGGCAGAAGCTACACAATTGGAGCATGTGAGCATAGCTACAGGCCGGTTTGACCATGCCTGGGAATACGAGCCACCGGGTTTGGGAAGATTTCTCCCTATTGAGTGCTGGCCCAAACTACAACATTTCGAGCTGTGGCACGTTGATGTCCATCTAGCCGACTTACTATCAGTCGTTTCACAACTCCCAGACGGGCTCCTCTCTCTCCAATTAAACTCTTTACACATGTGTTCGGGCTGTTACCGCGAATTACTCGACCAGATGCGCGACAGATTGCATTGGTGTGAGCAGCGCCCTCAGGCAAGAGTGATGATTGGTGTACACTTCATTTCCGGTATCCACGACATTCCCGGGCGCACGATTTGGCTCGAGAAGGAGATTGATGACTTCTTTAAGCGTGGTGGTATAAATCCTTTTGAGCTAGAAGACATTCGGTACTTGCATCTGCCTCGCTTTGGGATGGGAGTTGTACGTGATGCGTTTGACATGGACTATGTAAGGCCCTGAGTGAAGCAGGATGACCTGGATTGGTATTATGCACGCCCCTGGTCAGAGTGCCATTGTAAAGACTCGACGATCATTGACTCTTAGAACATATTTTGAAGCTAATATCTAGATAAATCACTGAAATAGAGGATCGAATACAGACAATGGTTGATGCCTAAAGCCTTGCGGCCTTGCGGGGCAGTAGAGCAGACATGGCGCCATGGAATCAGTAGAATGACTAGTACCAGAATTCCAGGGAGGATTCATCAAGGATCCAGGCGTGGCATTCTTGGCTGAATTTCCAACAACCAGCAAATCGGTAGGATTGGATAAGCTTATACGAGCCGTACCGTGGAGCCCTCGTCGTAACGGCATTAGACTGCTGTTTCATGGCGTGTTTCCACATAAAACAGGAACCTTGAAACAGTAGGTGGACGATTTCAGCAACTGGCGCTTATGACTAGCAGCCCTTTCTAGAAACAGCAAGTCCCGGCCGGGACCCCTATTTAATTTTTGTACCAGACGATGCCCACCTTGAATCTTTTGAACCTCGTACATCTCTTTCACCTCTGCCCATCAATGATCGAGCAAACACGCGCAGCATGACCCGAGCGATTTGGCTCGATGGCCTCCGGGGCATTGCGGCGGCCATTGTGGCGACAGACCACTATTTCATGGGCGCCATTCTGCACGCCGGCTTCAGATCCTTCTGGGCAGATCCGCCCGAGGAGAACCGTCGCCTCTATCAGCTGCCTCCCTTCCGGCTGGTCTTTGCTGCGCATGCAATGGTGCCCTTGTTCTTTGTCATCTCCGGTTATGCCATCTCCGTCAATCTCATCCGAATGAGGGCCGGCAGCAACACTGAAGGATTCCTCCGGCGACTCTCTTCGGCAGTGACACGCCGCGGCCTGCGCATCTATCTACCCGTCCTCTGTATCACGGTCATCTCGCAGATCCTCTTCTTCTTAAATCTCTTTCAATGGGAGCCTGCGGATGAAATTGTATGGGGTCGAAAGCCTCTGACTGCGCCGTGGTTTCATGTTGAGTTTGTCGCTCGGTACATGCTCGACAACATCAACATCCTGGCCATCCAGTACAACGGTGGGCTTAACGGCCAGCTGTGGACGATGGCTCTCGAGTTCCGTGGATCTTGCGTTGTGTATCTCCTCCTCTTGGGTCTGGCCTTTTGGAAGCCGAGGCCCCGGCTTTGGGCGCTTGGAGCTTTGATGGCCTACTGGTTCTACTTTGGGTTTTGGGACGTATTGGGATTTCTGGCAGGGTACTGGCTGGCCGAGCTGGAAATGTTGTCAGAGTTGGAAACTGTTAGCACCGAGGCGGATTATCTGCTCTGGCTCAAACCGTATATCCCGGTCCGGATGCGATCCGTAAACTTCAGCGCCGTCCGAACCTATGCCATGTTCATTGTCGGCATCTGGTTTCTCTGTTTGAGCGATGACGGCGCTCTCCCACCTGGATATCAATTCTTGCAGGTTGCCGAATCCTCGCGATGGGATGGAAATTGGGGGATCGTGGACAAGACGTGGAAAACGGTTGGCTCCGTGCTGGTTGTTTCTGCAATCAGCTCTACAGAGCTACTTCAGTACCCCCTCAACTCCAAGCCAGTGCAGTATTTGGGGAGGATCTCTTTCTCGCTATACCTCGTGCATCAGACCATCTACCACTTGCTCAGCGACCCTGTCAAAAATGTCCTCTGGTTCATAGCCACAGGGGGGTCGCAACCTGGTGATGATGCTGGTGAATACATAATCACGTCCGCATTCTGTTGGATTATGGGCTTCATCATTCTCTCAACAATCAATCTGTACACGGCAAATTATTATACGAGATTCGTCGACGAGCGATGCATAAAATTCGCAAAGCAGTTTGACCAGTGGGTCTCTGGAGCGTTGTGATAGCGATGGCTGTTAACGAGTTGCGCTTTCAGCTCCTAGCCTGCTCTTATCAACCCAGTGCATTATGGATGACTGATTTCAAACAAGACGAAGGGCGGTAGGAGTTACCACGACAATCTAAGCCAAGCGGCTGAATTTTGATCACAACATTGCGAGACGATCCAGGGAGCAGAAAAAGTTGTAATTGTAAATGGAGTAAAGTGAGCTGTGCACAAATTATACCAGGATTTACGAAAATAGATGACTAGAATTACAAGGGAATGCAATAGATAGACTCAAATGATAAATGATTGCAATTAAAAGCAGAAAGAATATAAGATGGCGAAATGGACAAGTGAAATAGACATCCAATACTTGATTATATACTGTTGGCTACAGACCTTGCCCGACGCCATGTAATGTGAAACAAGAATGCGGTCGAGATATTGGTCGTTGATTGCTACTATGGAGGATGCGTTGACAACTACCTATACATGACGTGGCCAACAAGTAAGGTAATTGTAATTTATCATTTATATGAGATAGACAGTAATAGATCCATGCATCTTTCGCTGCGAATAACACGAACGCTCTTTGAACAATTAATCGGCCGGGTTTTCTTCAGCCCAGTTATAGTGGATAGCAAAAGTTGTGTAGTACAAGCTATTTTTGACGGTTTTGTTTCTCATACAGCCTGAGCGCCGCTCATGCGGTGCAACGCCATCAAATGTCTTCAAACTGTAATAAGCAGTCAAAAAGAAATAGCACCCTGTTTAGCTGCCTACAAAAGTGAGATAATAAAAGCCGTGGTGACACCACCTCTATTTTCCTTTAGAAGCAAATTGCCTAAATAGGCAGCAAGGCATATTTTGGAACCGCCATCATCCTATTTATAGGGCTTGAATGTCGCAGAGGCCTCACCCCCATTACTGGGAATAAGTATTGAAAGCAGTGTGGCACCCAGTACACCGCAGCTTGGGGACATGCATGCAAAAGCACAGCAACATACATCCGCATACATGTTATACGTAAATTTCCTGGCTGCCTCGTGTATATCACTGAAGTTAGTTATTTAGAGCATTATATACGTAAATTATTATTAAACACAGGGCAGTAACATCAACATCATTAAACAGTAAAATAACATGCTCACATCCCTCCTTTGAGGTACCAGTGCTAGAACGGCTTGAGCTTTAACTCTATAGGTCGGAAAGGTATGCCCTGACAGAATCGCTGATTGAAAAGAGCCACTTCACTTTCCTCATCAGCTTGACCCCTGCCGTCAAGTTCTGTGACTTGGTGTCGTGCGATGAAGTGGAAACAAAACTCTTGCTGTCTTGGAACTCTGACAGTCCATCACTGGCGTTGAGGCGAGACTTTTCAACCGGTTGGAGAGTAAGTTGAGCCAAAGGTAGCACCTTGGCGTCAATCAACACGTCTGAGATCTCCGTTTCTTCATGCTGTTTCCTTGGCCCATGCATAAGCTCTCCAAATCTGGCCACTGAAAAGTCGCACATCTGCTTAACCACGCGCTCATATACTTCTGGTGATAGCTTGTATACCTTATCCTGCAGAGTATACGCAGGCATCCGGAGAAACTCTTCAACGTGCATCACTGTCTCATGGACTGTTTCTCTAGGCGCCGCGAACCACTCTCTGTGTCCTCCTTGGCAATAGAAGCATTCTGAAACACGAATGTTGACATGCCGGAGTATGACTTGCGCAATTCTCTCAGCCTGCGGGGCGCCAACGAACCTTTTTGTCTCGTAGAAAACCTTGGTGTTTTTTCCGTAACAGTTTCTGGGTTGCTTAAGTCTCTCCTTGGCGCTTTTACTCGACCACCCAATTTTGAAGAGCGAAGGGTTCTTCTCATGTTCAAGAATGTAGACAACGCCCTCTCTCATCTTTGATGGTGTAGGATGGCCGTTGATAACTTGAAATACAGGCGAGTGATCTCGTAATGACAGGGTGCGCTGGATACCGATAATCCCAAGCCCTTCTATGGCGGAGTCTTCTCCTTCATTATCGCCTCTTTTTTCTTCTTTGTCTTTTCTCTCGTCGTTTTGTTCATTCTTAGGCAATGGAGTATTTATCCTAGTATTGAGAATAGACTCTTGTATTCTCTCGCCATCACGCTCGCGTTTGATGTCGGAAGCGATGATATCCCCTCGAAGAATCCCATTTTTAGTGATGGCATCTTCAAAAACATCCTGCTCAGCATCCTCTTGGATAACCTCTTCATCACTACCGCTATCAATGTAATCGTCTGCTCCAAAAATAGGCTCACTGGCACATTCTTCCTCGGCGACATCTTCTATGTGAAATCGGGAGACTGTTCCATTTCGCAAGGGAGTGTTAGGCAGAGAGGTCATGCATGTTGTATTGCTAGTGACCGAACGAGTGTCCGCAATGCTCTCGACGAAAGAGGTGCCATCGTCTGATGTCGCATAGTCTGAAAGTGCTCTAGATTGTGCGGGCGTCGAGGGTAGAAGTTGCAGTGCAGCCGTCGTTATTGGTTGTATGGTCGTTTCGATTAATGAAGCAGATGGTGTTGAACTTCGCTCTGAAATGAGTTCATCGATGGCCTTTTTTTTCTTCCATGCATCAAAGGCGCCGAGGACTTTGTCTCGATGTTTCCCCTTGCAATGTGTATAAGTGACAAAGGTTTTCATCTTTTCGTGGAAGCTTTTGGTGTTGGGACATTCTGCCATGTTCTGGAACTCGAGCAACAGGCTAGGAGTGTGCCATCTTTCGTCTTTTCTGCAAGGGCGATTTCTGCATCTCTCGCCTCTTATTGTCTTTGTTCGACAGGTTTTGAAATCGGAGTCTTGAGGATTCGGACATACATCGGTGCTTTGTTGTATCTCTACAAGCGCCTGGAAGACGGGATTTAGTATTACTTTCTTAGAAGACATTTTGGCTGAAGATTGCTCTTTCATTTGACCTCCCATGAATTAAATATTAAGTAATTCTCTTTTTACATATGTCTCATGCTCTACATTTTGATGAAAGCCTGCAAGTATTAATGCGCAGCTGGTAAGTGAGGCTGTGAGGCCGGATGGGGCGACCGATGAAACCGTCGTTATGCATGTTGGTTCTGCTTTCTGCAGCGTGATCACAAGTCCCACCACTCGGGGCCCGAAACTTGCAAAAGATGGGCTGTTTTGCTACCAACATGCATATCTTGAAAATTGCTAATCCAATTAGGTAGTCACAATATCGATAGCTGATCGTAGGACATGCAATCCATCCCACACCCGAATCTCGACTTCCCGTATTCACAGCGACCACCCATCGAAGACGTGTGACTTGATGCGGAGTTGCCGGATGCCTCTCAATTATTGTTGAATAGAAGATCTTAGAATATACTATTAATACCGCTTACTATTAGACGGCGTAGCTGGCATGTTTTAAGCGAGCAGTTCCAAATCCTGAAAGTGCTTTTTCAGGTACGAATTTTGTCATTGCTCTACCCAATCGAGTTGAATGATCTCTGAAGCTTTCGTCGGACTATACTACTTCGCCCACATGAGATCCTGACAAATTCTCCATCTTAGTCTAGGTGCGATAAGACGGATTAGACAACTCTCGTATGATTCCGGTATAAAGCCACCGGTCCTACAGAGATGACATGAACAAAACAGCTCGCCGTTTTAACTCACCCCCTTATGCTATAGGTTCCAGTGCAGCCAACAAAGACATTTAATGTTACAGAAAGCCAGTTTCCAGTATTTTTTGAGACATACTGTTGGTCTTGCGATTTGAGCAAAGGTCGATGAGGGGAAGATCCATGTAAGTTACGACACACCATTTCAGGGCGTTGATCAGGCAGACAACATAGATAATCAATACCATGTGCCTTCAATGAGCGACTTTGGTTAATCTTATACTCAATACGGCTTAAAATTACAGTCTTGTTGACTCGTGTTCTAACCGAGTCAGGCAGTGTAGGATCTTTCGCGACGGGCCACAGAGGCGGTCGCATTAGTGCACACCCTCCTGCAAGTCCTATGGTCAGCTATCAGGTCGGCGCTTCCAGATGTGATTTCCTGGATATGAGTGCTCAGCAGTCTGATTGGTATAGGAGTGTTCTCCGCCCCTTTTCAGAAGTCGGGAGCATCGGAGTTCGGAGTATCAGTCCAGAATTCGCGCAGCTACTTACATAAGAGACAGGTTCGGAGAGGGCCGGGAATTCCTGATAAATAATAGACCTGGCTTTTTATCACTGGAGGCGTTATATGAGACTGTCTAGGGATAATATGTAGATGATGTCCTCGGTCTCTGACGTAGGTTTGGACCAAACGCAGCTATGAGACTTCGGGGATAGTAGTGGGTAACCTTTTCGTATCTTTGACAATACATCTTTTCCATTTACTGGGTATTGAGCTATGTATAGTCAAAAGTAGATGTATATATTGCAGGACAAACTGATAACACTGACGTGCTGAGGTGTAAGGACCCTAGACAAAATATTTACTCTCCCCAACTTTAATTGTGTAGTGCTCTTTGATGCGTAGATATAAACGTATAATATTCTATAGCATTATTATTACTTGTTTTTATTTAGGAAAGTTACTTTTGAAATGAAACTCCAAACAGAATCTAGATAATGATGCCTGCAAGAAGAAGAATGGCCTAGAAAGGAGAGGCGTTATCTTGTTATGTAATATTGAGTAAATCTTCAATGAAACTTCCTCAAAGTCCACCTGCTTTGTTCAGCTATATCTTAACCTGAAAAGCAACGGGCAGTTATTGCTATCTTCACTAAATAATGAATATGGTGAAAGGGCTTGAGGGATAGATCTCAGATATATATAAGTTCATACTGATGAACATCTAGTCTTTGCAACATGTTAATCGCTTATAAGCCATAAACCTCGGGCTCATCTAGAGTGTATATTTTCAGGTTTCTAACATCTAAACATATGCCTCATATTCAGTTACATCTGTAACAACTAAGAGCGCACAAAAGACTGGTTCTAATGATGCAAAGTGAGAGAACAAGGTCCGCAATGAAGGTTATCGAGATTCGGTTGGCCATATTAAAAGCAATACCTTATCACCCTTGAACTGGATAGCAGCTCATACAGTGGATATCCCTACTTCTATTAATATATAAGTCACCATCAAAGCTCATACAAACTTCCTATCCTACAGAGTATTAATTAGACATCAAGAGAAAATATTGATAGCAAGATTGCCACTCTGTCCAACAAGACATCATGCCACTTCCTCTATTAGTTGTTGTTGGCGCCCTTGAATCCCAAGGTTCCAGCGTTGTCGCTGCAATGCTGGCAACGTCTGAACCACAGTACCAAATTCGGGCACTTTACTTCAGACCCCTCCAGTCAGGCTGCTCGCAGTCTGGCCGCAAATCTTGGGATTTCCGTTGAGTTTGTCGACCTCAGCTCGCAAGACAGCGTCTTGAAGGCCTTTCGAGGCGCGAATTACATCTTTGCGAATACAGCCTTTCCAATCGGTATCTCAATTGCCGAGGGCCCTGCTGCAGCTCAGAAAATTGAGCGGCAGTATGGGTTAAACGTGGTTAGTGCGGCGGCTCAGATATCTTCCTTTCGGCATGTTATATGGTCTACTCTCCCTGATGGTGAAAGTATCACTTGTGGTCAATATCATATTCCTCACTTTCAGTCCAAAGTCTCAGTCGAAAAATTCCTTCAAGGTCCCAAAATTGGTCTCGTCGGAGGGACCACCTTTCTTCAGGTTGGTTTCTACGCATCCAACTTGAAGTTAGATCTTTACAAACCGCTGTATATAGTAAGTATCTGCTGGAAGAAACAGCTGAAACTAGAGCTAATATCCCGTCTGTTTATCAGAAAGCGATTCAAAAATATGTGATTATTCTACCATGTCTTCCGACATCACGATTTCCCTTCACCGGAGATGAGAGTCGCAATACTAGCACTATCGTTAGGGCAATTTTGTCTCAGCCAGAGAAAACCTTGGGAAATTCTGTGCTCGGATATCCGAGTATATGTCGTGTTCATAATGGGTAAACACCTTTACTAAAGCATTGAGCCATCAAGGGACAAATGTTGAAGTTCCATTTTTGGAGACGACTCTAGAAAGCTATAACAGGCTCCGGGGCCATCATGCTGCCGAAATAGGTTGTATGATGGGTTTCTTTGGCGACATGAAAGAGGAAAGCTATACAAAAGGGACAGCTGGATCAACCCTCACTCCAGAGGATCTAGGAGTCAAGACATCTATGATATCTGCGGAGGCTATGTTGAAGGATATGGATTGGTCTTCAATCTTAGCTCAAGAGGCTTACTCTTCTTGGAACCACGTAGTGTCGATAAGTGACTCTACACGTAAATGTAAATGCATGTTTCTAGAATTACTCTGCAGTGCCTCGTTCTCTAGCTGTGCATGTGATTAAGTATTCCGGGATAAATGGGAAACTTCTAATCCATATGATGTTGATATGATAGCTAGTGTGTCCAATACCAATGCGAGCGATAGCCAATTCTGGGCCCCTCTAGTAGGACCTGGGCTGTTACCGCTATTTGGCCCGAGCATGGCTAAGAATGTAAAAACAAACAAATCAGAGAACAGGGCGGCAAGCTTAAGGATTATCTTTCTGAATCCGATGACGCAATGAAAAACAAACTGATACATTACCTGTCAAACTACTTTGACAGAGAAAGGGCATGGAAGGCCACCGACATGTTGTGATTTGCAAACGGCGCAGTCGTGCCTGAAACGAACCAGCGATTAGCTCATCTCCCCCAACATGACTCATTTGATTGACAGGCGAATTTGAGACCATTTTGGGAAAAGGTATTTGTCAGCCCATTATCTAACCACGATTCTAGTCGAAAAGTCTATCTTTTGCGGAGCAAGTTGCTCCAGATATGACCAATTGAGCACTCAAATAGAAGGCAGCGAGTTGATCGTGATATCAAAAGCAATTTGAGAATTCGATCTTTTGGTTGTATATTTAAAATTAGATTAGGTCAATTGGATTGAATATGTCTATAAATTCCCCTTTCTTCCGTCTGCTTCACAAGTACCACTCATCTCTTAGCCAGTTACACAACATCCCTTTATTTTGGCCTTCTAGTCTTTTGTTACTGTCAATACGTGCTGTTACTATGGCACATTCTATCATTTCTCCAGCCATTCTCTACTGGGGCACTCCAGTTGTTCTCATTACCTCAGAAAACGAAGATGGTCTTGATAACATTTGTGCCATCTCTTCGGTATTTTGGCTCGGTCACCGCTGCATTCTCGGATTTGGGACCCAGAACAAAACGCCTCAGAATATCCTCAGAACAGGCCATTGTGTAGTGAACCTCCCAGATGATACTATGGCTCGTAATATCAATCTGCTAGCCACCACGACTGGCACTAAAGAAGAGGATATTTCTTCGTCAAAGCGCGCTAGAAACTACCGCTACGTCAAGGATAAATGGGCATGTGCAGACCTTACACCACAGAAATCGGATCTCGTCCGCCCAGCACGTATTCTCGAGTGCCCTGTTCAGATGGAATGCGAATTAGCAAAGGGTCATGTGCTAATGGAGGATTTTCCTGATCTGAAAGGTGCCATTACAGCAATTGAGCTCAAAGTCCTGCGAGTTCACATTTTGGACCATCTTCGAATGCCTGGGCAGCCAAACCGCGTTAACCCAGATCACTTGAGGCCTATTTTTATGTGCTTCCAGGAGCTATATGGATTTGGAGAGGGAAAGGTAGCAGAGAGTGTACTAGGAAAGGTGGACGAAGAAAAGTATCGAGGAATTACACGGAGCGCTGTAGTTAGACTTCCTGGGGATGAAGACAAGGAAGAGGTTGAAGAGAAGCTGAAGCAGATAGAGGAGAAAGCTACTAATGGATATTAGGTCAAGGTATGGCATGGCATGGTGTGGCTGTTCTTTATGGCTAAAAAAGTCTCGTTTTGACGTTTTGAAGAGGGAAGAATTATATGTACAGAAGGATGTAGCTAAAAGCCCTTTTATTTCTTAGATAGAGATAGATACACTGTTCTAATTTTTAAATTTGATGATAGAAGAAACCATTCCTTCAGCTTTACTATCAGCTAATACCAGCAGGCAATAAATATATGAAGAGAATACCTTGGCTGTCTAAGAGAGGATGTTAGTACGCGCAGGGCAAATCATGTGTTCAACTGAGACTTTTAGGTGGCACTTATTCTAACACTCCAACTATCTGCAACTACTCAGTACAGAATGCCTGTATGAGCCAGTTCATACAGCTCTCAATTGTATTTTGGGGCCAAGTATGTTATATCAAGATATGCCGCTGCACGGCGAGAGTGAAAAGGCTCGTAAAGAGGTATCGATAATTCTGACACTTAGTATAAAGTTCTCCCAGGCGGAGTCAAATAATCCCCGGATTAGAGACATGAAATCTGATTTATAGAGTAAGTAGCGATAAAGAAATTAACACCGAATCCATCATTACTTATGATCATATGTGCTCGAGTGGAAATGAAGAATTTCTGCAATCTACTTGGTTGCTACTTAACAAGTCAAGAGTTCTATTACTAGTGATACGAAACACCACCTCTGTGACACAGTATTTTTACCCCAAGCTCAACAAATAAACTACTGCATGCGTATTACAGTTAGACGCCAAAAGCAGTACTAGGTGCTGCCTTTCAAATTCTTTCTAGTAGGAATTTACAGCACAACGTAAGAGTTACTTTTACTTGAGGACAAGTCACAGATTTCGAGTGAGTATGAATATTTCAGTGATAGGAAAGTTGTAGTAAAAGTATGCAAGCTTGCTGTATTAAATATAAATGAATGGTGTGATATACTAAGTTGCTGCGATGTTGGATCGATCTATGATTGTATATCTTCTAATGATTGAGTGGTAAAAATGCAAATAGAGGCCAAAACCCAAACCCCAAAACCAATCCCCTTCTAAGACCGTATAAACCCTGACATTAAAGAAAGTCTAAGCAGCCTGGTTGCAGGCGATAGTGAAACCAGCCTGCCAATTCAAGGGCTTCTGGGAGAAGGTCTGGAAGTCTCGCTCTGGGTCGGCGAGGCTGGCAACCACGGTTTCCAAGTCCTTCAAGACAACACACTGCACATTGCTGAAGTCGGCGGTGAACTCCAGGCTGGTGACAAAGAGAGTGCCATCCTTCTCTAGGTTGGTGTTGGCGTAGGCCTCTCCAAGGACAACGTTGGATCCATCAAGAGGGATGAAGGCGTTGCCGTTTGCTCCAGTGACATCGTTGGCAAACTGAACTTGAACAGTGCCAGTGGTGCGGCGAGCAGGAGCTGCGGAGACAGCAAGAGCGAGGGTGGAAAGAGTGAAGGCAATGGAGGCAAGCATTTTGATTGAAGGTGTGAGTTGTTGATTTAGATTGGAGTTGAAAGAGTTGGTTGAAGAGTTGTTGTTACTTGTAGACTGTTGTAGTGATTGTTGTAGTGATTGTTGTTGTGATTGTTGTTGTGATGATGCAGAAAAAACTTGAAGAGCGAGATGGAGAGCTGTTTATATAGATAATTTCTTGTTGTTGAAGACGTATTTTCATGATATCCTATATATAGCTTCACATTACACAAAGTAAGCGGATAGAAGTGTTCCGTACAAAGCCACAGCTAGCATGAGGCTAAAGTTGGTAGACAATAATATGACAATGGCTGATAAAGTTTATAAGCCGCAAGAATTACATTTACTAATTGTATTACTGCTCTACGTGAACTGACTAGCATGCAAGCCACATGGCTAGTTGTTGCTTACGCTGAGGCGGAGCGAATTGGCATGTGCGCTATCCGTTGCTTGCCAGCGTCAGCTAACCAAACGCAAAGTCTATACGAAGAACTCCGCAAGTAGTAATAAGCTGCAGAGCAAGCTTGACAGAAGTGCGCTAAACACTTTGCAGTACATGAAGAGGACATGCTTAGTAACTTTCTCCAACATAAACTAAAAATAGAGTATGAGAACTCAACCCTAGAGCCGGGAACGTTTCGGGAAACAGAACTGCGCCTCAGCTGAATCTACCTTACAATCCTTAACTAACTCGGTGTGCATCCACTTCAGCTTTCCCATCAAGAAATCCATCCTCATCCTCTACGCCAAGCAGCCCATGCTTGTGTAATCGCTCGAGTACAGCGTGCGGACTCATCTCGAGTGAATAACCCGAATGCGCAGTTTTCAAATTGTTAAGGCACAAATTGGGTAGATACACATCGTGTTCAGGCTCCGCATTGTTAGGCATAACAGGCTGTAGGACCTGTACCAAAAGCTGACGAGCCGTTCTTTCCGTTGACATAAGTGAGCGCCATTCATAATCATGTGTTGGCTACATCACTAACCAAACGTGCAGATGAAAAGAGAGCTATTATTCACACAGACAGCTGATTGCGCCATTGAACACGAATTAGTAATGCCCAGGGAGCTTGACTATGGGAAAGCACTGAAATAGATATAGAATCACTAAATTGCAGAATTGCATGGGAGAGATTATGACTGGTTGTTTTCTCCCCATTCTTCCAATTTGAATACACTCTTCCACAGTACTAAAGGTTACTTGGGTAGACCAATTTGCTTGGGCTCTGGCCCAAAAGTTTAGAAATGCGAGAAATTACGTTTGTGCATGATCTGTTTCTGAAATGAATGAAGAAAGTATAAAACAGTTGTAACGCCTCATCCACACCCTAGAGCAACACAAACATACCCGTTTCTCTGAGTAGCCCTCATATAATCCCTGAGCTTAACTTACATGCCTCATCATGAGGGTCGTAAAATTCGTTCGTAGTTTTTCGCTATTTTCTTTTCACATTGCTGAAAAATATTAACTTAGTTGTCTACTTCGGGCAAGTAACAAAAACGAACATTGTTTCGTTTCGTTTCGTTTTACCTTCTCCAGGACACTAAAATCTGTGAAATAGTTATTAGTGATGGAGTTTTTAGCTACTAAAACATTTGTTAATTATATTTAACCTTGTGACGACTTTGCAAATCTGTGTATTGGGCTCCAGACAAAGTCAATGAGACGCGCAGCCTGGCGCCCACTTAGTAGATGAATCCGTCTTCACAGATTATCGTTACACTGAGACGTTGGACCGTCTGGTTCATCAAATGCCTCGTCTGCTGCGCTTGGCATATGTCGGAAATATACAATCCGGAATTCCTGTGAGCTGGCGGAAACATCTCGCGTTGTACTCTTTGCTGAGTGCATACACCAAAATGAGCCAACTGGAGCTGGAGCCACTTACCCTAAAGGAATTTTCCCGGAGTATGTCTTCCTCGTCTCGACTTATATCCCACATTGGCTGTTATTGATGGCTTCAATCCAACCGAGTTTGTAATTGCACATAATATGTTATAGTATATCTCATTTGATGCAATGTGCAGTCCTTTAGATGAGTATTTTCCCCTCCGAATACCGATACCAAATTGCTAGTCATTAACTCGCTAATGAGCAGGATCGCGACCTCCGTGATAGCGGAAAGAGATTACTGTGAGGTTACAAATTTTCAACCTCAATGTACTGTAACGAGCAGCTTGCGGTTATGCTTGAGCCGATCTGCGTTTCGACAGCCATGTAAGTACATATAGGCGCTGTACATGTATGTATACGTGCATCGTCTCACGTGTCCCACAACCCTGTCGAAAACAGCCTAGCAATAAATGCTCGAAGGATTCGTTTTGCCGACTCCATCCCCGCTCACTTGTCAGGCATCAAACTAGCATTGCAGTCTGTTATCAAAGAAGTACTGCCATCTGAACTAATACGAGGCCAGATCCTGCCCACTAAGCCAGTGGTTAGTCAATGTCCCTACACTCTCAGAGAGCGCCGGTTCTCTAATCCCTGTCGCCTGGATTCAACCACGGTACACCGCAATATCGCTTCTTGTTGTTCGTATCCGGGCACAGGATATACACACAGATTTGGGCCAAGAACTGGTTAGCCCAAATTAAGAAGCAGGCAGTTTTTTCAACTAAGAATATGACGCATGAATAATGCAAACTGGATAATGAGTTATTCGCCTCCCCCACGTCGTCGATTGAGTGACGATCCTCCGCCCCGGAGATACACAGGTTTCTCGAATGAGCGGCTGAGCCCAGAAAGGCAGTTTCGTCCGTCTCGCAGAGGTACCAAAAGAAATGAAGACGACTTTGATGTTTCTTATGGTGGAGAGCCCGTACCCGCGCATACAGCTTCGTGGGAGCCCCAACCCGCCCCAGAGTCTTACGACTTTCTGAGCACTTCACCACGCACATCATCACCAACCAGTGGCAGTTACATCACGGAGAAGAATTCCAGTACTATACCCAGTTACGTTGAAGGGGTTGAGAATGATGGCACAAAAGCTGAAGAAGTCGAGGAGGCTGGCATGTCGTGGACGGTGACCCTTCCGACCAACAACGAACACATGCTTTACACGCATTTGTCTGACTCGAATTCGGCTTGGAAAACAAAAAAGTATCATGACAAGAAGATTGGCACAACAACTCTTGAATCGATTTACTCCATAAGATATTCAACTGGTGAAATGGGACAAGGAAAAATTACACTTTTCTGTCCACAAGGCCCTACCAGGGACAATGACGATTCAGCTCCAGTGCAAGCCAAGTGGCTGTAAGTATCTATACGGCCTCTAAGGCTTCTTTCAAAAGCTGACCTCTATGTCAGCCATGTTCAACGTTCTTCGATGAGCGTCAAAGTTTTGGAAGTATGATGAGCGAACACATTGTGTATCATTGCACTGACTAACACGATACAGAAACTCGTCATGGATTGCCCAATAATTAATGGAGATATCCGGAGAGTTGCCATTTTGCTCCTTGAGTCTGTCGAAAAGTCATTTCTCCGGGAATCTGAAAATGGTGCATATATCGAACCGGGTTCTGTTTTGCGATTTAATGGCACCCGCCAAGTACTTCATGACGCGCACAACTCTGTGGTCACGGAACCGGTTATTTTTTCGGCTTTCCCGTTTATAGAGTTGGCTTCGTCCAAAAACAACAGTGGATCTCACGAGAGAGATGATTTCTATCGTCGGACTCTCCTTCAGAATCTCTACGGATTTGACGTTGTCACAAGTCGGGGCAAGAACCAGGTTATTCATAAGATGCCGGTCAATTGCCAACCACACGACACATTGTTTGTCAATCAATTGTGGTGCCTGGTGATAGGCTCGGATATCTTAATCACTCTGTCGGACCGGCCGCCGGATGACTTGCTTGGTGGCACGATCGAGAAGCGTACCGACTACTTTAGACAGCCGCTGAGAATCGAGATTGTCGATGTCAAGGGCTTTCAGCATAGCATGAGCATATCATCGAAGACTCCATGGGTAGATTTCTTCCGGCAAGTTATATATACTGTTCACGGCAATCTCATTAGCATCATGGACTATGAGCTAGTTGATCAGGCAGACGAAGTTGTAACGACAGAACGATGGGCTGAACTAGCAAAAGCGGCGAGACCATCGCTTCTAAAGTTTCATCTTGTCAAAAGAAAAGCACCAACATCACGTTCATCAAGTGTATCTAGCCGACGAAGCAGCCGTTCGGGTATCAGACGACTTTTGCTACTCGATTACGCTCAGCGCGACAATCGCCACAGCTCAAGAACAAGCGTATCAAGATATCACACAGATACATACGACGGAGATCTGTCTTCTAGAGAAAACATATCTACATCTAAAAGGGCCTCAACTCCAAGACGACTGTCAATACATGGTCATCCTTTGATGAACGAACAACAGGCTCCTGCTAGCAGCATTGAAGAGCAAAGAGAAACGGCTACAAGCCTCGAAGACAATTTTTTCTATATAAGCGACGATGACGAAAACAAAACGCCGAAAGAAGGATCTCCAGACGTTTCAATGGCAAAAGATGCGGCTAGCTCCTCCAAGAATGTTGGCACTCGACAAAGGGACAACGAATTAAATGAACGCGAAGAGGTATCTACTTCTCAACCAAATACACCAGTTACTATGTACCGAAAAGCTCAAGTAGATGATGGATCTGACTCTTCTGATGGAGACGAGATGAACAAACGCAGTCACAATGATCTGATTGGCGCTACATCACCTGACACGAGTACCGAGTTGAACTTGGGTGATAATATGGTGCTAAACGGCGAACATAATTCTTCTCAAGATAATTTACCTGAGCTTCGCAATCTTGAAAAGGCGCAAGAGATAAGATTTATCTTTGGAAATAGTACCAGCTTTCCACGAGACGTTTCATATGAAGGGTCTCGCTCACGATCTTCCTCCCTTTCAAATTCGACAGATGAATCCTCCCATTCACGTGGAAGGAGTCTCACACGGAAACGGCGTGCCTGGAGATGGGAAAGTTCAAGTTCGGCGCCTGATCCTTCGTCGCGCTCTGGGGTGCGCTTCCAGCCTCAGAAGCGGCGCTTGAGTGACAAAGACAGTGCAGAGATGTCTCCTTATGGAAGTTCAAATGCTACCAAGGTAGAAACACGATCTGTACCAAAAGCTGTCCCATTCTTTTTCTGGAGACAAAACAGCATGACAAGTACATTCTCATCGCTCGACACTCAAGAACAGGTCTTGATTAAGCTTCTTGACCAAATAGATGAACGCATTTCCGGCGATCCAGTTAGCAGGTACTATTTGAAAGTTGCAGAACTAACTATGGACGATTTATTATCGAGACAAGAATCCCTTCACGAATCGAGTTTGAGGATGGATTCGAGGCTTGTTCAGGGGAAATACAGCCAAATGATTAGATCAGGTGGACAAGGAATAATTGATAAACCTGCTCTTGACAATGCGCCTGGTTCAACAAACACACCATTAGGCCAAGGTGCCAATGAGCAGACATACTTTGGCCAAACGAAAGCTCTAGGCCTCGTGAGCCACGATAAGGCACTTGCGAAACAACTGGTGGAGATAAGCCAGCAAATTATCTGGTCATTCATACCAGATACCGACGGCTCTGTGATACATACCCTATTAAAACGACTTTGGGGTTGTGTGGATATCATGTGTCTGGTAAGCAATCCTCTTATTCGCTCTTGCAATGGTCAATGCTGATACCATTTGATCAATGGTAGCAAATACTTTGGGAAGAGAACGAAAGAGAGCGTGAATCTGAATGTACATATACCATACGTGACTTTTCGAGCCAGGTCAAGAAAACGGATCTTCGTAGGCGAGAGCTAGCCTTGGCCAAGACGTCCTATTTGGATTGCGGAGATTGTAAGACCGCAAAGCCTTATCAATCGGCCATTGACGCGCTGAATCATTTGCATGAAAGACATATTGAATGCAAGCATCGCGACTCTGATCGCCCATATGACGATCCCTGCTATGTATGGCTGCGTCGCACTTGGCACGATGGATATCCCATGCGAAGCTCTCGAGACGGACTTTTGGGAATTATGGAAGAATTCATCGAGGAGCTATCTTTTATCAGCGACTATGTGGGAGAGTTGCACAATATGACGACAAGAGATTCTCCAACAAGCGATGCAGTCTCTACACCTCCATTGTCCATGAACATTACTCATGCGTTTCAACAAATTATCAAAATGTTCGTCTTTCGCTCTAAGCAGCTATCTCTTATCAATCGGCGGCGAAGCTTGATCAGCGGAAGCTCACTTGAGAATTTCCCGTTAATTCAGCGCATTGATCGAAAGATTGAGGAACTCTTTTCGCTGGAAATGGACGCCAACGAACGCATCATAGACCGCTTAGAGAGTGCCAAGAAAGATATCTTTCTGACTGGTATCGGATCTCATTCTGAGATGCTTGAGGCTGAGACTGTGCGAGTCCAGTTTCTTGCATTGGCATTCATGTCGGAGATCCAGAGACCTCTGTTCCAGCCATCTACCATGGGCCGCTCTTATGAAAAGGATACTCTCTTGCGGCTCTACAAAGATTACACATCTCGGCTTCATTTTGAGGCAAATAACCGACCTCGAAAACGGGTCTTTTTGGATATTCATGGCCTCGAAGAAGAGCTTCAAGCATTGGACAAATTAGTAGATAGCCAAGAGAGCTGCCTCTATAATTTCCTCACTCTCATCGACCCTCTGACTTCTCGATATACCACGGAAACACGATTCAGAGAATTTCGAGTCGAAGTGCAATTTGGCAATGATCAGCTACACCGCCGAATAGAAAGACGGCGAGAAATTGACAATTTAGCGACACGACTATGGATTCTGAAAGATCAAGTAAAGCAAACGATTGAGATAATGGAAGAAGATCATGGAAAAGCCATCAGGGTTTTCACTGTTGTCACGCTTTTTTTCTTGCCGCTGTCATTTGTTTCGAGCTTCCTCGGCATGAATACGACAGACGTGAGGAATTCGGAGTGGAATCAAGCCATTTTTTGGATAACTGCAGTACCAGTTACGGTAGGAGTACTATCACTCGCATTTATCTACGGCTACAGAGGTGAAGAAATCCGTGACTGGATGATTCAAGCATTGCAGGCTCGAAGCCGTCAAGGTACAGCATCAGCATTTCACGAAATGGGTGGACGAACATCGTTCGAAGCGAGACAAAAAGAGCGGTATCCGGCTATAACAGCAGAACAAAATACAATTGAGAAAAGAGGCTTCAGCAATCTAGTAAGAAGCAGAATGAAGAATATACCTGGCTGGCAGCGTCACATGAACGGCACCTTCAAGGTATCCGACGGGCTTGACGGGAGAGTTTCGATAAGGCGGCGAAACACAGAAGATAGTCTGGCACCTATGAGACATGAATGAACAGACATAATGAAGTAAGATTACACTTGGTGCTTGCATACTACTGGATGGTTCTCTACGCGTAAATTGTAATAATGGTAGAAAATATGAGTGGTATGTCATTTTAAGCTAATACACTTTTCTTAGGTGACATTGGCGTTAGTGGCCTTTGACGACGGCCAAGACGAAGCCAGTGAACACAGGCGTAGGTATCATAGAGTGGCAAGCCACGGTCGGCATCAGCGTGGCCTGAACTCTCTCGTCTCTGCCAATCTTTGTCAAAATAGTCTCGCCTCCCTCTTTTGTCTGCCCGTTCTGAATCATCGTAGGGATCACGTCGTCGAGGAATATACATCCATTGGGGCGCGTCAACTTGACCGCCCAGTCAAAGTGCTCCCATTGGTCATCAAAGGCCGCGTCAATGAACACCATGTCAAACTGCCTCCCTTCCTCCGCAAGCTTCGGCAAGACATCCAGCGCCGCTCCGAGTAGAACTTCTGCGTCGAGGCCTTTGACATTCTCTAGCGCCACGTCGCGATGTTTTGGGTTGATCTCAATGCTGGTCACCTTGGCACCTGCTTCTGCAAACACAATAGACGAGTAACCCCCCAGCGTACCAACTTCGAGAATCGACTTGGCTCCAATGAGCTGAGCAAGAATGGATAGATGTTGGCCGGCCATGGGGAGGACACTGATAGGTGGAAGACCTTTGGCTGTAGAGTTGGCCAAGCATTGCTCGAGTCTGGGGTTGGGACGAAGCAATGCAGCTTGAGCTTGGTTGTCGAAACTCGTGGCCAAGCGGAAGTTTTCGAAGCTGAAAAGGGCCATCATCTCGGGTGTTTTGAAATCCATTTTAAGGTGATGTAGTGTTGTAAGCTGCAAGGTCGGAAGTGTTGGTTGATGATGATGACGATGAGGGTGACTCTGTTGAGAGTAGTAATGATGAGGGCTATGAGATTAGTAGACCATACCAAGTGATGCATCCAACGTATATATACTTATTTCGGGCTCCTCGAAGCACCGATGGGCCGCACAAACTAAGCATATGGCATTGACTGATGTCAGGAGGTGTGTTTCGGGTGACGAATCATAGGAAGGTATTGCTGCGGCAAGTGTGATCCACTTGGTACTGCCGCATGATGGATATGCCAAGCTCTAGAGCTGAGTCCATGTGTATACCTCTACCATCACAATTGAACCTGGTCTACTCCCCTGATACTTGCCAACCTGGTCATTATTGAGGCAAAAACTAAAGTTTTCCTAATTAAGAACAGAGATATACTGTATAACAGAGATGCCGTACATACGTAGTAGAAGCCAGAATTTTCCGAGACAATATCCGACGTCTCGGTCTTTTCCAGACACTGAAACGGACATAGTCGCTACTCTTAGAATGTGCTCAAATACTAACTCAAAACACTAAACTTGTTCCCGTGTTGCTCGTTCATCTTATCTGATCAAACGAGCAACGCGAATCAACAAGGATCATCTTCCCCAGCTGGCGAATCAAGAGCTGGCTCGGACACGATCTCGGCAAGTTGCTCCAACATCCGAGCCGGAGCATCAAGTTTGCTCCACAACTTCCGGAGCCGACCTGGTCCCCACTTGCCAAATTCGGCTCGTTCAATCTTGAAGGGTTTAGTGTCCGAATTCATGTCTGCCTGGCTTCGGTGTAGATCCCGACCGCCAACTTCGTAAACACGACGGACCGCGCGTAAATCTGCATTTGCAATATCGCCTGCGTCACGCAAAAGGTCGCGTGCTGTACTTTCTTACAATGGAGCCTGCATTAAAACGCGGCATTGGCGTCCCTTTGTCTGGCTCTTCCTCCCGCGATGCACGCAAGAGGACCCCTCCGTCGCTGTCAGATTGCACCAGCGTCTTCGTTGTGGCCCCCGACTCGGAACAGACGTTGTGCGAGATCCCAACCAACTTGGTGGTGGATCCGTTTAGGCAAAAGAGGCTGCATCATAAGTCCAAGCGTGGCTGTCTCCAATGCAGAAAGCGGCGAGTAAAGGTGAGTCGATCGCTTAGGTCTTTAATCCTTCGCTTTCATTAACCCTCGGTGGTCTGAATGCTGACTTGCGCCAACCACACAAGTGCGACGAGAAACTTCCCACATGCTCGGCGTGCATCCGTCGACAGGAGCCTTGTAGCTTCAAGCCCGTGAGCCGTAGGAGAGAGATTGAGAAATCTGCAGACGTTGTCGACGAGGTGCCTCGGAGTCTCTCACAGCGATGCGGGCTGGTACTGGATGAAGTGGATGAAGCAGTCAACTTGCTACAGATGAAACTCTTCCATCACTTCCAGCATGACACTATCCCAACACTTCTCTTTCCTTCGGGAGCCTGGATTAATGCCCTGCAGCTATCTTTCAGCTTCCCCTCTCTGATGCATGCCATGCTCTGCGAGTCGGCAAGACATCTGTCGTATCTCTTTCCTGATGAGCAAAAGTATGCCACAGCGGCCACTACTCATTTGACAAAGACTTTAAGTATATACTGCGAAGATCTTTCCAGCAAATTTACACCGTCCAACGTCGACGCATTCATGACTACGACTACACTGTTAGTCATGGACATGTGGTCCAATACCGAGTTTGCAGTGCTTGAGCCTGACGGAACCATGTCGTATGATCCGCTCAAAGACCACCTCTTCCAACACAGCGTGGGTATTCTGCACGTATTCCTGAACTGTGTTCCCCTTTCCTTGCACAAGCAATCGTCATTACTTCCATACGTCAAGTACAGCTCTCGGACTGTCCTGGTCAATGCCGCAAAGCTAAGTAGAGATTCATTTGACAAGTTCAGGCGGTTCTTTGCGTACGACCGCCCTGTCAGCCCTTCTCTCCTTTCCGTCCCTCTCCCCTTCATTCGCAATTCCGACCTCACCCCAGAAAGCTCGTTGGCTGTGGAAATTCCAAAACTAGCAGAAATAGGTCCTTCCACGTCCAAAGAAGCAGGCTACTCTCTGAAAGGATACTATGGCATAGTGGATCGCCTTTGCCTCATATTGTCGTTCCTACCAGAGGCGCAAGATGGGGAATGCGAGGCTCTGAACCCCGAGTTGAAAAGAAACCTATCTCGGTATATCATCATCTTCCCCCTTCTGTGTGACCAGCAGTTTGTGTCGATGGTGAGGCATGGAGACCTTCATGCAATGGTCTTGTTGTACCACTTTTACCGCGCTGTGAGGATCCTTGTTCCTTCAACAGAGCATTGGTGGGCACAAAAGAGAGCTATTTTGGCAGAGACGGCGATGGAGCAATGGATACTGCGAGAGTGCACCAGAAATGGGACGGCTGCTGCAGTCATAGACGAGCAACGTTGAAGCTTCTCTAGGCGCTTTATTAGTATAAGGTACGACTTCTACTAGCTTCATCATGGTAATAAGTTTATGTATTTGTAATATAGAAACACTTGTCCCCTCCCATTATTTCCATCCTCGATATCTCCTCCATACCATCGTATTTAGACCTGTAGTAAATGCAAAATGCTTGATTTATCTTCTAGTATATAGCCTCACATATATTACCATTACAACAATTGGCGTATGAGAATGTCAGCTGGGTAGTTCTATGGGATGCATAGAAGTTCTGTCATACGACGAGCTTGGTAATTCCGTAGGCCCCCAGCCGCCCGTGGAACGATGATCGGTTTTAGGTTTGGGGCTAAGATGATACCAAGCCTGGTGGCCCTCTCTTTGCGCGGGAGGACGTGATCGGGTCCTCCGCAAAAGTAAAATGGCAGCAATGCCAAATAGACATAACAAAGCAATGCCGCCGATGACGCCACCAATGATTGCCCCAGTATTGTTCGTCGAAGAGCCACCGCCATCGTTGCTTCCACTGTTATCGTTGGTTTCTTTTGCGAGCGCATTAGTCGTTGAGGGCCCTGATGGCTCTGATGTGCTGCCTGGAGTTGCATTTGTTGACTTGGACGATGATGGAACCGGAGCCGAGCTCGTTTGCGTCGTGCTCGTCGTCGTTGAAGATGGCTGCGAGGTGGGGGAAGCAAGATAGTGGTCAGTCTTGGGACTGCCTCCACAGGCAATGTAGGTGTATGTCTGATCGACTCCAAACGTCAAGAGGGCGGTTGAGCAGAATTGTTTCGGTCCACTACAAGAGCCAAATCATCAGCAACTGCTACGGCTCAAAGAGGGTGCGTAGCTGTATAGAAACGAGGAGGATGAGCCAAACCAAGTAAATGTAGTCAACTGGGTCATGTCCGTTTGCCCGCATCCACTCGAGCATGATGCTTGGTCAATACAGCTTCCAGCCAAGCCGCAATCGGTAGCTGCAATGACTGTGACCGGACAGAAGCCCCAAAGGCCATTCATCGTGTCAACTCGACAGTCGAATCCCGGGGCGGCAGTGCGCATCTTGCTGGGGTCGCCATTTTCAAAGCCACAGGTAGACATTTGTGTCTGGATATCAGCCCGTTTATCGAAACCCGTGCCATGTTGCTCAACATTGCGCCGAGGTAGCCATGCCACGGGAGTGGGCAAGACACCGAGATTCTGCGCGCTGAGAATATAGAACTGTGAGAATAAAAGGAAAACGGCGAGTATTCTCGACGCATGTGCAGTAGAGGCTCTCATATCTCATGGGCCTGGCATGTACCATGAAGATTGTGGCCGATCTGCAGAACAATACGGAGTGGGAGCGAAAACCGCTGGCAGAGGGAGTGGAATGGACGCATCGCTACGAGATCAGGCTGCCCCTTTGCGCATCCTTACATTTCATATAATGAGGCATTTTGTCGGGTACACAAAGCACGAAGATACTCAGGGTACACGGCAGGACAAAGCTGAGTCTTTAGAAAGTTGTTGGTTCCAGATGGAATCCTGGCGGTTATTCGGCCATCAGCGGTAGCACCATATACGTGCATCCACTGAACATGTGTCCACTAAAACCACTAAATCCACTGAACCCGTGGCTGTAAACCCCCACGGCGCCTCGGAACCAGCCGTGTGGGCGCTTCGCATCCTCGTTGGCCAGCCTGATCCGGCCTGTACTTCAAACAAAGGTTGCGCCGATGCGACCGACGACCAACAACGTTTGAACCACCTGCAGGCGGCACAGGCCCCTTAATATGATCTTTGCGTCACCGTGCTCTGCTTCATGATGTGGCCACGGATGCGCGTTTTGGCACCGACATGCTGCATCGTCACCGACTCTCAAGATGCGTAGGAGACTGTCGGCGCTGGCAGTTCCGCTGATTGTGGGCTTCATTGTCGCGACGGCGCTGTTCATGAGCAGAGATCGACTTGTACGACCCTTGTTTCGACATGCCGCTGGCGATGGAAGACCGCCAAAGCCTGTTGCTGATGGTAAGTCCTCTGTTCTTGGACATGGCTGTTGGCTGTCTCTAAACATTCTGACTGTTGATTCTTCCAGGCGCCATCTTACCGGCCGCCAACATCACGCAATATCTCGATGCCATCCTGACATCACAGCCTTCAACGCTGCCAACCCTAAAATGCCCTGCGCTCAACAGCACCGCACGATACACCAGGCTCAAGAGCAAAGACTCATCCGATCCAGCCATTCAATACTTCTTCGCCCTCAACCTGCGACAAAACTTGCCTCTGCTGCCTCGGCTAATAGGCAGCATCGTCGAGGCGATTCGATTTCTCGGTCCTGCGCAATGTGCACTGTCCATCGTTGAAGGCAACTCTCCAGACGGCACCGCTGATGTTCTTGCTGCTCTCCAGCCAGCACTCGAGAATATGAGAGTCGCTTATTATTTCGAGTCGTCTACAATCGATCCCAGTAAAGACGACCGCGTTGGGCGCCTTGCGCAGCTTCGAAATATGGCATTGGCGCCGCTGTCAAATTTAAAGGGCAAGGTGACGGACAAAACAACCGTCATTTTCCTCAACGATGTATCTGCGTGTTCCGAGGACATCCTCGAGCTTGTCCACCAAAAAAGGGCCCTTGATGCAGACATGACATGCGCCATGGACTGGACATATGCTGGCGAACACCCCACCTTTTACGATGTGTGGATCGGCCGCACGATCAACGGCGATTCCTTCTTCGAAATCCCCCCAGACGGAAACTGGGACTCGGCATGGAATCTCTTCTGGAACGCTGATGAGACTCGAGATCGCTTCTCCAGGCAGCGCCCCTTTCAGGTGTTTTCATGTTGGAACGGCGCTACAGCATTCACGGCCCAGCCAATTTTGGAGAGGACTGTGCAGTTTAGGGCAGCGAATGAGTCTGCTGGTGAATGCAGGCAAGGCGAGCCGCAGTTATTCTGCAAAGACCTGTGGTTCAAAGGCTACCGCAAAATCGCCGTCGTGCCGTCCGTGAACCTTGAGTACTCTGTGGAAAAGGGAGAAAGGATCAAGGCATCCAAGGGGTATACGACTGACTTGGTGTCAAAGCAAGATGCTGCGGACGACCAAATAGACTGGCGGCTTGATCCACCAGACATGGTGAGGTGCATGCCTACTTGGGCAAACCAGTATTGGCAGCCATGGAATGAAACTTTGAGGGCTTAGTTGCAGCTGAAAACCCGCCGCGTGATTATCATTTCCTTTTGACGGCAGTTTTGTGTATATTAATGCGACGGCGGCTTGGGCTTTGGGTTTTGGGCTTTAGTCGAGTAGATAAGGCGCACTCTGCCACTTATACAGGCATTAGAACCCAGAAAAGGGCTCGACGTGGTCCCGAATTCTTCATAACATATATCCATAATCATGTGTACTGCCGTCTAAAAGCGTTTCCATAAGTTTCTGTAGACTTAAACTCAAATGAAGAAAGACGCTGGCTTTCTCTCTTCCATTGTTCTAGTCCTTCTACTGCCGTTTCCCTCTCTCACACCTCCATACATTGATAATCTCCATCTCAGAGTCGCTCTTCTTATGCAACCAAGTTTCCCATTCTACGGCCAAGTATTATGTTCGGAAGAGATAGCAACAGTCTTGTGAGTACGCACGAATGACACTAAAGAATCCACCAAATTAAGCCAAACCCTCGCAAGGGCCCAACGCCATGAGCAAATCAGTCCTATTCTCTCTTCTTTTGGCTAATGGACTTTGTCAGCGGGAAAGAGATGAACAGCTGGAATGGCACAAGAAGCCATGACAAGTAGACTGCAACAAGTAAACTTAGTCGTGAAAAAAGCGTCTGCTCTTGTATCGGCTTCTCCAACTCCCAGAATTTCCGATATCTCTCCTCCGCTCCTGGGCCGTCCTCTTGTCGAACTTTTAGCAGCCATTCTTCATCAGGCCTCTGCATTGAATAGCAATCGGGCTTTGCTCCCGCCTCGCGCAAGAGGTGCACAATATTCCAGTGGCCCTTGATGACGGCTGCGTTCAAGGCAGAGCCATACTTGCCACACCATTCGTGACAGGCGACACGGGCTCCTCGATCCAATAACAGACTGATTGATTCTGCCAGGCCCGAGTACGCCGCCGCCTGTAGAGCTGTCCCGAAAATTCCACTATGAGCGTCGACATCAATCGGAGGTTCAAGGTCGAGGAGAAATTTTACCGTCTCGGTTGCCGCGTCTATCCTTCTAACATGTACTGTTAAATAGAAGTCGTCGCTGTGTGCACATGCTGATTGAAGAGGCAAGCCATATTCGCCACTCGAAAAATTAATATCGGCACCATTTTTAAGAAGAAACCGGATCTTGCCAATACACCAATCCTTGAAGCCGTCATGCCATATCCATCCTGCCCGTGGCATCTCGAGAGCATTATGTAGGGCAGTGCCATACTGGCCAGACACTTGGTTAGCATCGGCGCCATGGTCCAATAAGAGTTGGAGCAGTTTCATATTGGGAGCAGCGGCGGCGGCGGCGGCATTTAAAGCATTGCCGTACTGGCCGCCCTGGATGTTGACATTTGCCCCGTGTTCAAGTAAGAGGCGTATTATCTCCATATGCGCATCATCAGAATACATCTTCGACGCGGCTGCCGCAGCTTGTAATGCTGTTCCAAATCGACCACCAACTGCATTTACATCAGCGCCACTTTGAAGCAGCAAGCGCACGAGGGCTGCTGGATCATAGCAGCTGCAGGCAGCCTGCAGCGCATTGCCAAATTCTCCGCCCTGGGCATTCACTTCAGCGCCATGGGCAAGCAGCAACTGCACCAGCTCCAGTTTTGCGTGTGAACATGCGGCCTGAAGAGCACTGCCGTGGTAGCCGCCTTGCAGGTTCACATCGGCCTTGTTGGCCAGCAGCCACTCGGCCAATTCCATTTTCCCGAGCATCGCGCATGCCTGCAGCGGCGTCCCGAAAAGACCCCCCACGGCATTCACATCAGCGCCGCTGTCAACCAGAAACTGTGCGATGCGAATAGCACTGGTTTCCGAGCTGTGACATGCAAAATGCAACGCGGTCCCCGACCCTTCACACTGGGCCTCGAGATCCGCGCCCATCTCCATCAGGCGCCTCATTCGGTCAAGCGCGCCATCAACATCATCGCCATTCCGAGCCAGCCCATGAAGAGGAAAGCCATCTTTTCCGCCAATATTGATGTCGGCTCCTCTCTGTAGCAGTAGGTCGAAATTATCCCAATTTCCCCAGCTTGCGGCTTGATGAAGCGCCGTCTTTGCATGGTCTCCAGTGCCACGCATATTTATGTCGGCTCCCTTGGCTAGGAGAAACTCAAGGTGTCTGGTATTATCTTTGCGCGTTGCTGCTGAAAAAAGAACTTCTCTTGCGTTTGGGCCGTTGATGTCAGCGCCGTGGTCGATGAGAAGCTCCAGCATCTCCAATCCATCTTGCCCTGCAGCAGCTTCCAAGGCTGAGCCCCTTCTCCCGCACTGCGCATTTACATCAACGCCGCTCTCAAGGAAGGTCCTTACAATGTCCAGATGTCCATGCCGAACTGCCTTTTGCAATGCCTCGCCAGTTGTGGCATATCCAATGTTGACCTTTTCTGCATTGACGGCCGCACCTCTGTCTAGGAGAGCTCGCACAAGTTCTTTGCTACCTGCCTCCGTTGCAAGCTGTAACATGGTGTCCATATCTTCCTGCGTCAAATATGCGCCTGTGCTTGGGCCATCTGAGAGTAATAGCTCAGTCAACTGTGAGTATCCTGATCGAGCAGTGAAATAGTATGGATGCCATAAACGTTCGGGGCCATTTCTATCGGACTCTCGACGGCTCGCCAAGAGCGTGATGGTTAGACCTTTGCTTCCAACAGAGAGAGCAGAGTTCGCCATTTTAACAACTTCAGTTGGCCATGATTTTCGAGGGACCATTTCAAGATGACCCGGCCAGTTTGCAGCTGTATACCATTTTAGCGTGTCGCGATGAATGGAGTTGCAGTTGCCCCTGGGATCAGATTTGAATTTCTCAAGGTTCTCTACAACTTTGCAAGTAACGCCCGCGTGTAGAACGTAGGCGAGGCTTGAACGTGCAATCCAGATATGAGCGCCAGTATCGGTGAGCGAGAAAGCTGACGCAAGGTCTTTGCAAACACGACCAGAAACCAGATATTCCTTAATCGAATAATGAGACAGACGGACATATTTTGTTTCTCTATCCATCTCAACAATAATAAGTCCATGTAGATATACCAAAACGTCCTCTGAGTTGAAAACACGATCATCTTCATCAATCATAGTGTCGTTTTCCGGTCGCAGAATAAATATTTCAGCGAGTTCGTCTACGGTTAATGTGCAGAGGGAGAAGGCCAGCCATTTGAGGCAACTTGCTGCCTGCGTCTGATAAACAGGATCTATACTTCGTAGAATCCTCTCATACGTCTCATCAAGTCCTTGTGGAAGCTGTTCCAGAGCTCTCCGGATCTCAGCTGGCGATCTAAACCGCTGTAAGTTGTCAAATTGGCAGCGAACATACTGAAACCTTTCCCATAGCTGTCAGCAAAACTTTTGCAATCCTCACCCCACCAAGTAAGTGTCTATGAAACTTACATTCCATCTGCTTTTTTGATCAACTCCTCTTTTACTTCTGTCCGAATTGTTTGTGGCCAAGAGTTGAAGTCTGCGCTTAATAAAGCCGTATCTATGTACTGGCTAATATCTTGCTCCATCTCCTCTTTGCAACAAGATAGGTCAACCTCTGCAGCCTCTGGCCTGGATAAATGGCCTCTGAATTCGATACTTATATCTAACTCCATCCGACTTGTACAGAATAGATGGAGATTGCATGTTTTGGCCGCGGTTGTAGTTGTAAGAATGCGATTCAGACTCTTCATAAGCTCTGCTCGTTCGCCCTTGAACTTGGGACATTCGTCAAGGGCGTCAATTACGATATATGTTGCTGCGAATCCGCACATGGCATCTAATAAACTTTCTTCAAGAACGCCAGTGGGTGGTTGTGCGTCTTGACTCTTGTATTCTCTCAGCTTCCTGACTGAATCAGGCATGTTCGGTCGTTGACAGCATATTTGTTTGATTAGCGACTTGAGCATACCATCTCTTTCTTGCTTCTTCAAATCGCTAAAGCTGAAATAAAAATAAGCGACAGCAACTGATGAATCATCGTCATATTTATCCTTTAGATGTTTGATGACCGAGGTGCTTAGAATTGATTTCCCCGAGCCGGCTACTCGTCGTTAGTCATGTTTCGGTTCTCACCAGCCACACAGTAAACAACGCACCTTTTCCATGAAGCCATATAAAAGTGCTAGAAATCTTTATCCAAGTAGAGAACTTTTCGTTTCTTCTGAGCAGCCACTCGCTTGTACCGGCCTCGTGCCGATTCAAGGCAGCGTTGTATATTGGTGATGGATCAATACCACACAGCCAACGCATTAGACTTTGATGATCGCTCTTAGAATTAGCATCTTCTACTGCTTTCCTGAGGCCCGAAAGCTCTGCGCCAACGACTGTTAAACTGTTCATGCTCTCTTGGTGCCGCTGCTGCGCCGCCACGCATTCATCATTGTACTGGTTTTCGCGCCAAAGCTGATTGATCTTGATGAAATGGGAGTCTTGGGTGCGAATCTTTCCTATCAGATCACTCCAATCGTCTCGTTTGACGAAATCGCGTCCAAAACGTGAGGCTTCGTTATGGGTGTAGTAGCAATAGCTTGTCACTTGGAATCTTAGAATTTGTCGATACAACTCTTCCAAAGTATTCTTGTAAATGGCTTTAGATGTTGTAGATGCTTCGGAGAGGCTGTTTAATTCGTAGCGCCGATGGTATAGGTCTTCTCGCATTCGACTTTGGACGATGAGCGATGAAATGTACTCCAACCCATCTGCTAGGTCCGAAGCCTGCTCTATAGGGTTTAAAAAGAGCTAGAACAGAAGAGCGCGGATTAGTTCCATTATACAACAATAAGCTAAATAACGTGCTAATCTCACTTACTGGCAATAACACGCCAACACCAGCCCAGGCTAGAGACGCAGATGGGTTGGAACTGACAGCAGCAGTAACAAAGTCATTGACTAGTTTGAGTACCCCCAAGACCTTTGGGATAGCCTCTGTGAGTTGAATTTCCGAACTTCTGAATGTCAATTTCCAGATATTCGCCTGTGTCTCTTGCACCTTATTCTTAAGTATGGTGTCCATCCAATCTCTTGTGCTCGTCTTTGAGCTTGCACCACAGTCCAAGTTTGCGCACAGGCTCTCTTTAAGGCTGGCTTCGTATTTTTCAACAAGTTGAGCATCTTCTACTCGCAACTTTTCGTACGCCACGTTCCAAAGCTCTCGTATTGGTGTGTCTTGGCAATCATGGCTGGGGTTCGCCAGTACGGGTATGTGAGGTGCATTTTCGGCGATCAAGCGACCAGAAAACACCCTGGAGACCGGTTTAGAGGCATCTATCCTATAGTCAAGATATTAATAATCTTCAATCTTTGTGTTCTCGGAATACCCGCATACTGATGTTTGTCTTGACTTCTGTCACGGATCCTCTCCTTCAATCGGTCCCTAAAGCCTGCTTTAAGTAACGACATTGCAACTTCAATTCAGAAAAGTATTGGAAAGCTCTAATTACTCTGAGTGTTCTCGCAATTATGCGGATGGAAGCAAAGGCTGGGTTTTGGCATGGTGATCCGATAATGTAAGTTATGCGACCAGCAACCCCGCCGAGGCTGGGAACGGAGCGCTAAACCAAGCGATGTTATTGGCGCAAAATCCAAGCAGATGTTCATTCCTTGTGTACCCAATGGAAGAGAGGCCATTAGATGGCGACTTTTGTTGGTTATCAGGCAGCGGTATTCCCGCCGGCTCTGCCCCGACAGCCGTAATTATTTTGAATCTAAGACTATATACAGATAATTGGATAGATACTAAAAAGTTGTGAACATATAATCAGCTAAGAGCTCATGAAACATGCCCAAGATTGATGATTAATGCTGTCTTGCAATATCTACAAGATGTTTTGAGAGTCTAAAAAATGTTATCTATCCTAAAGACAATGAAAGCAAGATGGGCAGAAACTATCGTACAACACATTTGACGAGAGCTTTTTAGATTTGAATGGTAATGGTTAAGTCGAGGTATGAATCTCGAACAAGTACGCGCCAGTTGATACTGAATACTATGATTAGTGGACTGCATATACCCACGATCTGGGAGAGCCGTAAAATTGACAAACTCACATGCAGAGGGAGAGATATACATACCGAATTCAGCAATTAAATTGTTTAATCGATAGTCTATATATGAATGTATACTCGCTCGCTATTGACCACGTCTGATTCAGCGCAGAGCTAGAGACTGCGCTTATCATAGTAACGATACTATTGCCTATACCTGGCGGTCTCCATCGCCTTGTTTATCAGATGTTTCATTCCTTGGATGCAACTTAAAAACCTGCGTAACTTGGCCGGTTTTGGTACCAGAATATCTCGTCGTCAAATATGATTTAGAATGAGCTCGACCTCTGCTTCTGCAGTTTCCAGAATATGCTCTGGCGTAAAGTTTGGCACCCATCCCAGACTTTCTGTACCGTTATTTGGTGTAAGTGTGCATCTGAGCATTTCAAATGCATAATGTAAGCAAATCAGCTCTATCTATCTCTCATAGAAGTGAAAGAACGACGATACTCACTTGCCAGCCAATTGTACCCGCACAAAAGCTTTGGGGCATTTGAGCCCGCGGCTCATCGCCTCAAGCGCTTCATCATCCGCCAGCGTAATCCGTTCATCTTCGACAACGCCCTTCTTCGCCAGTGCTGCTGCCATACGGCTATAGAGGTCGTCCCATGCTATGCTACCCGGCGAAGGCAGATAGTAACCTCGTTTTCGTGTCCAGGGTTGCGACTCTCAGAAAGAATGGCGGCGAGCAGGCGAATATAGAGGTCGGTGTTGTCCCTTATGTGGCATACGGGCCACGTCTGGCCGGAAGCGTAATCAGCATCGCTTCTCCAGATAGCGAAATCTAAGAACTAGCGAGTGACATACCGGCGAATTATCGTCAACGCGATAGACTCGCTTTGCCTCCTTGGCTGCTCTGACGATTGCTACGGTCTGGGCAGAAATCAGGTTGCCGAATCCCAATCCCTTGCCATCTTGCACAATTGTCGGTGCTCAGTATAGGATAATATCTTTCACAACCTTTTGGCTTTTGAAGGCGGGTGTTTAACTTACAAACAATGCATGGTGCAATGATATAGCTCTTCACGTCAAACTCCTCTGCCAAAGATATTATGGTATTGTTTGTTGCGACAGCCTGTGATACTTTATTAATTCTGACCATTCGTCTGTGCATCTTTTTGTACGAATTTAAGCCAGAGGCTGCGTCTACCTTTTGAAATGCCTGGTATGGAGCTTGATCTTGTTGCTTCTTCTGGATCTCATACAGTCCAGGATCTATATCTAGTAATGGCCTGTCCGTTGGGGCTCCTGCTAAATCAGAGAATATCTTTGCCCCAGATGTCTATTATTATCAGATGTTAGTGACACCAGCATGAAGATGGCTAATAGAAAGTATATTCCCTCCCAGCGAAGGGGGAAAGAGCTCATATACCCACGACTGTTTGAGACAGGTTTTTGCTTTGCTCAGTTTCGCCTCTCACGGATATTATACAATAGAAGTTGGGGAGTAAGTGCTGTTACATATACCTACCTGCAAAAAATGAACGTCTTGACCAGTCTGCTGGCGCAGCTTAGCTAGCGCTCGGATGAACAGGATCTGTCTGTCAACATTCACCACGTCAATAAACCAGATAACAATTGATACTTCATTACCCACAATGAAGCTTTGAATGGCCGCTTCATTGCTTGGATCGAACGCCGCGGGTTCAGCGCCATAGTCCTGGACAGCTTGGGCTTGAATATCACTGCGAACGAGCGCGTAGATCGTGCCATGGGCTGGCAGCTCTATGCGGTCGGCGCCAGAATTGTGCAGCTGAGCTAAGATGCTGCCGCCTAGGTAGCCGGAGGCACCGGTGAGGAGGATGTTGGCCATGGTTCCTTGCCTGAATCGTGGGATAGGGACTGTTCGACAATCAGCTCAAAATCAGCTCATTGAAAACGACTGGCGCTGAACTGCGGGAAGGAAAATGAGCAGCAGCCATTGCCGACTTACGATTACGCTGTTGGAGATGATGTATGGAAGTTTTGTATGCGCTTGGCTTATTAGGACAGGACTGGTATTGAGTGCAATATTTCCACGCACTTTATCCCTCGCGACAACTGGCCTTGGGTCTTGTATGCTTTAAGTCAATTGGTTACTAGGAATTAATTTGTCTTATACAAGATTTATAATATGATTAGTTTTTGTAGCATACTGCGCCGAGAAATAGCTCATCGTACACCAACTCGAGTATACGACCGATGATGTGGGTATTCATTGTCTACCAGCTGTAAAAGAGAAACTTGGATTACATGTATTTTAATCAATTAAAATCGAAGTCGCGCAAACTCGCCTATGAAAGCTATCACAGTGTATGGAGATCTAAAGACAACATTAATCAGAGGGCTAAAGGAAAGAAACAGTCCGCGTCCACATGCCGTAAACATCGAGTTTACAACGCTAGAGACTATTTTACCCACAAAGAACACATAGAACACTCAGGCTAACGACCATAGAACAGTCATAGAATGAATAGTCTAAGTGAGATAAGACGGGAAAACGTCATTTTTGTCAGCCACCATTACTTATTTCAGATCTCGCTTGGTATATTCTAATACTCTTTAGAATTCTCGCAACTTGCCATCTTTCAGAAATCTCTCCATCGTTTCCGACTCTAGACACAGCGAGATGTCCACGCCACCATCGAGCGTCCCACTGTCCATCACACACAACAAACCATCCATGGCGACCATAATGGCATGCACATAACGTGGCCGCAAACCATTTCCAACAAAGTCAATATCATAAACTCCAAGCCGGGCCCACGAAGTGACAAGCGTGTGCTTCCTGCCAAGAAATGCCCTCCATAGACGCTGAGGCGCGACTTCATGCGCTTCTTCATGAAGTATAGCCGCTACAGCCTCGGGGGTAAACCGATCAAGGCATGTGCGGATCTCCGAGGCTATTGATCCAATCTTGGTGTCTTCAGCTGCGACGTTGCCGATAGGAGAGCCAATATACGTCAGCACCAGAGGTGAACCGACAAAGGTTTCTGGGAGACTCGGCGAAACCCGAGCGCGGATTCCTAAAGTAAAGTCCAAGAAGACTTCATCGTCGCTCTTCAGCAGTGGTAAGCGAGCGCGATTGATGCCCGCCCAGACATGAGCCAGCAGCGCATCAAGGCGTGACACCTTGGCTGTGGTCCACGTAGCTGACTTTTTTAATTGCTCTAGCTCGTCTCCCGTAAAGTGAATGATACTAGTTGTGACAGGATTAGAAATATGCCAACTCTCCCATGGCGGCGGGTACGCAGGTGACATCATGGCTTTTTGCAACAGCGCGGCATCTTTCGGCTTGGAGTTTATTGTCGACTGGCCAAGTGTTGCTGGATGTCCGTCGGTGGTATCCCACCAGTCATGGCGGTGCAAAGGAAGAGAACGGGCCTTTGAGATAAGCTCTGGGTTGCCATCATGGGCATCAATGTCACCGGCGGCCCTGGAGTCTAGCGAGCTGGGCTCAAAAATGGGGTACGCCAGATCTTTCGTGAGGTCTTGCTTCGTAAGCCCATCGCGACAGATTGACGCCCATCGACGCATGAATAGTACAAGAGCATGGGCGTCGCCTAGTGGATGGGCCATCTTTGCGGCCACAGCGAAGCCGCTGCTGCCCAGAAGAGTGACTTGGACGACCATACTCGGCAGGCCTTGGAATGTCTCGAGATCATGTAGAGCCAGCTTCGTTGACGACATCATGAGGCTAGATTGAGGAAAAGTCTCTATCCATAGTTCATCGGAAGCTCGCAAGGCGGGTTCTGGAGCTACTGATGCTGGGGAAGAGTCCAGCTGGACAACGTTCCATTCAACTCCAGGATCTGAATCTAGGCCGTAGGTAATCATCGGTCGATGGAAACGCTCTGTGTGGGAGCCGTTCTCGCGGGCCGGAGCCCACTGAAGCTGGCCCGCCCATTGAGGGAAAGCTTCGAGCGTCTTGATGAAAGAGTCTTTGAGACATCCAACCATCTCAGATGGTTTGTCATGGTCGAAGATCCAGATGGCTCCGGTAGGCGCGAATCGAACAACCGTGGCGTCGAGAATGGACAATACGGTAGAGCTCGCCGTTTGTGGTCGGAAAGCTGGCCGCAGCCGCTCTGTTTCTAAAATGTCGCCCTCCATGATTTGTATTTGAGGGATTGCAAGATATTCTCCTGTCTCTCTTTGTCAAGGGCCTAAGTATAGCAACTGGATTCGACTACCCATTTATACAGACTAGTGATACAGTGCATTCTATTGGCAAATCGCACAGTATTGTCCCTGACCCAAAAGAGTATCATCGCTGGCCGGCTGAGTCACACGGCGTTGGATTTTTGAAGGAGCATTTCATTCATGACTCTTAGATTTGAACAGTCTACCTACCATTTATAGCTTGCAATAAAATGAAATGTTTCAAGTAATTTGAATCTTTCATTTATATTATGTACCTTATAAGCGCAAATAGAACACTTATATGCTTTTGGACCCATACGTCGTGTAGGACTTTATACTTGGATTTCGTAGCCAAGTAGCTGCTTTTGTCAAGCGAAAATGGAGAGAGCGATCCCTCCAGCATTCGCTGTGTCGCAGAAACAAAAGGCATCTTAAACTACTTCACACTCAGAGGTACTTAATTTAGAAGAAGGGCCGATTTCATTTGTACCGTAGATAAATAAATAAATATTTACCTACCAGAGATTATACACATGAACGGCAAATGCCAAGACACCATAGGCTCCATAACCTTTGTAACTCGCAAGCCCCGCAGCCGGCTCAGACACCACCATCACTGCAAATTATGATTTAACGATATCGTTCAATAGGTAGAAGTATATTAAGCCACCATATCATTGTTATGACTCAAACTCCCCTCACCACAAACTTGCCCATGGCTGATAGTCCTCATCCTGCATCAGCCGCTGAAGCTGTCTCCGCCGAACTCCAATATTACCTCCATCAAAGAGTGAGAACACTGCAGCATCGTTCAACAATCTGGGAAATTCCGTATCGGTGCGGTAAGATGTTCTATACGTGTATTAGCTTATCAAACCGTATTCGCGAAACAGGGACAGCTTTCTCGGAAAACTCACATTCCCACCAACTGCATTGTGTCCCAAACAGCAGCCACGGCCTGGTCACTACAGTAGATCTTGGCCTGCAAGCAGGCTTCATATCGGCTCCTGTCATCTCCAGTTCCTTTCTCTACCCCATCAAGGGCCTTCCAGACGAGAATGCGGGATGTATCAATCTTGAGCTTGGCGTTGATCAACAAATCAGCTGCGCTTTGTCTTTCTATAACAGGCACAGTGCCTCTGCGGCTATCTTCTCGAGCAAATTTCAGAGCTGCTTCAAAGGCTGCGCGCATTATCCCAACGGACATGGCACCTGCCAGTGCAGCAGACATGCTAAATGCCCGCTCGATAACTGACGCGCCATTCCCCGGTGCCAATACGTCTGTAACCGGGACCTTGAAGTTGGTATACCTAGTCCGTGGGCCAGAAGCGGCGATGTGGCCCATAAGATTTGGCTCTTCAATCTTTTGATATGCTCCAGGTTCGTTCTGGGCTACCGTATCTGGTGTAACCAGAAGAACAATGATATTCGACGCAGGATCATCCTGGGGATCCTGAGGTCCGCCATCCTCAGAATACCGACAACAGAGACATGAGAGAGCAGCGCCCTTTCCATCCCAACCAGCGCTATTAGTAGTCCACAGCTATATACAGTCAAGAGTTATTAGCGCATGGTTGAACTATTAGATCAAAATTGTGTTTGAGTGTTCGTACCTTGTCTCCATTTACAACATAGTAATCGCCTTCTTTTCTCACAGTAGTTTCCAGTCCCTTGCCACCCTTTTCAAGCCAGTTGGCAGTGCCGCCTGGTTCTGAATGAGTTAAACTCGCAAGTGGATTGCCATCGCAAGTGAGGAAAGGAGCAAGATACTTCTTGTGCTGCTCTGGTGTGCCGCCCAGAATAAGAGGCATCAACCCAAGCCCAGTGCCAAGCACATGAAGCATGATGCTCGAATCAACCGCATAGAGCTCTTCGGCAACAATAGCTCCATCTATGAACGATTCATTGCTTCCACCGAGTGCTGTTGGAACCTGGGCTTTTACAAAGCCTGCTTTCACAAGCTGTTGGTAAAATGGTAGAGTGGCTTGGAATCGGGATTCTTGGTCGCTGTACTGAGAATATATTGCTCTCGCAGGCGAGAGAATTTCTTTGCCGATCTTGGCAGACCCCTCACGCAAAGTCTTTTGCTTGTCTGTTAAACTGAATCCAATCATTTTAACTGCCAATCAAATTAACAGAACTTGCAATGCTAATTATCGATGAGCAGAAGATGGAGCTGAATTGTAAGGATGGAACAGGTGCAAATAGAGAAAGCATGAAAGCGAATCTCTTTTACATGTTATATGCAAAGCAATACAAGCTATTCTCACAATATCTACCCATGAATGATTAGCCTTCAAGCATAAGTTCCCCAATTTCGAGATAGATGGAGGCGACCCAAGAGGGGCGCTCCACCAATTCAGAATCCTGCCGTTTTGCGGCCGCTGTGCCTGGAGAAGGGTGCCCACTAGCCGCGTATTTCTGGGGCTCAACACCACAATGAGGATACTCTACAAATACTTGATACAGAAGATAGGATATGTAATCTATTACTTAATTCTCCAACTACTACAACCAACAAACAGTCCCTCTACTTACCTCGATTGGGCCTATCATGTAGACTAGAATGTTTTTTGCTGACACAAGAGTCAGTGAAGATCCAAATTCGGCGCAACTGCTTGGTCACGTTCTCTAATTTCGGCGATAAGGTCGTCGGACTTCTCGCCTAGTTCTCGGCAGTTGCTTCGAACCCATATATAGCGCTAGGAAAGCAATACTCGCTTGGAGGAATTCACGCCAATTTTTTTACTATTCGTCACAATCTAGCTTGACACGATACCAGTTGAGATAGCATTAGCAACTTCGTCTAGTATTACGTTGATCTTCGCAGTCTTTGTCCATCCAATGCATCTGCAGTAATGGCGGGGTAAATACACTCTTGCGAATTACAACTATGAGATACGTGGATAATATATGAGGTTTCTAATATTGAATCACATCATAGGGTCTGATATGCTGAAAATCGCAGCCTTGCACTTTACAAGAAACCATTACAATAATGTATCTCAACGCTCCCCCAAGAACAGAGAGCTTGGATCCGCCAATCATCACTTCAATGCTTGCTGGGAAATGTGAGCTAGCTAGTCAGTCAGGCAAATGAATGGAGAATATACACGCGTATATTGCGTGTGATAGAAAATGCTAGTCAGAGTTTGGGTATAAGATGATTAGTGGAAGTACTATTCTTTGCAAATGCGTATCTACCCATGCAGTTCCTACATGTAGCATGCAGTGGGGTCCATATAGGTACATGAGCTGAGGGGTTAGTATCCGTAGACGCGAACTGGTTGTCTATTTACAGTACGTTGCTCCTTAAGGGCCACCAATGAACATACGATGTGGGGTTGCTTTCTGAGGAACTAATGAACCATTCTACGTGAAATAATCGCCTGTCTCTTAGTGCTGACTTATCGGGCTTTTTGCGGACTTTTGCCTTTTGATAGCAAGTTCGAGAACTACCTACCTGATGAGAGCTCCTCAGCTACCCCGCCTGGTTATCCAGCACAACGCAAAAGAACTTGGGCTCCAACCTCGGTTCCAATTTGTTTTCCTTTTCAGGCTTTTTCGACCAGAGTCACATTGGGCTAAACTGTAAAGGTTATTGTGATATTGATAACATGCATTGTTCCACTGTACTGTTAAAGCGACACCGCGAAAACGAGACTGCAAAATGTACATCGTGTTCTTCAAAAGACGTATCAAATACACCAATGGGAATATCTTGATATCGATACGCCGATTATAATGTCATGTCCCTCCAACTGCAGCAACGATCGGGGCTTCGGTTACGTGATACATGCGCATTTGGCGGTAGTTGATCCAAGTAGCCACAGCCTCTAGTTACTATTTCTTTGAGATCTATTTAGACCTACCGCAATTTACAACGCCTCAGCTAAATATAGAGGGGCAAGTGGTGGACAGAAAAAGCGAGACTGACAAGATTTTGAGCACACGATGTGATAACTATGCACACAAAAGGCCAAGATCAGCGTTAGCGTAATGAGTGTATGAGTGCTCTTATCGCTATCTTGTGAGCGAATATTCATTTTGCCGTCTCGCTTTTTCTGCCCACCGCTTACTACTGCCTAACTTAGTAGTAACATTTGTCATCCTTGCGGATGGACTGCGCTATGCCAAGTTAGTCACTAGAGAAATCTCCGCAGTTGCGTGCTCCACCAGATGACCAAGATCCGTCAATCTTGGGCAAACCACCCTTGCCTCCTTTGATGCAGCAACTGGAGCCTTTCGATACCCCGATGTTTCACTGAAGCTTTCGCAGCATCCTTGGACCACAGCTCGCCGCTCAGCAGCCTCTAGTCCTTAGCGATAGCTTGCACAGGTGGATTAAACTTCTTCGCAACCCAAGGCAAACGAATCTTGGAGCCATGATTCAGAGTTCAGTCACAAAGCTCAAGGCTGCCCGTACTTGTACAGTGTCTCTGCGCCCTTCCTGGAAGCGACGAGCTCACCTCAGCTGTTCAAATCTCAAGGCATCCCTTGAAAGCCCCACGTTGGCTGAAATCATGCAAGAGGATCAGGCTTTAGCTGAACCAGAGCGTCGAGTTTCCCTAAGGGAGGAGACTATAGTTCTGCGCTGGCTGTTTGGATATCTCGATAAACGAAACTTACCTGGCTGGACGAAGCCTCTACGTTGGCCGCACACTCTCTCTACCTGGCTACCGAAAAAGCCAAAGACGCGTTTCAGAGAAGCAACACTTCTAGGCATTGATATTGATGGAATCAAGGAGCAAGATGGTATGCCGGTACAATTCCACATTGGTATCTCAATCCTACATACCACGGATCTGCATAACCTCTGCCACGATCCTTTACCATTTAAAGAATCGCACGCAAATATTATACGATCGTTTCATTGGGTTGTCCAAGATCCCAATTATTTTAATAAACACGATAATCGCTTCTGCTTTGGTAAATACAAATGCATTCCGCTCTCCAGCCTTGAGGAGTGCTTGAAGAAGCTTCTTAGGCCACACTATCCATTAATCCTTGTCGTCCACGGAATCTCTCTCGAAAGGATTGTTCTCCAAAAACTTAATATTAGGTTAAATCCAATCTTTACGATTGATACAACAAAGGCTGCTCGCTATCCACTTCAGGAGTTACACGATTCCACGCTTAAAAAGCTGCTCCAAGACTTTAACATCCCTTTTACAGGCGGACTGCTTCACTTTGCAGGCAATGACGCGCACTTTGCGCTCAGGGCTCTACTTATGATTGCTGTGCGCGATGCACGGCGAGAGTTGGACGATACTCCAGCGTGGGTATCTGTATTTGAGGCTGTTGCGCAGGCGCCGCTACCACCAAGGCCACTGACACGCCAAGAAAGGGTGGCGATTCAAAGGCGGAAAATGAAGGACCTTAAACAACTCGAGGAAAAAAGAGCCCGAGACTAGGCACGGTAGGCGAATTACCCAATCATCTCATTGAAACCAGAGACGAGTGAATCAGCAATAAGAGAGTGAGAGGACTATTTCAAAGCAGAGTATCCGTAAAATGGCACAGATTGTCAGAGTATCCGTGCTCTGTTCTGCCTACTAGAGCTACGCTCTCTGACCAACGAATAGATCTCGGCCATCTTACAATTCCACTTCTCATGTCCTTACGCATTCTACCAGCAGCTCGCTTGCTCTTTTCGAAAAGAGGGACAAATACCATCCGAGACGTCCTTCTGACACTTGTTTCTGCCGTCACATCCAAACAGCAGCGCTAGAATGAAGCAGAGATCTAGCAACACTAGCGCCGCTCTACCGTCGAGCAAGCGCTTACATCCAACGCCTCCAACAGAAGTCGGTATCAACAAACCGCTGAACAGAGTGCATCGGTGAGTTACTATGCGTGTTCATGGGAGGCCGATCTACGAGGCGAGCTCGCGAAGCTCTTTACTTTCTGCGTTTGTAGATTGCATTACGGGGCAATCAAGGCCGGTCTTCTCCACAGGGACATCTCTATGAACAATATCATGATCAATGAAGATAACGAAAACACCTCCCAGAGAGCCTTCCTAATCGACCCTGACCTCACTATCAGAGTCTAGCGAGAAGGCGTCTCAGGAGCAAAGGGAAAGACTGGCACAAGGACATTCATGGCTATCGGTGCAAAACAAGGTCACCGTCATTCTTTCATTCTTTCATGCATGATCTTGAGTCATTCTTCTCGGTGCTCTTATGGATATGTATTCACTACAGCGGGCCCGGAGCATCTACTAGAGCAACTAAAGTTAACGTCTAGAACTACCAAAACGATAGTGAAGTCACTATATATGAAATGGGCACCATTTCTAAGGAAGCTAATTTGTCTCTATTGCAGAGGCCAACTTCATACCTTGTTGCAAACCATTGATCCCATGGGTCAATCAACTGAAGAAAGTTTCTCCGATTAGCCAGAGAAGGTATCGGGTTCTTGATCAATGTCGAGCTGAGCTATAGGAGGTGTTGGAGATGGGTTGATTAGAAAGCATTCTACAAAAGTCTCGAGCAATTAACAGTTTCATGCATCACACAATGTTCGCCAAGAAGTTCATTCTTCTCTTTTCTTTTCTTTTTTGTCTGTAGAAAAAAACTGATAGCTTGCCTGCTGTAAAGCAAGAGAGCGGTGACAGGCTCAGTGTGTAGGCATCAATTCCAAAAACCCAAAGCTTGGTCGCTTGAATAAAAACTCAAATGTCGTAATCTTAACAATCCCAGAGCCCTAACCGTATACACATGATATCAAAATTTGGGGCGTGGCCTCCAAGCAAACTAAAAATAATCAGGCTAGTTGTAATGCAAAGTTCTTAACTTTAGGACGCTGGTGATGATGCATAGCTTATGTCGTGGAATTGCACGTCATCGTCGTGGTGGAGTGTAACGCTGTTGAACTCGAGAAATGGGTCTGCAGCCTCGTTGCCCGGAGTTGCCAGTCCACTATCCAGTGGAACACCAGCGACGTTCATCGCCCTAGCTCCACTGATATCAACGCTCTCGCTCTCTTTGACGTTCCTGAAATTAATCGTATCGATTCCATGGCCCTGGTTGGGGACAATCGGCGGCTTCATATGGCGAATCAAAGCCCACTGCGTTGTACGGAAGAAGGGGTGGGCCTTGATGTCCGATGCGCCGGCGCGGGCACCAAGTCTTCGATTCTCGTCCTTGATCAAAAGCTTCCTGATGAGTGATTTGCATAAACTGAAAGAAATGTTAGCAATGAAAGCCATATCAAATACATGGAGGTAAAGCTACGTACTTTGAGATTTGCGGTGCTCCAGTGTGATCAGGGAAGGGAATGTCCTCGCGCAAGATGTTGGCAAAAGTAGCATTTCGGTTCTTTCCCTTGAAGGGCGTAGTTCCGTAAAGCATCTCGTATATGAGAATGCCCAATGTCCACCAGTCGACTGCGCTTGTATGGCCACTACCCTTTATAACTTCAGGAGCAATGTACTCCTCAGTACCGACGAATGAATTTGTCCTGAAGTCAGCAATACATGACCGTGTATCAATCGTCGGCAGAGAATCCGTTCTCGCTCCATTCTTGCCAACAATCATGGTCGGCTTGCCACCAGAGCCAGACTGTTTTGAGAGATCAAAATCTGACAACATGATGTGGCCGGACTGGTGAAGCAAAATGTCTGCAAAATTATGTTAGTTCGAAGCTCTACATCAATGTTTCGTCATTGGCACATACTCTCTGGTTTTAGATCTCGGTAGATGAAACCCATAAGATGCAGGTATTCCAACGCAGCCGTAACTTCAGCGGCGTAAAAACGGGCGTCGTCTTCCGGAATACATTTGCCAGGCCGAGTCTGAAGAGCTCGGAAGAATTCTCCACCGCTGCAGTATTCCATGCAAAGATAAAGATGGTCTTCAGACTGGAACGAGTGGTACAGAGTCACAATGAAGGGATGGTTGCTCGTTGCGAGAATTTCTTGTTCGGCAAGGGCGCGCTTGATCTTGTTTCTCTTGATCATCTCTTTCTTGCTCAAGACTGTGAATTAGAAGGGTTAGCGACAAAATTTTAGACGTGTTTTGGAGATTGGCACTACCTTTCATGGCATAGAGTCGGTTGCTCTTCTTTTCCCTGACCAAATATACTTTACCCACGTCACCCTTACCGATAAGTTTGATCTTGTCGAAGCTGGAGGGACTAACTTCAACATCGCGGACTTTGATGGAGTTGGAACTGTATGTCCTGCGGAAGGCTAGGGGAGTCTGTGGAGGAGGCAGGGCACCCAGCGTGTCTTCGGTTTGTAAAGGATGTTGTGAATCAGGTTTCGCGCCATCGATAAGGCTAAGTGAACCAGACTTGGCGTTCTGAATTAGAGGATCCTTGCCCAGTTCAGCAGTGCCTGGGCGATCGCCCTTGTTTCCAGCATTCGCAAATAATCCTTGGGCATTGGGTGCGCTAGCGACCCGTCTTAACCTGCGGGCCAGCTCTTCTTTTGTTTCGCTTGTAGCCTGTTCACCCTCGGTACCATCCGGGCTGGAGATCTTGAGCGTCGGTGTATCGGGAGGGCTTGGTGGCACTGAGCCTTCGTTATGGTGGCGCAAGCCAGGTTGGCCTTGATGAGCAAAGTAGGGGTTGGCAAGCGCCGTAGGGCTCATAGCCTCTTCCAGCTTGTTGTTTTCGCTCGCGACGGTGTGTGACCTGAGGCGGCCGACGGTGCTGTTGAAAAGCTTGGTGTGTCGCGAGGTTTTGGTGGAATGTGAGTCGCTGCTGTTTCCATTGCCCGTGGGCACGCCGCTGAGGCTGAGGGAGTTGCTGCCCCTTTCCTTCTCGTTGATGCTGCTCGCGCTGCTGTTCATGCGGAAGAAGCTGCGCAGGCGATTGCTCACTGGGCCCCCAGCGGAGGTGTTGGCGGGTTTTGAGGGCATTGTTGGATGATGTAGGAGAATAGAGGCGCGGCTATGGAAGGAGAGAATCGAACAGCACAGAGGAGGACGAGATGAGGATAAAGATGAGAAGCAGAAAAAATGAGGACAGGATGACAGATGACAGAGAGCGGAGTCGTGTAGCTAGTATCAGTGCTCGGATGATTACGATATCGGGGGTTCGTTTAAGCAACCGAGTCCATGGCTCTCCAGCAAGGAACAGACGCTGATGGCAAGCAGACAAAAACTTTGATTCGACCAAGCAAAAGCGAGAGCGGGTGACGAGAGCCTCGAGGCTTATGGTGGTGCGGGAGGATGCGGCGGCGTCCGTTTGATGAGGAGAGTCGATGTTCTCCCTCAAATTGTACGGCTGGACGAGGTACCAAGAGTTGAGACGAGATGGTGGGCCGGACCGCTCACGGCAGCCACGTTGCCTCAGGCATCAGCGTCACTGGCTCTGCTGCGCCTGTCACTGGACAGGATTTGTGGGGACGCGGGCAGGTACTGGTACTTTGGCAGGGCCACGCAGTCGCAGCAGCGACAAACAGTGGGCTCGTTGTCACAGATCGGGGACGTCCAGGGCCAAGTTCGGGCTGTTGCAAGACTGGTAGCGGAGCATTACAGCGCCACTGCACCCATTGAGTTACGGGGGGCCACAGCGGATAGGATGAGGCGCTCAGGGGGCGCGGAGAGGGCAGCTAGTGGTGGTAGCGGTACTTTTGCCGGCGTTGGAGCAACACTCTATTTCCGCTGCGAGAATTTGGAGTCTCACACACACACACACACAGAGAGAGAGGGCCGTCGTCTTTCATCAGAATTTTCCATGTACCGTGGAACTTGACCATGAACAGACAGGCTACAAACATTGGAAGCGAGTCATGCCATGTCGCATCATCAACGTCGAACATTTCACAGCGATGCTCTGCCCACTTGTAAGCACAAGGGCCCAGGGTCACCTGATGCTTGAACATCTACCGCAGGAACACCTGTTTGTAACACTAGATGCAAAATTGCAAAAGCAAATGGTTCTTTTGTGCATTTATAATGGCCAAGCACACAACAAAAAGCCGGCACAAGGCGGCACGCGCATTCGCTTTCGTGTTCCTGCGTCATCTTTCCGTTCCTGTGTGTGCCGTCCCCAGGTACCTGTACCCACGCTGGTACCGGTACTTGATGCCAGCAAATGCGGAGATTGTCGACCAGCATTTTTTAGCAGCCGTCCAATGGAGCCTTATGACGAGGACCTCGTACGCGCAGGGCCTGCCAGAGGCGCGTTTCCAAGGCATGAAAGTGCGCTCGAGCTGCCCTGCTTACAAACCAGTGCAAATGAGGCAGAATTCACGACATGATGTTGCTAGACCCAACATCAACATCTCATCCGCAGCAGCGCCCGGTCTCCACCAAAGAGCCGTCGCGATGCGCTACCGGAAAGGGCAAATACTGCAGGCCGGCAAAAGCACCAGTGGGAGGGAGCCTGCTAGGGCTGCATTGGCTTTAGTGGCTTTAGTGCATGTAAGTGCATGTACGAAATAAAGGTGGTTCGAAACGACGGCAATGTATGCGACAAGCATCCAGTCTCTTTATGCTGTCAGAGTCAGTCTGGGCTAAAGAAGAACGAAGCCAAGCAGATACATAAGCAGGTAGGCAGCTCAGTTGCCCTTCTCGACGACATCTGGAGGCTTCACTTGCTCCCTCGCGCTTTACGGCATCCGAGACACTGTCGGGAATCGCATCCTCATGCCCTGCAGCCGGTATGCTCGGAAACCTGCCAAGTCTCATGGTAGCATTGATACGCTTAACATCGCTACCAATAGTGCTGCTTGGCTTCATCCCTACCGGGCAGATGCTCATCGGCATCCATTGATCTGTTTCGCGCTAAAACAGGGAGCTACAAACAGCTGTTCATGCTGCCATGATGTAATTCTCTGCTGGGACAAAAAAGAAGACCATGAAACGCTTTCGCCGATGTTTCCAGTCCAAGCTCCTCTCTCCCAGGTTCCAAGCTGGCGGAAAGTGGGCCTCCAGATCCATGAAGCTCCATCAGCTCCGCTGCAGTTCGTCAGCCTGATGAAGTCGCCGGTTTTCCGTTGCGTTGCAGCGTCTTATCATTAGCCGCGCGCTGTCATTCGACTGCCGGAAGCCCGGTGATGAAAGGCCCAATGCGTTGGTATTTCTGCAACGCAAAATTGCATACCCCTGGACACAGATTGCAGTGAATCCGATTTGCTGTATACGCCGGCTACTACCCATTACGGAGTCCATCGCCAAATGCTTTATAGGAGGTGGCGGACGCCATCCATGTTTCCAGAAACAGATCCCAGCAGCATGTCCCCAGATAGCATGATGCTTTGTATCTGAAACTCGCTGGTACGAGGTGACGGCGGCTTACAGAAATAATCACGATACCATCAGTCATCAAGGTGACAGATATCCAGTTACCAGCCCGACAAGTACAAAATGCCCATGGTAGCCCGAACATACATGCATGGACATCCACTGAGTGAAGTATTTCGCTAAATTTCGATTACCAAATTAGGTATCATAGACAGTAATGCACCAACTCAAAAGGCACGTATTGATTCATTGCTTCATGATATAAAACAAATACACGAGAAAAGTCGATATTTTGAAGATGGGTACGTGTGGACTAAGTGCTGCATTATACATGGATATCATCTGGGTTCAGTTTTAATACCCCGGCACGGTGCCTTTTCCAGGTTAAGCAAATCATTGTAAATCATTCATATAGCTTTCAACATTGATTTACACGTATATTCGCGTCATTACTCAGTAGCGCCCTGGTGACCTCGACATGAATCAGATGTATCTAGATGGCGCAGTATGCGGAGTCTTTTCATTCTCAAATAACCCCTTTGCGCCATCGTCTCTTACATTAAGTCGCACAAACATTCAGGCAGGCGTAATCTCTAATCACCGTACCCAGCGAAAGAATAAAGTGCGTATCCATGGATCATGTTCTGCATTTTTTACACCCCGGGAGATGGCATGAGCACCTCGGCAGACCTACCCTAAGCCAAGTGCAAGGTCGCCAAGGGTAGCTTTCTTCGTGTTGTTTGTAAAAAAGTCAACTGGGTTCGTATTACCATATTAAGGGCAACTAACACAGTGATACTTTAAGTGAGCAGCCAGATCTATGATGACAATTACAAAAAGCTGCTGTGCCTGAGATTAAAGTCCCCCCCTTTCCATTTTCTCTGTTCTCCTAGGTAAGTAGGTAAGGTGCTGACTAACTTTTCTTAGTGACAAGTGAGATACATCAGCCATTACTGAAGTGTGTACGAATATTGACGCATTGGCTTTGATAGTTTGCCAAATTTCTACCTTGTATTTGTCGACAATGAGCTCCAGAAGTACAGGTAGATGAAAAGAGGCTTGTAGATGGGCACTGGCTGGTGTTTGGTCTTGGCACTGTACGAGTAACGTTTGCGCTCCCCAGATGTGATTTCTAGAACTACGCCGCTATATTTGTCGTTCATTCTTCTAGAAACAACTAAAATCCATTCGTTTAATGCACAACAGGTAGAATTTTATATTTTATATCAGGTATTTACATCCATCTGTCACCTTTATTTCGAGACCACGCTCAATTAGCATTGCCTGGACGGCAAAAAGTGGAGACGAGGCCGCAGGCCAGCGCTATGCCCTACGAGGCTGATGTCACTAGGCACTTGCACTTGAACCTCTCTCTTCCAACTCTCATCTTTCACTACAACCACTCCAACAATACGGCCACACATCATGGACAACATTCCGACGCAAAGAAAGCGTCTCATGATGGACCCGACCGAATTTTGGAGTAGCCAATTTGCGTCTGTCAGGCCGTCTACGCCTGGGCCATCGGCAGCCAATGGGCGCTCCAGCAGCGTAGATCTCGACGACCCCTTGCTCTCTGCATCTCCCAGCCAGCTCAATGCTCCGGAGAAGAGTGTATCGCGACAGCCGCGACTTGCCGTAGTTCTGACGTCGCCAAAACACTCGCATCAGTATTCATGGTCAGAAGCCGACGGCAATGGTCACGGTAGCCGCGTATCTGGGCCATCTCAGCAGGGTCCTCCCAACCTTGCTTCACGCGCAAAGAAAGAAACACCTGTGCCCCTCCCAAGGCAAATCGTCAAAATACCACCACTGGAGCCAGTAATGGGACAGCAATCAACGCCGAGGCCAATGCCTACACCAGCTCACCTGCAAAGGTTACCAACCAAGCCATTCTCTCCGGCCGCGACATCATCAAAACCAGCATCAAAGCCAACTCCAGTGCCTCTACCTAAACAGCTGAATAAGCCATCAATACCGCCCTCAATACCAGCGCCAACAGTGAATGCAACAGCAATAACAACAACATCAACATCAACGCCGCCATTATCAGCCTCATCACCCACACCAGCTTCGCAGCCAAGTGCTGGTCGGGGACGGCCCAAAGGGTGGAAGCCCGGCATGTCTTACAGTTCGCTTCGTGGGCCAAATTCTGTGGCAAGACCTGTTCGACAGGCCAAGCCAAAGACTCTCGCCTTGGGGCCTGCAAAACGCCGTGGAAGACCGCCGAAAGCGCCATCCCCCCTTCCATGGCAAGTTTACCGGTCCCTGGAGAAATCATTCGCAGCTTTCCTATGTGAATGGGGGAGTTGTAAAGCCGAACTCCACAACCTAAACACGCTACGGCGCCATATCTCGGTGGTCCATTGCCGTAAAAGACCGTTTGTATGTCACTGGGGGAAGTGTGGTAAAGAGGCAACTGCAGTTGCATTTTCTGATGAGCGATTGCTTCGAATACATATTGAAGAGGCGCATCTCATACCATTTAGTTGGCATGTAGGTGATGGGCCGCAGAATGACAGCAGTCGACGGCAGTTCCCGGAAGAGGGAGAGATCCCCGATTATTTAAAGGATGAACATGGCAATCAAGTAACGCCATCCGTACGAGATCAACAAGTGGAGGACTTTGTTACCTGGAAGAGCAATCGTCAAAAGCTAAAAGATCTACTTGTTCGGATGAATGAGAACCTACCAAGCGAAGAATCAGACTCTCTCGCTGATGATACCTGAAGAGGATGCAGGCTGGAAGACCCTCGTAATCACTTACTAATGTCCAATGGCTGGTGTCTTCTGATGCTGTGATTGTTTTCATGCCGTATATAGCATTTAGATAACCTGTATATTATTACTTTTAAGACTTGGATCTGCATCAGCTTTCATTGGAATAGCTAGAGTTTGCTACAAGTCTCTATTGCATGCTCTCAAGCTTTTATCCCCCTAATACTCTATGTATACTCCTTCATGCAATAGTCGTTTGATACAACAGTCATCAGCCCATGCCGCTACGCCATAGAATATGAGTTCTTGGAGCCACTAGTTCCAACCATAGATAGCATCCCGCAAAGACAAGAGGCTGTAGCCTCGCTTTGACTTTATATTCCTACGCTCTGATTATATCTTTAGTGTAAGCAATGTAGTCCCTCGCTGATCAAACGAAATCACTATCCTTTCTTCACATTCCGCCCATTTCCAACTGCAGCTTGAACAATATCCTTGTAATAGAAATCTATTTGCGTCGCCAGTCCAGCAGCAATTTCACCACAGCATCGTCATTTGCTGCTGCAGTTTTAATGATGTCCTCTGTAATAGTAATCTCGTGGCCTCGCCGTTCAAGCAGAAGTTCTATTATTCCCTCACCATTCCGTGGATTCCCTGCTGCAGCTTTAACAATTTCCTCTGTAATCATAATCTCATCGCCTCGCTGGCTAAGTAGAAGTTCCATTGTTTCCATGCCATTAATGGTATTTTCTGCTGCAGCTTTAACGATATCTTCTGTAATAGCAATCTGGTCGCCTAGCTATTTAAATAGAAGTTTTACCATATTCCTACGATTCCATGGATTCCGATTCTCTTTTGCAGCTTGAATAATTTCCTCTGTAATAGTAATCTCATCGCCTCGCCGTTCAAGCAGAAGTTTTAATATCTCCGCACCATTCCGCCGATTCCGTACTGCAGCTTTAACAATTTCCTCTGTAATAGTAATTTGGTCGCCTCGTCGGTCAAGTAGTAATTCCATTACGTCTTTGCTCTTTGTTGCGGCTGCAGTTTTGAGCATATTCTCTGTGATGGCGATCTGATCCCAGCTCCAGTCAGGAAGAAGCCATAATACTTCTCCATCATGTGAAGTCAAAAGATCTAAAGCCAGTCTTTCCGTAACTTGGCTACCGCTCAATATCTCTGCCATCGCTCTCCAACTTTTTTCTTCATAGCTCCAACCTAAATCTTTAGATGTTACTGCCATAATTTTCGTAGCTGCTATAGCATGTGAACACTCGCCCTTCAATTCTCTTGTATAATTCTCTATTACCCGTTTGAAAAATTCAGCTGCTCCTTTATAACTTTTAAAATCGAGCAGTACTAATCCCTTCTCCATAAGTTGGATTGTTTTTTCTCCTTCAGAGATTTGACTGCTCAGTAGGTACTCATCATCCTCTCCATTTTCACTCAAAGACTTTGTCCAGTCCCAAACAAGCAGAAAGTCTCGAGGGAAGTCTGTCACTGATTGTAAAACCTTTACCCAGCCGTTATTCGCTTTCTCAGCTTGTTTATTGGTTGCAGGATTGATAGCGATTGCAATGATGATAAAATAATCTTTGTATGGTCTGATAACCGTAGGCTTTGATGCTCCTTGCAAAAGGCAGATGATATCACCTTCCTGGATTGAGTTTGCCAGTGTTTTGAGAGTTAGGGTCCAGAATATGTTCTCTTCAAACTTTTGGGACCCCCTTGATGTATATTTTGAAATTGTAACATTTTGCTTGTCGCTCCACGTAGCATCGCTCTTGACTGAAGAAACTTGCCCAAGAGTGCAACACTTATTCTTGATTATCGCCACTTCTTTATCTGGCCAAATTGATATTGATAATGTCTCGCAAAGGATAAGCTTGATAACTTGTTGGAATAGCGTTTCCCATTGAATGTCATAGTTGGGAGACAAGTCTCTCGGACTATAATTATCAGAGCTCATACCAAGCAAAGCATAGACTTTGTCACGGCAATCAGAAGCTTCCCGAGCATGATACATGTCTATCAGCTCGCTCAAAGGGGCTATATTCAGCGAAAACGTGCTCGGATTGCTAGTTGTATGTTTGGGCTGAAACACCTTGCGCCGTATCAAGTAGGTTGCTGACCGTATGAAATTCCGTAAGCCTGGGGCTTCTGTATAATTGAGATTGAGCGAGTTGATTCCCATGCAGAAAATATATCCATCTATCTCCGAAGAACCACATAGGATAAGAACATTCCGAGCGGCAGCAACTTCTTGAAGGATCTAAATTAAATTCGTTAGTAATGTGAACATTACTTGTAAATCGCCGACTTTACCCAGATGCGTTTGAACCACGGCCGCTGTAGTAGTTTGAGGACTGCATTTCGAAGTCTTTGGTCCTCTCCAGCTGGTTGCCCATCAGCGCTATTATGTAGTTCTTCAAGCGCTTGGTCGCTATTGTCCTCCGCCTCCCCCAGCCAAACAATCACACGATTAGCTAGGGCATAGATCGTTGCCATGCGCTGGACCTGGCTGCTACGCTCATTTAGATCTTGTTGGTTGATGCAGATCGCGTCCACCCATATGATTCGTTCAAAAAAGCGATCTCGAAGACGTAGCAGTGCCGCGTGAAGATTCGTCGTAATGGGTAAATAACAATCGCCTATGGAGATAGACCGAGTCTTCTCTGGAGAACCCCAAGCATAAGATAGAGAGTCATATAAATGATGATTGCTTCCAGCTAGGTCTTGTAGAGGATAATCAATGAGGCTGCATAGCAAAGGGCTGCTTATGTCTCGGTGTGGCAACAGTTTAAGTAAGCGTATATTGCCCTTTGGCAGGTGAGAATACGTATAGGCTTTTTTGAAAGCTTGAGTATCTAAAGTCAAATCGACTTAGCACTACCAAGAGCTTGCAATCGGTGGACATGGCCTACCAAGTGGCATCGCAGCGGCATTGATCTGCTCAGTCTTAGTTTGCGTCGGTGATTCCATCTTCAGTCGATGTTATTTAGGATGCGCCAGCGATGAAGTTTTCAAATTGAAGTTTTTTTTGTATCTCGATGCGACAGTCAAAGAGCAGAGCGAATGTGATGTAAAGGCGATGGTTTGAAGTGACTCGCGAATCATCCTGTACCGCTGCCAGGGTCAGGCATCTATGGCAGCCTAAAGCTACAATGCTACGAGTAGCATCTCCACACATGTAAATAATGTAGTATTATCACTACTAACACTGAAACAGTCTTGCTTTGCGACCCTTGTGCGCAAATCGTGCTCCGTTAAATGCCAAGTAAGCCTGTAGCAGCGTAGCTCCTCAAAAAAATAATTTTGGATGATTTTGCTTTGAGCTTGGGCGGTTATGCTAAGTACAGGTATTTATACATTAACGTCAACTGAAGGCTAACTTTGTGCTCCTGCGCCAATTGTTACCCTTTGGCATCATTTAAGCCTGGTAACTCTCGCTTCAAGATAAAGACAGACACGGGCATATATCTAAGATGTCCGCTAAGAAAGATGGACTTGCGATATCCATCTTAGTTTTTTTTGCATTGCATACCTGTTGAATCCTCGTGTATCTTGATTGCGATCGGCGATAGAGTAAGCCTGGGGTTACATCACCTAGCCCTAGCTATCCCCAATTGCCAGGAATGCATATTGCCATCAAGCACTCATACTGGGAGAAGATTATATGCTTTAGTATGATAAATAAATATCTTCGAGAATCAGAATCAGCCCAGAAGTTCGCCGCCTTTAGTCTTGGGACCACCTTGCCGAGAAAAAGGTAGTTGAAAGCATTGCAATTAAAAGCCTGAGCGAACACTTCACAGGCGGCAGGTTTGGTCGTTACAGAAGAGCAAATGTACGGTTGAAGGTGTCGCTCTCTTGGAGGACTTGCAGATACTCCATGGGTCATGAGTGAAATAGTAAATGTAGTGAGCGGATCTGCAGGCTATTCTCTGTGTGTCTTCATCTTTCAATAAAATATAGCCACATGGATCAACACAAAGACAAGAAATGAATACATGTGCTCACTCACTATGAAGAAGTTTGAAGAAATAGCTTGAAACAATTAAAGAAATAGCCTTGGCCTCTCACTCAGCACTTCGAGGCGGTGGCCTAAAGATGCCACTAACGACGAGAAAACAGTCAAGATGACCAAATAACAGGATAAACTCACGTATTAATAGTGTTTTATGACCTCTCAAGGCTAATCTTTTGTTGACTAAAATAGAAAAACTCGGACTCAAGCTGTGATGTACAAAATGTGAAGCACAATTGGTCTATTAGACACTCATTATACGATTCATAAACGCTGGACTGTCCCAAAACTAAAGATAAAATATTATATCGTGTCTATTCTGAATCATCATCTCAATGTAAATATTTGACAATTATGTATAGCCTTTATCGTCAGCCCTGGATTCTGTTTGTAGTCCATGATGTTGATGAGTAGATTGCGTATGTTTATAAATCTTACGACCTTTTGGTGTTGTCGCTGTTGACAGAAGATGTTTCAATAGCCTAGATGTATTTAATCAGCCTAAATTGTCCCGGGCATTTAGATCAAGCCTAATCAGCCTTATATACCGCGTCAAATTGCCGTACTCGATCTCGTGGTCTGAGACACCCAAGACTATCGCATCTGCTGAATTGCAATGCAATGCTCTTGCCGCTTTCTGTAATAAATATGAGGCGCCCCACTACAGCTAAAGAGTCTCCATTGGCTTTAGCTTGTAATAGCCTTTCTTTTACACCTCCTCGCTACTCTCATATATGAATCTGTATACAAACGTATGTATTATCTTCTCCCTAAATATACTACCATCTGTACTTAAATTGATGGTTTTCTCCATAAATTTATCATACCATCTGTGAGCCACATGTAGCAGGCATTGCATTGCTAAGATGCAACCAGTCTGACCCAAATAGCCTAATAAGCGATTTGCACTCATGGTGGAATAAGATGCCTATAATTGGAGCGCTTCTCGTATCAGTTTAGCCGATGTTCAATCTTTTCTGGCTCCCGAAATATGTAGCCTGGGAATATACTTGGATCTACACTACAAGTATTTGGTAAGTGTAAGGCGATTAAGTCAGCGATGCATCGCGGACATGAAGTAAATATCCAGCTTATACGGAATATTTCCACCATTGGTACAGCGGTGGAAATCCAGATAGAACAGAGTTCCCATACGAAGCAGCTATAAGCGGTCCAATGAGAGAATCGGCTCTTTGACATTAAAAGCAGAAAAAGCACATAACATGGTAAAACGAATGCTGGGCTTAGGCTAAGTGTATATAAAAGGCCGAGGGTCCGCCAAGAGATCACTCTTGTGCTCTGTACTCCCACAATTATCTAGCTTCTACCATTTATACCGACATAATATCCTACGATGATTCCTTCAATGAACAAGTGCGGCCGCAAGTTATGGGCTGGCCTTGCATTGTTAGCCCTGCCTGCAATTGCAAGCGCATCATGCGCCCTTCCTAGCACTTACAAATGGACATCGACTGGCCCGCTGGCGAACCCCAAATCAGGCTGGGTTTCACTTAAAGACTTCAGCCAAGTTCCGTATAACGGTCAGCATCTCGTCTATTCTTCGACTGTGAACGCAGCAGGTTCATATGGCTCGATGAATTTTGGTCTCGTTTCAAATTGGACCAGTCTCAGCACGGCCAGCCAAAACACAATGAACCTCGGCACAGTGGCGCCAACGCTCTTTTATTTCTCTCCCAAAAAGATCTGGGTCCTCGCATACGAATGGGCTGCAACTCCATTTGCCTATGTCACGTCGAGCGATCCCACCAATGCAAATGGCTGGTCGTCCTCGCAACCGCTCTTCAGCGGAAGCATATCTCCCTCCAGTCCTATTGACCCAGCACTTATTAGCGATGGCACGAACATGTATCTTTTCTTTGCGGGAGATAACGGCAGCATCTACCGTTCTAGCATGCCCATTGACCAATTTCCATCCAGCTTCGGCACATCATATACAACGGTTATGAGCGCCGCAACCAACGACCTATTTGAAGCGATCCAAGTGTATACCGTCTCAGGCCAGAACCAATATCTCATGATTGTTGAGTGTATTGGATCCGTTGGACGGTACTTTCGCTCGTTTACAGCTACCTCTCTGAGTGGTACATGGACACCGCAGGCTGCAACGGAAAGCAACCCCTTTGCGGGTCATGCCAACAGCGGCACTACCTGGACGAACGACATCAGCTCCGGTGATCTTATTCGCAGCACAAACGACGAGACGATGACCATTGATCCCTGCAACCTTCAGCTGCTATACCAAGGCATGGCCGTTGGTTCCTCGGGAGACTATAACTCGCTACCATGGCGACCTGCCGTCTTAACTTTGGCCAATCCTGGCTCTAGCACTGGTAACGGCACTGGAAGCGGCGGTTCAGGCGGCAGTGGGTCTGGTGAAGCATCCCAATACGCCCAGTGTGGCGGTCTGGGCTATGCTGGACCTACGGTTTGCCAGGCACGTAACCCTCCTTCAAATCTTGGAAAGTGTCTTTGCTAACATGAGGACAGAGTCCCTACAAATGCACGTATGTCAACGAATACTACTCGCAGTGTATATGAGGAAGAGAGTAAATTATGGAGATTGAGGTAACATAAGAAGAGCGTTATTTTGCAATCTCATGGTAGTTTGTAGTATGACGTCCACAATGTGATCATTCATTTTTTTTTCATCGTTTCCAGACTCTGGACTGCTAGTTGCCTTACTAGTAGAAATTATCTGGGCTCCCCAGACCTCTGTGTCCAGGTACGCAGTTTGACAGGTCGGTAGTCCTCATTTGAAAATTGTAATGTATAGAGTTCTTGGCGTTTACACCGTGGTGAACATTGGTCCGCTCAAGGTTTACTGTCTCAATTGCCAGACCTCTTTATTCAGAAGTACCTCTGAAGAATGATTGACATTATTAAATGAGATATTAAGATTCACCACGAACACTCGATATATTGTGAGTGTGGTAGTGTGACTAGGTAGCTGTCCCTTCAGTCACATCAACCACTTCTATATCCAAGCCCACTTATCTCACAAGTACTTGATGTATTTACTTTGCCATGAAGAACCTATACAATTTCATTCACAGATCTTTCGACACGTATCAATCTACTTCAATTCGTTTCATCCGCGGGAAGCAAGTAAACAATCATCCGCCAGAACTATACTATCGTGAACCATTGCAAGTCAACTCCACGAGCCTCTAATGCTTCCGGCAATAGCCTCGGATCAGAGTTCATTATTTCTCCCGTTATCTTGTTCTTGAAAAACTCAAGAATGATCGGATCGTCTCCAATCAAAGGCCTCCCCAAGTCTTCGAGTGAGACCCTTTCCCATTCAGGGTGATCTTCCAACCTGGGGTCTGACAACGCCAACTCTCTGGTCTTTTGGTTGTAATATCTATGCTCTATTCTAAAATCTTGGTCCGGATGATCGAATATCTGAACCCGCCAAGGATGTTTTAGACTTCCTAGAAGTGCCTGGCCGTCGTTTAAGCCGTAAACAAACGATGATCCCACAAGTCGAAAATTTCCATCGTCGGTTTCGCGAAGGACAACGGGCGAGTTGCAGCCAGGAATAACACATATTATATCACCTAATCATTTGTCAGCACACAGATAGTTCAAGAAAAGCGATTCAAAACCCCGGCTTTGCTCACCTGGCTTACAGCCTCTAGGACCAAGGCCAATGTACCCTTCTTCAGTCTCCATGTAAACTCTCCTACCACATCTTCCAGATACCATATCATCAAGATAGTGACTTGAGTCAAGAGTCTCCAAAGGTTCTGCAGACTCAGAGAATATATGTCTTTTACAATATGCTCTCCACTCCGCCAATGTAGGCCACCCTTTGTCTGTTGGATTACGCTCCCTCAAGTCGTTCTGCAAAAGTGTTTTAACAAAGGCGTCTATCAGTGGTTCTCCGGTAACATAAGTCGCTGTATAAAGATTCTCCGGCTCCCACAAACGTATGGTAAATAAGGTAGCTTGCGGGTGTAAATAAGCATAAATCCCCACCCTCTTTACGGTCGCGCAGCGCAAACCTCTTACTAGGAATTTGCTGGAGTCCAAAAATTGATAATCAAGCCGAGAGTTTCCTGCCGTGAATTGCAAAAGTCCAGAGTAATATGGATGCCGTTTGTTAGACCTCAAATCCGGTACCCAGCTTGGCGCATCGTCAAAGTCCGATGTGCGATCCACAACATCGCAGCCAAAAATTTCCCACCGCTCGAGTAATTTTGTATCGGCGATAAAAGCATCAGCGTATGTCTTTGACACCGGCTGCGTGTAATCTGGACTAGTCGCCGCAACAAAGGCTGGAGGCACCATTGCCATCAGACCGTACACTTTGTCATGTCCATTGGAGCAGTCTCGGTGCGCAAAACGGCGAAACAAGTCGCTCAATGGTCGGCCTTTGCCATTCAAAGTGGAACTAGTAACTTTTGAGAGCGAGAGACGTTCTTCTCCATGATTCGGCTTGTCCTTTAGACATTCTGTTGCGCGGCGGAAAAGAGACCATGATAATGTTGCGTTGCCGACTTGTATGATGGCTAAGCGGTTTGCCAGATGAATTTCTTGAGCTGTCCATACTCGAGTAAACCATGGCCTTAGAATTAGGCATTCGATTGCTTTCCACTGAGCATCGCTGTCCGGAAGTCTACAGTCGATATCGTACCACATTGGCTCTTCAGCTCCGGGAGATGTCAAACGATAGGCATCCAGCGTTGTTTCAACTTGAGCACCTAAATATGCCAGCGTTGAGATGGCAAGATCGCTGTCGTCTTCGGCTGGCCCAAGCCAAACAACAACTCGCGCCGCCAGGGAGTAAATATCAGCCATGCGGATCACCTGGGCGGCTTTCTCTGTGTTGTCATTTTGGTTGATACAAATAGCATCGATCCAAAGAGTACGAGACTTGGAAGTATAACGTAGGTGCCGTAGAGCAGACTCGAGATTTTTACCGATAGAAAATGTGGCTACACTGGCGTTTCCAGTTGAAGGTTTGACAAATGCGGTGCCAGGGTTGTTTGGTGATCCCCATTGGTATGAAAGAGCCTCAAAAACAGTGTCTTGCTCCCAGAATGTGCTTTCAGGAGGCAATTCATATAAAGCAGGGTCTATGCTGGGGTCGGGATGTTCCCATGTGGTCACAAAGTCGCCGTCGTTGGATCCATCAGATTCACTCTTTTGTGAAGCTTTGTTGTCATCTTCCCCTTCATCATCATCATCATCATCATCACCTTCATCACTTTCCCCACCAGTGGGGTCGTTGCAGAACAGATACCGGCCCTCGGGAGTTTCGAAAACCTCCCATCCCGCAGGTAATGTGCTCTGGAGCAGTTTTCGAGATAAGCGTGTGGATTTGGACTCATCTTTGCGTGCGTTCAAAGGTTGGTGAAAGATTGTGAGTAGAATAGCATCATGATATTGCTGAGCGGGGTGCAACTGGATAAGGCGAATTTCGGTATCTCGTAGTGGGTGATAATGATATGTACCAAGTTTTGCCGACATTTTGGAATGTTCTCACCCGCTGAATCCTGGATGAGTATTGGGCAATGTTAGGAGCCAATAGTATATTTTAGACCACCATCTGCAATGCAACCTTTTCAGATAGCAGATAGTGCATAAATGAATGTCGTAAATGTTGGGTCTAGACCTCTCCGTGCGCTCTTGGGCATAAGAGATTGGCCTGAATACAGACAACAAGTGTGGAAGCTGGCGATGCGGGGTATTAATGCATTGGTACGTCTGAGAAGAGTAGTATCAAGTACCACCTAATTACTATTAGTATACCTGTATGCAGCGGCATTAATAGAAATTTCGCGTGCAAGATTAGGAAGGTCTTTGATGCAGTGTTTAATCGAGTAGGTAGTTGCATCCCTATAAAATAGAACAATAGCTATGGCTTCTCACCATCTCATTTTATTCTGTTAAGGCGACGCGAGTACTCCATCGATGGTGAAAGTGTGAGGTCCGTCGAGAGTGAACGATTGCTTTATCAATCCGCATTTACGACCAATACACTGGCGTTGAAAATGTTGCGCATGTAGAAAACGGCCGACTTACAGAAAGCAGCAGTCTACCCAAGATAAACGGACAAACATTTCGCTGCGTATTGACATTTGCCTCTGCTGAAATGCTGCTAATGCCGGCAAATTTGCGCCGCTTTTGGTGTTTTTATCCCTGCTTCGCAATGCTTCTCCCCACTTGCGTGTTTGCGGTTCTAGTTGCCATGTGAAAATGTACAATGATGTCCTCATTTTTCTCTACAGTTATTGGGCCTTTTTACAGCGTCCTTCTCTATGAGCCCAATTTGGTTCACAGCCGACATGTAACCCCATCCTATTCAATCTCCGAATATTCTAGGCTGGCCAGCGCAATGATTCCTCAACACTCCATATGCCATCTACACCAGAACTAATACCTACTGTATATTGCTGATATATTTCGCCATGGCCGACCCTATCTCTAAGGATGATATTGAGATCAAAGCTGCTCCTAAAAAGTTGCCGATGGAGTCTGGGAAAGCTCACTCCAGCCCACATATTGCACACAGTCGCATTGTGCTGATCCCTCACCCTTCTGATGACCCCAGAGATCCCCTGGTATGTCTGCATCTTTATCCATCACTTATTGCATGTGAATATATCGCTCTTCGTAGCGGCGACCCTCTTCAGCCATTTTCACTTACATGTTAGACTGACTCTATATGTCATATAGAACTGAACGTTATTTAGGAAAGGCAGAGTGCTCGCCGCGCTCTGCCTGGCCTGCTTCTGCGGCTTCACAAGCGCCCTCGCATCGCAACTTGAGCTTGGCCCGCTCTCGACTCTCTATCATCAAGAACCAACGGCCATTGCCTACCAGAACTCCTCAGCCAATGCTGGAATGGTCATTGGTGGCATATTCTTCTACGTCCTGTCCTTCATCTTTGGCCGCCCTTCCATCTTCTTCTGGTCGCTTCTCGGCCTCATAGGCTCCGATTTGTGGTCGTCTTACATGACAAAAGCTGATCAATTCAACATCTTCATCGTGTCGCGCGGCTTTGCTGGCTTCTTCGGCACCGCCGTGGGAGTTCTCGGTCCGCGAATGCTCATTGACATGTTCTTCCTACACCAGCGTGGCCGCGCATTCACAATCTTTCACTTCTTTTTCGACTTTGGCACCGCTGCTGGCCCTTCTCTTTGCTCTTTCGTTGTACAAGGTTCTGGCAACGTGCAGTGGGCTTTCTGGTTCATTGCCATCGTCGCAGGCTTCGCGGCCCTCCTCGTCTTTCTGTTTGTTGAGGACACAACCTGGGATCGCACGCCTGGAGTAATTAACAACCCACTGCCTGAAGGCTTCATTTCCAACCGCATCGCAACTTTCTTGCCCGGCACTCGCATTGTCCCCCGTAAGTCTGTCGGCGAACTGGTGCGGATTGCCAGCGTTCCTTTCAAGATCGCCGCGACGCCAGTCAGCTTGATGCTCGGCATATTCACCTTATTCAGCTTTGGGTTCTCAGTTGCAATGAACTCTCTCACTCCTGTGTGGCTACAGAAGCCCGTTAAGGCTGGAGGATATGGCTTTACGCCCATTCAAAATGCACTCTGTAAGGCCTGCCTATTTTCTCCAATGTCTCCACGAAGAACTTACTAATTGCTGAACTTTTCTCCTCTCTTCTAATAGTCCAATTTTCACATTGGACTGGTGTAGCTCTCGCATTTGTTTACGGTCAGGCTCTTGCAGACCGCTTGCCACTATGGCTTGCCTCACGCTTTAACAACGGGACTTGGAAGCCAGAGTATCGCTTGCACGCGTTATGGTTCCCAGCACTCGTGTGTAATTGCATAGGCATAGGCCTTTTTGGCTACGCCTTGCAGTATCATACATCATGGGGCGTCCTGGCCTTTGCATCTATTCTGGTTATTTATGCCTCGATGTGTATTACACCCATTACAGTCAATTACTTATCCGAGTGCTTCACCAACAACGTCGAGGAGGCCGCAATCGTTCTCAATACATTTCGTATCGCCTTTGGGCTGTCTGTTGCATTCTACATCACTCCTTGGGTTGATGCCATGGGCGTTGGATGGACCTATGGTTTAATGGCTTTCATCATGATCTTCAGCTGGCTTTTTGTCTTGGCACTTATGTGGAAAGGCCATCAAATCCGCCAAATTGACCCGTTCGGCCTCATTTCAACTGAGGAGGGTAAGCATGTTCTCATCGATGAAGAATCGGCATAGGATGAGGACCGTATTAGGTCTAATGCTTCTATTGATATCTTGTTATTCGGCCGAGGGACCTATTTCGGAAAGCTTATACTCGGCCGCAGGGAGGAAAAATGAACGCGGTATAACTCTTTGATACTGCTAGTTTATGAAATAAAATTTACATTCTCATTGAACCATATGTTGGAGAGCTTCATATTATCTGATTCATTTATTCTGAAAGCTTCAGTTTGTTTTGACATCTCACCATATTTACTGAAGGCCATTAACACTATGCTCAATATAGAAAGTTTCATTTCAGACTTCTAAATAGACATCTGCCACTGCTCTACATGAGGTGTCAATATGTCTTCAAGTTTTCCCAAGTAGCAGTTAGTCAAAAGAACTTAACGCCACAAGCAGACGCTCATTCCTTCGGATACAGCGTAGAATCAGCGACTTCAACCACCCACAGATCCCACGCGCGTTTCGCCGTCGTCGCCACAGACGCAGAACGCTCTCTAGCCTCATCATCATTCAACAAGCGCAAGTTTTGCATCGACCCGCCAGCAGCGGCAATCAGCCCCACGGCAGCGGTTTGGATCGCAGCGTTCTTCTGCGTATAGATGGCATAAAAGACGGCGAGCTCGATCGACTCGGCCGCAACTGTATAGCCGTGACCACGCATCAGCGTCACTTTATTGCCGTCGTCGAAGCGCTTGGCCAAAGCCTCGCCCATGTACATATTGCGCACCAGCAGATCCGGCACGTTGGGCGCGACGACATCGTTGGCCGAGTCGTGGACCGGCACGCCATCAGGATTCAAGAAGCCAGCCATGTGGTAGCACGGCTTGAGCGGCACGCCCGAGATGGTGAAGGGAATCACCGACTCGGCATGGCTGTGAACCACGGCGTTGATGTCTGGGAAGCGGCAATAGATCTCGGAGTGAATGTATCGCTCAATATAGCCTTGCGCCGAATTATTAGGGTTGGTCGGCTCTCCGTCTGATACGCGATATTCGATTATATCGTTCATTGTAGCAATCAGTGCGGGCGCGATGCTTCGTGCCATGTAAAAAAGAGACGGGTTCATGGGATGGCGGAACGACAGATGACCGTATGCATCGAGCACATGGTGAAAGTGCAAAATGTGGCTTCCATGTATAGATTTGTAGCATTCGCCTTTGAGCATCTTGGCACCAACCATAATTTACTTATCTCCAAAGAAAATAGCAAAGATTCTCAGCCGACATAACTTACTTTATGGCTACGGAAGATTTAGTTGAGCGTCCAGTATCGGCAACCAAACTAGACAAATGCGGAGTAACAACAGTGCTGGGCAATTAAAGCCTCATATGGCGAAACGCGCTCTCAAGATTAATACGTAATATGAAGCCCACTGGATGTTGCTTGATAGCCAACTAATACTCGAAGCTTTATACATTGTACCACCCATCCTTATAAGTGCTCTCAAACACACATATCTACAATCTGAGTCTAATGGTCGTTGAGCTTATTACCCTGACTATTGAGCCTCTTTTAATACAAGTAAAAGCCGCTTATTTCACTGAGAATGCTATTAAAACTCGAATGTTTCTTGAATCTAGAGCCGAAATCAGTCAATTTATATAAATTGCAAATGCTATAACTCATAACTTCCATCAACCCGAAAGAGAGATCACACACGCGGCAAGTTCCGCAAGAGGACATACGCCACCTTGATATAACTTCTCCACCCTTAACCTAGCGGGCTAGGCAATCTTGGAGAAATATTTCCGTTTCCAGATCTGATTATTATAGCCCTATGTGGTGGTGGAGATGTTAAACCTGGCATTGATGAGTTAGAAGCCCTGCTAAAAAGCATTAGCTTAATGGCTTGCTTGGCAGAATTGCGATTGCTCACTGGGAGGACACGGCAGGATGTGCTAGGACATATGCGATCACAGTCGAGGCATAGTGGATAGGATACTTGAGATCAATAGGCATATACATATGTAAATGTAAGAAAAAAAAAACTACATCTGTCATTCTCTTCACAAAACTACCTATAATTCTTCAACAAAGGCATATTTCGGTCCAAGCACGGCTCCCGCGCCGTATGTGGGGCCGTCCCCAAGTTCGGCTCCGGGCCGGCACCAGCGCAACTAAACACTTGGCATTACGGGGAGGGGGTTGGTTGACTAATTGGAAAATGAGTAATTTTGGAGCTCTCGTTACATTCTGGTACGCGTACGCAAAAGATTCCATGCTGTCAGCCTGGCCTGGTGAACTTTAGAGTCTCCAAAGATGACGCCATTGTTGCCCGCGGTTAGGATTACCAAAAATGGCATGTGTGAGAATCCACGCACTCGGCATTCAACTCAGCGGCCACGAATCGCACAAACATTTGCTCAAACAACAATCAAGGAAAAAGCATTTTTTTTTGAAAAGGAATAAAAAGAATCGAGTAGTAAAACAAGCACTAAAGCAAGGCCAAGAAAAGAAGTTGCCCCAAGTGAAGCGCATTCCACCACCCCGCACAAAACCGCCCGCAAATAGCTAATTCCTGCTTTATAAGCCGCGCCATCCAAACGGCAAGCCCGCGGGGACATACCGAATTAGTGAGGCAGATTTATCAGCGACTTCCCCGTTCATCATTATACTATTGCGAATAGAGAGATTGGAGGAGACCTGTCTTGCGCCATTCGTTGCTTCATCATCGTCATTCCCGCATCTCATATACATATAATACGCAAACTCCTCCATCACCTTGCTTCACACATACCAGTCTCTTCTCACTCACTCATCTAATCTCATCTCATCTCATACACTCCCATTCAATCTCACCAAACAAACAAAGTAAACAAAACAAACACAACCCAAAATGGCCCCCCCCTTCTACGCAGTCATCTCCGGCGTAGGCTCCGGCACCGGCGCCGCCCTCGCCCGCCGCTTCGCCCAATCCTACGCCGTCGTCCTCCTCTCCCGCAAACCCTCCTCCTACGAATCCATCGTCGCCGACATTAAAGCCTCCGGCGGCACCGCCATCGGCATCACCGCCGACGCCACCGACCCGGCCGCCACCGACGCCGCCTTTGCCCAGATCGCAAAGGAGCTGCCCGGCTCAAAGCTCGCCGCGGCCGTGTACAACGGCGGCAGCGGCATGGCCCGGAAGCCGTTCTTGGAGCTGACGCTGGAGAATCTGGATGTGAGCCTTCAGGGCGCTGCGTAAGTTTTTTTTTTTTCAACTGTTCAATGTTCAATCAGATGTACTGACAAAATCACAAACAGCAAGGGCCTCTTCATCTTTGCTCAAAAGACGCTCCCTCTCCTCGTAGACGCCGTCGACTCCTCTCCCAACCCTCCCTCTCTCCTCGTCACCGGCGCCACCGCCTCAGTCCGAGGCTCCGCCTTCTTCAGCACATTTGCCGCTGGTAAATTCGCCCAGCGTGCCCTCACCCAGTCCCTAGCCCGCGAGTACGGCCCCAAGGGCGTGCATGTGGCCTTGGCTGTCATTGATGGCGGCATTGATACCCCGTGGGGCAAGGGAACGGTATTCAACAACGGAGTGGAGGATGGCAAGATTAGCCCTGATGCTGTAAGTTGCTTTGTGAATCTCTTATTACATTTCTACTGTAAGGCTAACACGCGTGGTTCAGATTGCCGAGAGCTACTGGCACTTACACTCGCAGCACAGATCTGCCTTCACTCAGGAGCTGGATATTCGCCCATATGTAGAGAAATTTTAGATAACTATAGCGTATGTGATATAATTAATAATACAAGTAAAACTGAAAAAGCACGTCCTTTAGACAATTCATTTTATAGACAGTGTGTGTCCCTAATGAAAGAAAAAGAGTGTAATCTCTCGGCGCGTCGTCAGAGCTAAGCGCCGTCATAATTCATAAATCGTGCAAACCCCATCCTTGTCCATTCAACATAATAAAGGCAGACAAACTGCAGCGGTATCAAATAGTAGAAAAAGATGGAGAAAACGGGTACTGATAGGAGAGGAATAGCATGAAAGAAGTAGAGAGCGAAAAGAAAACCCTTGCAGCGGCGTTGTTGTATTAAATCTCAGATTCCACATCTGGCGTCCGTCCATTCAAAGCCCCCATCTTCTTCACTTTGCGGACCGCAAACTTGGCTTCATCTTTGGCAAACCGCGCGTTGCGCATGGGAAGCCACTGCATCAGCCCGCGTTGCTTACGGTGCAGGTCTCGGCTCTTCTCCTTGTAGTTCTTGTACGCCCTGATGGGATTCTTGCTCCCGGTGCTGGCGCTGCTCTTTCGCGAAGTGTTAGTCCCAGCCGATTCTAGGGAATGGCGGTCGTCACTACCTTCAGACGGTGCCGAGCCGTATGTTGGGTCTGTTTCTGTTCTCCGCATTCCAATCTCTGGAACCTCATCGTCGTCTTCATCATTTTCATCCGTGTCTACCTCGAAATGCTCGTGTCCTTCAGTATCGGCGCTGGACATGTGATTGTGCATCAGGTTTTGCGGGTCTTGGCCAAATGCTCCGGACCAGTCAGTGCCGTCTTTTGCAAGCCAGCGATCTTTTTCTTTCTCGTCAGCATGCGCAAGTACATCTCGGCCCTGCGTTAAGGATTCATCATGCAGCTTCTGCACAATCGGAGGAATCTCGGGCTGGACTTCTTGTTGTCGTACGCCCTCTGCAAAGCACGCCTCCCAGGTTTCAATGGTCTCGCGGGAGTCGCTGTCGGTAACAAACCGAATATGATCCATATCAGTACCAGCAGAAAAGCGACCTTTGAACCGAACGCGTCCAACCTCCTTGATGTCCAGATCAGGGATGGAAGCAAAGTTCTCCTCGGTGATGTAGTTTTGAGATAACCGCGTGGGATTGTTGCATTTCCAAATGGGAATATCAAATTCCTTCTCTTGGTTGTCGACAAGCTCCAGCAACCACAACGCGGCAAACGCATCAGGCCCCCTCTTACCGGCGGGATGGAATTCAATAAAGACGGGTGATTTATATCTGAATCGTACAGGTAGTCGAAGCTTCTTTTCGTCCTCAGCAACGCCAATGTTGAATATCATGCTGCCCTCTTCACGAACAGAGTGGTCTTTCTTCACATTGGCAGTAGAGCCTCCAGTACGTAGTCGGAGCCGAACGTGGCTGGCTGGCGCATAATTGGAAGCAACAATTGTGTCTGATGTAAATTCAAATGAACCGATATCCCAGCCCAGCTGTGGAGGTGGCAGCTTGAGCTCAACAGACCGGAAGAGGAGAGAGATACGGATACGGCCGAAACCGATGCCACCGTCAAGAGGATACCATCGCGTTACCTCGCTGTTGGTTTGCATGATGTCAGATAGCTTGAGAGGAACGACTCCGATTAATGGATCGTGCTCTCTATTGCGAGAGTCCCGAACGCCAACGGTAACAATGCAGGAGCGCCAATCTCGGATAAACTTTTCAGTGCCGGCATTGAAGATTGGCTGTGACGAAACCACTTTGGTTCGAGTCTTGTAAACCAAATCATCGTTGACAAGGATGGTGCAGTAAGAGCTCGGCAGTTTCTTGCTTTGCTCTTCCTTGACTTCGCCGGCTTCTGGGCGTGCGGGCTCGTACTCTTTGCCTTTGCGGTTGCCCTCTGAGCCTTTGACATTAGCTAGCTCCAAGCCCACAATCTGATGGACAACGATGCTAAGAACACCCGACGGCCAAAGAGGATCAGGCGGCGTATGGACGGCGGCGTCTTCCTCTTCGTTTTGAATGGTACCCCAGTCATCATGGAATTCGGGTCTGTCGCCAAGCTCTTTGACAACATTAACATTGTGGCCATCAGTGCGAAGCGCTTTGCGGAACCGCGTCTTTCCGAAAAATCCAACTTCCCAATGGAGTTCACCAGGCATGACAGTATCGGGTTTGAGACCGCTCAGCGTAGACACATGCTGGAACATCTTTCCGGGGTGCTGGATGAGCTCCTGGATACTCAACTCAATTTTGCCAACCTCATCGTCGGCAGATGATCGGTCACTATCCCAAAGCTCCACTGATAGCTGCTCGTCAGCTTTAATGAGGTCACTGGTAACCAGCAAGCCGCAAGTCTCTTCGAAAACAGGATTGAGGTTGTCTTGGATAACTCGGGTACAGAATTGGGGCTTGCCAAACTTGCTCCAGCTGATGGTGATGTACGGGTCGGAACCACCGCCCTTGCTGCCACGCTGGTCCTGCTTGCTAAGGCCAGTAGCTTTGTGGATTCTAATGAAAATGACGCCAAATGCTTCTGTTTCCTTTTTGATGTCGTCTCCTTGTAGAATACTGCTCATATCAAGAGTCAAGCTCTTGGGAGCAACGTACATGGAGGCTGTAGCTTTGATAGCCCAATTTACAAAGTTTGAGATGAGAGGCAGATTCAAAATATTGACACCTCTCTGGAGCATTGGAGTACAGCCGGCTTGAACTTTGGGCACACCCATCAACGTTATCGTCATCGTTTTGAGGAACGGGGGTTCAGGGCTAAGCTGGAATCGTACACGTGCGGTGCAAACGAGACCAATCAGCTCAACCCATATCGGAAGGGGAACTCCGAAAAGGCCCTTGACTCCAAGGTAAAAGACAATCTGCATGCCCATGTTGCGGGCCTTGGAGGCGATGTCAGCTCCTGAGGGCTTGGCATGGTACCCGAGGGAAACCTCCATGTTGTAGAATGCGCCAGCTTGGGAAACAGCAGCGAGTTCGTCTTCGTCCATTGTCTTTTCATTCTCCTTACGGATTTCGTCCTTGATGTCTTGTACATGAGAGTCAGGGAGGGCTCTCATGTTGAGAATTCGAATGGGATTGTTGCCTTGGGAAATATCGGCAACTCGCACGTGCTCAATAACACCAGGAACAGATGCTGCCATGACATCTTCAATGCTGTCTGGGGTTTAGCTACTTTTTGTATATAATGGCAAACTGGGAGCTGTTACTTACGTATCTGCAACACCGGCAAACATTTCAGGATTAATCATGCCCCAGAAAACACCAATGGCAGTATTCATCCATTCAACAGACTCCGGAATCAGGTTGATGGTGGCAGTTTCGCCACGCTCCTGCTCACTCGACCACTCCAAATCTCGTCCTTTTCGGATCACATCCTGCACCCACAAGTGGACGCCAGAGGTGACGCAGATGGCCAGGGGAATAAGACCGAGGAGCCGACCACCAAACAACCTTCCAAAGAAGACGATGCCCATGAAAATTCCGGCACATAGGAGATTCGACCGCATCTCAAGGGCGGTAAACATGGGTTCATAGCTGACAGATGGAGTCTTGTAGAATAAGACGGATGTTTTTTCACTGCGAATGGGCACGTCGGAAGTCGACCCCTCCTGGATGGGATCGGGGGGCGCAGTCACGTCTTGGGCATGGCGGTATTCTTCTCCGGATTGCTGGGATGAAGTGGCTATTGTGGCATGTTTACCCAAGTTTCCATTGGGAACAGACATCTGCTCAGGACATTAGCAACAGCGCTTTCTTATTTTTGAAGAAAAAGTAATGAATCTATCTTAATAATTCTTACCTGCGGGTTTTCAACTGCCTCTTCAAAATCCATATCGGCGTCGCGAATCCCAACATCCTTCCCCGTGACGGGATCGCGCACTTTGCGCTGGCCCCTTTTCTCGAGGAGCTCGTTTTTATGAAGCTTGACATCAGGATTGCGCTTATTGCTCTTGAGCTGATTGTCGATCTCGGCATCGCGCTGCTTCTTCTCAGCGTCAAGCCGCTGCATAAACTCCTGGACATTGGGCACGCGGTTCCTGGCGCTGTAGTGCTGCGCCGAGGGCATCGGATGGTCGTCGACATTCATGGCGCCGACATGCAGAGTTGGCTCTGTGTAGTAACAAGGTATAAGCGGCGGCAGCCACTATTTCATTCAGTCGTGTAAGTTTCCAGGAACGAGGAGAAAGAAGGTGAATGTTGATAAAATCCCGGGCTAGGTAGAATCCAGTTGTGATGCCAAAATGAGCACAGCCAAGGTTTCGGCCAAGCGCCGGGCACAGTCAGTCGCCGGCGGGGAGCAGCTTTTGGCAGTCGAGAGCACTGAATCAACGGACGAAACTCAATTTCTCGCTGCCATGGCTCCAGCTATATTGTGCAGCCGACGGTGCCGTGGCGAGGCAGCGACACCAGCCGCAAACCGGATCTGCGCATCCGACTCGATGACGTACAGTGATGCGATCCAGCTGCTTAGATTATCAGCTAAGGCGGCGCATCAGCCAAATTGGTGGGGATCTGGCTTCCAGCTCGAGCTGCAGATAAGCTCTTGCAGCTGGATGGAGATTTTGCTGTTTGCTATGCGGCTGAAGAAGTCTCTTGGCCATGGCATTTGGCTGCAATCGCGCTTTCGTCATGATGGCGATTGAGGCTGCAGCGTTTGAGGCGCGCGGGCCATCTGAGGCACTGCCAGATAAGCATCAAGAGCCTCTTGCAGTGACTTGAATGTTTGCATTGCATTGGTTCTGAACATGGCCGGCCCTGTAGCAGCAAGAGACAAACGTCGGCAACTAATCGATGACAATATTTGTCTCAGCTGAAACAGCGCCTTATGCGGGACGTAACAATCATGCCATCAACCAAGTCCCAGCACGATCGCCGCAGCTGGAGATCTTGGAAATGCGTGCAGGGAAGGGATCGGCCCCCGATTGCGTAGATGGCGCTGACGCCAGCAAGTGGGGAGACACGAGCTTGCCTTGCTTTGGGGCCAAGCCACAGTGAAACGCCAACGTGGCGCTCGCTCAGTGGGACTTTCAGCTGTCAGAAGCACGTTTGCTGTAGCTTCAATGCAGAGCTCAAGCTGCCATATCGGCACTAGGTAGTAGTACTTGTTTTTCATCTTTATACTCCGTCTCTTGGTTTCCTGTCGTTTTCTTTGGTTCTTGAGTGTAGTGCGAATACCAAGGAGGCGTAGAAGAATAAATAAACGGGCTGCTGAATCATGATTGTCAAATTAGACAAATTAATGCAGCAGCAAACACAGCAGGGCTCAGCTAGCGCAGGATTAAGCATCATTACACGCGCAACTTACAGCACGATGATCGCGATAAACGTGATGCCAAGACTCCCGTGCAGCTGCGGCGCCAAGAACCAGCTTCTATACGCTCTTCTCCCTTTATTTCCTTAGAAAAGCGTATCCATGAGCAGGGATTGCATCCGATCCGATGGATATTGCTAGCGAAAGCTTGGCAGTGACTAAGCGGAGCTCTCCGTCCGCTGGCCATGTTCAATTACTTTGCCCAGTTGCGTTTGAATCCTGATGGAATTCCCTCCACTATTTACTCGAATCAGCAAGACAACAAGAGTCAATTAGAGTCTACGCGGCCCCCTGACAAGGAGGGACAAACACGGCATAAGCACTTGAAGCCGCAAATATCAGTTCTGCCTGGAGAGGAAGCTAGGAACAAGAAATGTGCGTCGTTGGTAATTTATATGAGACGCAACAGCAATAACCAAATGCCAACTATACTACCTGATGGGCAATTATGCCACATCTGTGCATATCCATACGTATTTTCCCAAAACTCGCTATCCGTGATTATGACAATACCTTGACCAATGCAATATACTCTTAATTCTGCTCACCCAGCCCCAACAGCTCATCGACTTGAACGGCCAGTTCAATACTGTGTTGCAACACTGAAATCTCATCACCATTCAACCACCAAGCTCGTTCATCCACCATGCAGCTCATGTCCTTTTTCCCACCCTTTTCCCATTTCCCATCCATCATCCAGAATATCGGAACTTCGTAGTTGTGCGGATCCACCAGCTTGTTCTTGAGTAGACTGCCGTTATACCAAAGCAGCTTGTCCTCTTCGTCCGTATGGGCAATAACAAAGCTACACACAGTCTTGTTCTCCATGTCGTCTTCCTTTCCCCATCCAACAATCGATCCGTAGTGCTTCTCGAATTCATAGCTCGATCCAGCAAGCTCCAACCCAAGCCACCACGTCTCTTTGTCTCCATACGTAATCTTGTACGAGACTTCCTCTCGGACGTCGTACGTGTTTTGCCAAGCTATATGAAGCAAGCCTACCAAAACCTCAGGCCGGGATTTGTTGAGAACGACGACTCCCGAGTCACATTCTTCTGCGTAGTCTTTAGTCCAGACTAGAGACTTATTCATCGCCGGCGATGGCTCCTTGATCTGCTCTTTCCACCACTTGTGTCTGTCTTGGAACGCATGTTGCCACAACAGCCGGTCGTGAAACAAGTAGGCCCCATTGTTGACGTAGGCACGCTGTTCAAAGAGCACGTCGGGAGACTGTAGAAACACGGCATCGGCATCGAGTACAATGACTTGCTCAAATCTAGATGCTAGAGCTGCAAATGGCTTAATGGCCCAGCCCCCCCTTCGCAACTGCAAAGCGGCATCGTCAAAAAAAGCCCATACATCCAAAAACTCTGTATTGTGTGTTTTATCGAGCGATGAGAGGGCGTCGCGACGGTGCTTCGGTAGGTCGTTTTCCCCGGCGTAGGCGACTTGGATAGGCAGTGTGCAGCCAAGAACACCTCTGATGGAAGCAATCAAGTGTCCTGCAAATCTCACTGATGAATCACTCCCTCCAGCGGAGATTACAATCCCTTTTGAGCCTTTGGTGTAGGAGTCTCGTAAGGCACTCAGGGGCGCCGTGCTGTCTTGCTTCGTATCCGGTGGTTGAAGGAAGGGAAAGAGAGAGACGGCAGTCTCCTCAATAGCATGAACGAGTAAATGCTTGTCTTGCTTGGATAGTTTAGATCCCCATTGGCTATCCAGAGTGGTAATCCATTGACTCAAATTCCTCGACCGTTGCCCAACCTCCCAAAACTGATATTTAAAAGGAGGCTCGATGGGAATTCTGCGATACTCGCTCGACGTTCTCAGAATAGAAGTGATGGATGGATTAGTTGTACCTGATTCGTAGATGGCTTCCAGAATAGCGTCGCCAGCGCCATTGATGATGAAAAAGTAATAGAGTGCAACCGCAGTAGCAATAAACAAAGTTCCTACAACCCTCGGCCGGCGATGAAGGTAACCGCCAACATGAGCGAGCGTCTGATTGCCAAGCATCATGGCATATGAAAAAGACGAACAAACACAAACGACAAAAGCATCTAAAAACAAAACAAACAGATTAGTAGTATCAAGAGTACATGTACTCTATGATGGACCTAAAAGAGACCCCCTAAACCATATACCTTGAACGGGCATTTCCAGTCTGGGATGCCAAGAGAAGAGTCAAGATGAAGCGGGAACTCGGTCTCCGACTCAAACAAAGAAACGAGCGAGGGGATCTTTGCCCAAACACATGTACACGTACCCTTTACATTGCTACTCCGTCATGGCTTGCCGCGCCACAAGCAGGGTGGCCCGCCTTGTTACTTAGTGTGGTCTTTTGCGAACTCAAAACTCTCTCCCATGCCATTGCACATGTTCCATCTCCAAATCCCATATAACCGTGCCCCGGACCTACTGCTTATTGCGGCAGCTTTTTAATTATTCATAACGTTAATAGCTTACTTTATTCTTATTTTTTGTGGTAAATTATGCTCTTTTCTTACCACGAGCTACTCAATTGAAGTGAATTGGGCCAGCAAAACTCAGCTCCTCCCGCAGCCCGTGTCTCGGCTTACTTCCTGGATAGCTACGCACTGCGCCACGCACCCACATTTCTAAACACGAGGTTCTGCGCCCATTCACGCGCGTTGCTGGGTTTATCTAAGCCGCAAAAAAATAATGATGGTGCTAGTGTGAGATAAGCTCAGTAAGGTGATGAGCCTCGGAGCGAAAAAAAAGCCTTCTCCAGGCCTGAAAAGGCTCAGCAGTAGAGTCAATACCTATATTCCCCTGTCTACTTGACAGATACTATATACTCCACACATTCTGGAATTTTTGATGGTCGTGTACATCAGAAGCTACGGCTGTAATTCCGGTAGCCGGTATAACCGACTCAGATAATTTTTCTTTCTAATCCAGCCTCTGCCAAAAATGCTTTGTGTTAGGAATTGGATCCATGCTATATACTAGCCACAAGAAGATGAGGATTAAACAATCAACTCCACTAGAACATATGCTTGCTCTGAACAATCATCCTGCGGGACATGGATTGTGGGTTTGACCCATCACCACCTCCAAGGAGAGTATTGTGTGAAGGTTATAATAATACTATTGCTCAATATTTGCGCCAGCCTCAATCTGCTGTTCGCTTCTCGTATTGATGCAATGCACGTATATGATCACGCCTTGCCATTTACGTTAGTTGACATCGTTGCTATGATTCGCAACTCCTCCCCAACGTAAATATAATCACAGCATGCTAGTTACGCTATTTAACAGTGCTTATTGCCTAATATGTAACCAGTCAAGAAGTCCAAATGGTATGGACGAATGAGATGTCCAATCATAACTCTTAGATTTACTCATATTGTGCCTTATTAGTAGTGAGTTTTGCTATTTTTATAAGTCAATGCCAAGAGGTCGCTGAAAAATGACGAAAATGTATCTACATTCTATTTGGATTGGGATATTCGAATCGGTTTTCAGAGTTTTCTTTCAATTATTTCAGGCAGCTACGGACGAGCTGTACAGTAATTTTCACTCCATACTTCCAGTATGCTAAAGACTTATGATGAACGCATACAGTATGCCAACTACGCTCATAAACACTGCTGAAAGCCAAGTTCGTGGATGGTGGAATTCTCAATGTATGGATATCTACACTTACGTATGCATGTATAATCATATCAATGTAGCTGAAGCTCCATTGTTGTTTCTATAGCCTTCAGACCCAGTCATGTCCATTTCTCCACAAATCACACCACCAAGATATTGAAAATTCCGAGCTTATATGATTCTCCATTGTACGAATCTTCATGGAGGGTAGATTATGAGATGGAATACGGAAATATTAGAAATCCAAACACCCAACGACTTCTCCGTCCTCTTTGCCGAGGGACATCCTGCAGACAAATTCCGCGGAATAATACTCAAACAGTGCCGGCGGTGTAAGAAGAATTCTTGTCAAGTAAAGACTTCGTATCGAGGGCAAACTTGTAAAATGCAAATCATATTCCTGGTTGGTTCACTAATCGTGCCCGACTGGATGCAGCATCTATCAAGTCACACAATGTTCAATGCTCTCACCACCATCAGGAGCCCAGGACTAGTATGTATCAGGTAGTCGCATGTCAAAAATAGACATTGCGTTCTTGCCGAAAGGGGACATCTGAAACACAAGAGTACCCACTAAAGATGGCTTGCCGCGTCGTGATGCTGAGGCGCAGTCGACTTCAGGCAATGACTCTTGGTTTACGCTGCGAGGAATTCAGGCTGATATGATCAGGTACAAGGCCATGAGTGGGGTATTGGAGTCGGCTGCATCTTGTCAGTTGAAAAGACACGCGTACTCCAAAGTGGAGTAATATTTGGAAGCAGGGTGCAGATAGTATATAAACAGAAGATGGGTACGTTGGTTTGTATAATTCCGGGAGACAGGGTAAGGACTTTCGAAGATATATCAAGGTCAAACGAATGCTGCACGTTTTTAGTATTCAAGGCGCCTGAGCATTAGTCAAGTACACATAATAAGTATAACAAGCGTTCAATGTTTATTGGACCCTCAGAAAGCATGCTCAGTATTACAATATTATACTGCCGCGGCTTGCTTCCATGCAAAAAAAACTTACCTTGTCTTCTAGGTTTTATTTCTAAAATATGCTTTTTATGATCTTTACAATAGCTACTTTGCAAAGCTTTCTCCCTTCATAAATGTGATCCTGCTACTTCGCACGTATTGTGAACTCAAGACGACCTTTACTTGCATTTCCCTCGTGTGTCTACCAGGCTGAACTCCTTCCAAGAGATTTCAATAGTGCCCTATTCATGTCATCTATGTCTTTTGATGCATGACAGATCTCCCAGCATTTCACAAGGCTTGATAAATTTTGTTTGCTTCTCACAGCTGATTGCAAATGGCTAACCAAGTCATCGCCGTTTGTGTACATGTAGGTACCTACCCAGGTACATGTAGGTACCTATTAAACATCTCTCAGACCGCCTCATACATATCATTGTTAGTGAACGTTCAAAGGCTCAAACAAGTCTAGTCCTGTTTACTTCAACAAGAAATTAACGAAAACGTCTAGAATCCCTTGTATACCCGACATCGCGGTATCTCGGCTCGGTTCCCAATCTAGAAATCGACGTCGCCTAGTGTTCCTCATCCGATTCTAGAACATCAAAAGCAGCCTCTTTGACCATCTTCGACACGCCACCAAACGCACCAGACATGCATGCCTTGCTGCGCCACCGATCCTTTGAAGGATTTAAGCAAGTTGTGCTCGACCCAGACAAACAAACAAACAAAGCACGTGTTGACGATCGGTCGAGAAGCGAGATGCCAAAGCTGATCAGCGTATTGTGAGGCTTCCCATTAATTATGGAGAACACACGTATTGAAGCGTTGCTGAATACACGTACGCCCGCTTTTCCCGTCGTGTTACAGCTAGCCCAGCATTTAGCGACTGGCGACAACAAAGCAGTTAGTCCCTAGCAATCATCGCCACCAAGATTCAACACTCTAGCTGCGATTTCACGTAGAGGTAGATTAATACAGAATCCTAGGCTCAATTTCTCTCGATACGCCGCCGTAAAATCTTAGCAGTGCAAAAAACCAATCCATCAAATGGCTTAGCGCCAACAATGACCGCCTGCGCCTCGAGTGACGTCGACGGAGCTGGTGATCGCTTGTCGCTTATGCAAGCCGGAGATCATTTTCAATGTCATCGTCCGCCACCCGCCGCCTCGTCTTTAGGCAATGAGGATCATGAACAGGAACAGCTCTTGGCGTTCAGCATGCACGTTCCGCCGTGTTAGCCTTGGGTCCCTTTTGAATGCGTCAATTCCTTTCATCGTTATATTAAATTCTGGCTATGCACGATGCCATGTGATATAAAAGCAATCTCATAGCCACCTCCGCATCTTCAATGGGCGCTAGCTCGATAATATCACATAAGTCCTCAGTAGTTGTAGTTGCACACATAACACGCAACAGACTTCGACCAAGATAAGCAGCGGCAAACTCTTCTTCCAACTTCATCAGACAAACCGCAATCGCATCCGACTCTCATATCGCCTCATCCACCATGACCAGAGAGCCGGCCAACGGCGACGCGCCGCCGAGCTACACGCCTACAGCGCCCGAACCCCCCAACGGACAGACAGATCCGCCCAGCAACATCGACATCACAGCCTCGTTTGCAAATCTCGCCATCTCAGCCGAACCGCCAACCGGCATCCCCAGCGTAGACACAGCCCTCGCGCATCTGAAGCTCCTCCACGCCATCCACTCCCTCAAAGAAGACGTGGGCTACAACGATGGCCTCTGGGGCCTCTGGGACGACCGCGCCGACAAGGACACCGGTATCATCCTCGACGGGGCGCTGCCATCGGGAGTCAATCTGGACAGCCTCAGCAAGGATGAAAAGAACAAGCTGGCGCTCAGCCGTCTGCGCGAAAAGCGATGGGCCATCTTCCTTGCGCGAGCCGTGGATCGATATGAAGCATGGTGGAACGCCATTACCAGACAAAAGGAGATGCTGACCGAGGCGGACATGATGAAGACGCATGGCTCTAGATATATTGACTTTCCAACCAGTGGAGCGCCATTACCTTGGAGTGATGATAATATCCCACCCTTGGGTAAGTATCCATGAATCGCTACTACAACTTGATCATCGATGTTTGGTTGAACTAATATGAACTCTAGACGTTCTAATGGTCATGCACGCCCACATGTTGAACCCCAGAGCCTTCCTAGAAGACACCACTCGCACAAACATGATTGAATACTGGACCGCCGGCATGCCATGGCTGCCCGTGAACAATGCCATCTCCACAGACTTTTCCTACAACGCGAATGATGAGGCGAAAACCAACTGGGTCGCACGGACAGGGCTCAACTGGGACAACATAGCAGACCCCATGGCCAAAGATCTTCGTTGTCCGTGGTGTAAGGGTGGCTTAAAGGTGCCATGGACAACCTGCGGAACAGCCTCGGAGTCAGAAAGGTACTGTCAATAATTCCACCATTTTTACATTTGATAATTCGACTTCACCTACTTACAACCTCTTACAGAGCAAAAGGCACCATTGGAAACGGATACGGCGACGGAAACTTCTCTCACGACTGCCCCAGCTGCCGCCAGCTCATCACCAAAGAAGTCCTCTCCCTCTCCAAATTCATCAAAGACTCCTCCCTAGTCCTCAGCAAAACCGTCCCCATGCCCGGAACCATCCTCTCCATGGTATCCGGCACACCAGAAATCATGCCCGAGCCGCCCTACTCAATCGTCTACTCGCGCACATTCCCCAACCGCCTGATCCAGTTCGAACTCCGCTCCAAGATCCTCGACCTCATCAACCCGCAAGCCCA